GCTAAGGATAGCGTCCTAGAGAGGGGGATAATTATAACGGGATAGGTTACCCTAGTCTTCTCTCTCTCTTTTACTAAGCCGGCGTTTCCTATACGACACGCTAGCGTAGCATATAAGAAGAATTCTATAGCTACCCTACGTAGAGTAACGAATAGCTTTAGCTATAGATAGACCTATTATCTAAGAGTAATCTATACGTTGCTACATACCTTTATACCTTTATAGAGGGCTTAAATGTCGATTAACTATACGCTCTATATAGCACGCTAATAAGAACATAGAGCAAACTACCTTAAAACAACGCTATTAGTAGTTCCTTAAGGCCCTCGTCGAGTTTATAGAGCCTCTATAATAGGTTACTAAGTTATGCAAAGGCGACGATGTAACCCTTAACTAAGTAAGAATCCCTAACCCAAAATTTAACTATATCCTTACCAAAATCTGTAATAATTTAGGTACTAACATTTTTATAGGTCCTAATGTCGATAGATTTTCTACGTAAGCATTACGACTAGTCTATTGTTCGCTATGCTTCCGACCTAGTCCTTACTACTACTATTCGCACTAGTCGCTTTACTCTCGATAAGTAGTAGGCTATTAACGATTATACGCTAGTATACACCGCCGCCCTCCTCCTCTATCTAACCTTCTACGAAGCTTATATTATAACTTATTAGCCTTAGTTATAGCGAGCTCCGGCTATTACTATAGCTCGCGCTCTATAGACGGTAAGCTATAAGGACAAGATTAGACCTTAAGTAGGGTCTTTATAAGAAGAGGATTAGTCGAACAAGCTAGCTATATAGTAGGCTTCTATATAGCATATAACATTAGTTTAGGTTTATAAGGAATTCGTCTACTTTACGAAGTTACCTCTAGTGCTAACTAAGGACCCTATTAAGTAGTAGCTTAAACCGATGTAATAGCAGAACTATCCTAACCTCTCGTATATAGCTATTAACGTACTCTCTATTAATCTAATGTCTACTAAGTCAGAGAGGGTATTTAGTAGTTATAGAAGGACTATATTATAGGATAGAGCTTAGCTCTCTACTACTAACCTTAGCTATATTAAGTGCCTTAAGAACTAGTAGAAGAACCTCTACTTTAAGAGGGTTAATATTATAGTTAAGGACGTAGAGGAAGGGTCTATATAGGAGGACGAAGGATAGGGTTATAGCGACAACGACGACGAGGGTAGAATTAGCATCATTCTACTAATTACATAGCATTAAATGGAATAATTAGTAAGCAAGGTGGCATAGCATAGAATAGAGGCTAGATTTTAAAGATTCTATGTAATATCTACACTGCTATAGGAATATCTATACTTAGCCTTAGGACGGGACAGTAGGGTCTTAATTGACAGGCATGTTATACACACATGTATATCGCAATTCACACGAATCTGAACATAGTATGATGCTACTTTGATGGCGCAAGAAGTGTGTGATGCCCCAAGCCAGGGTCATACCCCAGACAGCAAAAAAAAGACAAAAAAGGAAGATAAAACATCGTCGTGGCAACAGGCAAGCAAAGATACTGCTTTCAGCCACTCGAATCGATCTCACACCTAAACATACACTTGAAATGAAGTCTTAAAAAGTTTCTAACCATGAAATACAGAACCAGTGAATGTGCTCATGCTGTTGATAGCCTAATGCTAAATCTACTCAAGTAGAATCCTAATGCTGTGCCACTTAAGGTCGAGTCGTTGACTTTAACCAGTGTGGTCTACATGGTGCCAAATCTGGTCGCAAGCTTCAGACTGATGATCTGGTGCTCAACAGCCAGAGTGTGATATCGTAAGACCTGCATAGCGTGTCTTACCTGCAATTGCACCGATCGAAGACCACTACCTGTATACTCTACACCCAGAGTCCACATAGTTCTTGTACCATGCCCATGAAGACGCCTGCATATCTAGATGGCCTTGCTCTTTTCCTAGCCTTTGGAACTGATCCAGTAGTGCTCGAACGGTTTGTTGTATGGGAATCGGGCTACTCGGCATGGGCGGCTGCTGACATTCTCGTGCCAATCTTCTGTGACGGCATTGCAGCCATATTTGCTGTTGCTCTAGTCTATTGACAACCATCCTCTGCATTGGGATCATAAGAAGGGTTCCGGAGGTGAAGATAGCGGATGTTCGAGACGAGGGTTGGTCACTAGGACTTGTTAGCAATTCCTCTTACCTCGTCATTTCAGGCACCGCAAAGCCTGACGATTCGGCAATCATTCCGCATAAGCAGTAGTGTCCTTGCAGTGGTTTTCCGAAGCCTGGACAGTCCTAAAGTGTTGTCACCAGATGTCTTGATTAGAACAGTGCGTTGCAGGAAGCCGAGGATGCCCCTGTGACTGCTGCTGCGCTGCAGGAACAAAGTTGCAGCTATGCGAGGAAGCTCGAGCAGAAAGAGCGAAGCTGCAGATGCAAGGTGCTTGTCCCTGCACAACACCGACTGTCGTTGAGATGTCGTAAAGCTGTCAAAGAGCATGTTGGTAGCCGCATGTCGTGCAAAACAGATGAAGGCCTTGCTGACTTCCTCGAAAGTGATGAATAGGCAGGGTACACCACATTCTTCAACACTCGTATCTGCTGCCAATGGCCGCGCTCTTGCATGATTCTTTGCTACAAGGTTTCATCCTCAAGCAATGTCCCATCATCAATGCGTTTCGGAAGCATTGGAAATTGCGACCATATTGCCGTTGGAGTGCCAATGTAGACACGTGTGTTGAGATATTTTTGTGGTCGTCCGATACACGTAACCCCTCCTTGTTTAGCGGCACCCGAGTGGGCGAAGTTGGCGAGCTCTTTCAAACTGACGCAGCTCGCCTTTTCTGCACAACCGCGGAGCAAGACGAAGATTGAGAAGGTGCGAGAACCTCCATGAAGAGGAAGAGTCCTTTACCTATGTCATTTCTGTGAGTTTTCACAATTGACAAAACATCGTCGATGAGGGGGCACCAGGATCGTTGATGTCCAATTCTGCTGAACTGTTTTGTTGTCCGTGCTTCAGAGAGAAGTCTGAAGATCGAGGATTTGGCGGGGCAATGACACCGGAGCTGTCGGGAGCTCTCGATCATTCGAACGTCAGAAGGGACGTGCATCTTGACATCACACGAGGCCATGTGCTTCCTTGTCCTACCATTGGATCCTGCCACGAAAAATGTTGCAGAATATCCGGTGCCACAAACAGCTTCCAATTCGGCCCTTTCAATCTTTCGTATCAAATCGCTACTTTGCGTGTGCTTGGGTGCGGTCCAACACTGTTTTGTATCTGTTGAGGCTCGTTGACCGGGCCACCTTCAGCCCCACGACCCCGCCTATGACCTCAGTGTAGAATTGTGGTGAAGCTGCAAGACAACTTTTGGCTGGACTTGCTGCTTCTCACCAGAAAATATGACCTCAGCCCACCTAGCGGTAAAGGAGGGAAGCTTCTTTTTTAAATAGCTATCATCTCGCTCCCCCTGCCTATCTTTTCTCTCTCCATCCACTCTTCATACCAAATCTATCTTTCCTCTTTACAACAACCCCCAAATCACATCAACATGCCTATCTCTATTCCCAAGGGCGAGAAGCTTCTGGACCTGCTCTCTATGAAGGGCAAGGTCGCCGTTGTCACTGGTGCCTCCGGTCCCCGTGGTATGGGTATCGAGGCCGCTCGCGGTATCGCCGAGATGGGCGGTAACGTCGCCCTGACCTACGCTGGCCGTAAGGAGGGTGGTGAGAAGAACGCCGCCGCTCTCGAGAAGGAGTACGGCATCAAGGCCAAGGCCTACAAGCTCGACGTCGCCAACTACGAGTCCTGCTGCCAGCTCGTCAAGGACGTCATTGCCGACTTCGGTCAGATTGACGCCTTCGTCGCCAACGCCGGCAAGACCGCCGACTCTGGTGTTCTCGACGGCGAGATCTCCGCCTTCGAGGAGGTCATCCAGACCGATCTCCTCGGTGTTGCATACTGCGCTAAGGCCGTCGGCCACCACTTCAAGGAGCGCAAGACCGGTTCTTTTGTCATCACCGCCTCCATGTCCGGTCACATCGCCAACTTCCCTCAAGAGCAGACCTCTTACAACGTCGCCAAGGCTGGCTGCATCCACATGGCCCGCTCTCTCGCCAACGAGTGGCGCGACTTCGCCCGTGTCAACTCCATCTCCCCTGGATACATTGACACCGGTCTTTCGGACTTCGTCGACAAGGACACCCAGAAGCTTTGGCACTCCATGATCCCCATGGGCCGTGACGGTGACGCCAAGGAGCTCAAGGCTGCCTACGTCTACTTCTGCTCCGACGCCTCCACCTACACCACCGGTTCCGACCTCGTCATTGACGGTGGTTACTGCGCCCGCTAAACAGATCGCTGGCTGATCTGTATGAGTGGTGTGTGTGTTTATGAACACCTCTTTTTTCTATCATCAAAAATAGTTAATTTATCATGACGGACATGAAATGAAAATATGATTCCCAGTCTTACTCAAACTATTTATTCTCTACCATTGTTCTTCCGTCCATGTTTGCACCTGTCACCTCCACTCCCCGGCGAAGGATGATCCCATTTTCCATTGACTGTACGTCAAAACAAATCACGCAGGCAAATAGCTACCATCGTTTGGCACCCGTACTGACATGAAGCTCAAAGGCATACTGACATGAAACTCCAGCAAGGCATCCTTTGACACGTCCACTCCACTCAACAATCAACAACCAACAACCAAACTCTCAACGACCGTCCCCAGAAGACTTCCAAACACTTGCAGCTAAAGCAGTTCACTCGCACTCCGACCCCGCGAAGAGAAAAGCAAAAAAACCAACAGACGAACCCAAATCTCCAAAACACTTCCCACACACTTTTCTCAAGACAATACTTAAAAAGTTCTATCCCAAAAAGACCAAGAATAAAAATAGCCTTTGAGAGAACAAATACAAGGAAGAGGGATGAATAAATCTTTTTTTCTTGCTGGTGGGTATGGGTATGGTATGGTGGTGTTGTAATGGTAAGGATTTTCCTGTCAATTTCTGATAATTACATGTTGTTTATTCCAACCTCCACACCTTTAATCTGCAGCGCCAGAAATTTGCTGTAAATTCTACAGAGCGCGAGATTTCCACCCATATACCAGAATCTGGGATGACCTGAGGGTCGCCACATCTGTTTTGATATCAATGTCAGTATTCGTCCTGGGAACATCTCAAAAGGCCGGGTATGATGGAAAGGAATAAACTTACGGCATTTAATTCTCCCTCGTCGTCCAAGTCCCAGACATCTTTTACCGCATCTGCGATGGAGGGGCCGAGGATTTTGCGGCAGGAAGTGCGCATGTTGTCGTAGCCTGTTGCTAGAACGACAATATCTGCTTCTACCACTCTCCCATCTGCCAACTTCACACCATGCTCTTCAAACCCAGCGATACCGGCAGGGGAATTGACGACTTTGACTTTACCCTCACAGATCAACTTCGAACATCCGACATCGATGTAATAGCCTCCTCCTTTGGTCATGTATTTCCTAAACAGCCCTGAGCCATCGTGGCCGAAATCGACTTTGAAGCCTGCATTTTCCAATCCTTGCAGATTCTCCTTTTCCGCTTCCGCGATCGCTTTGGTGAGGTTTCGGCCTAGGGCGAATTGAACGGGCAGAGGAAGACTTTGACTATACACATCTGCATCTTCGGTGGGAGGACCGGTTTCATCATAGGTGCCTGCATGTAACATATGGCCCCCCTTTTCCGCTTGAAGGACGTACGTTCCAGAGCGTTGGAGTAGCGTCACTGATTCTGCGCCGGCTTCGAAGTAGTTTTGCGCGATATCGTGGCCGCTGTTTCCTGTGCCTACGACGAGGATTTTTTTGCCTGCTGCGGAAGAGGGTGTGGCGTCTTTGTGTGCGCTGCCGTGGTAGATTGATCCGTGGAAGGAGGATTGGTTTGGGAAGGTTGGGATGCGGGGTTCGCCGCTGTGACCGGTGGCTAGGATGAGGTGGGGAGGATGTAGTGTTTTGGTACTACCGTCGGCTTTTTTGATATCCACAGTCCAGGATTTGGTTTCTGGGGAGTAGGAAGAGGAGGTTATGGAGGTGGAGAGCCAGACGTTTAGTTCCATCAAGCTGGCATAGGCTTCGAACCAATCTCCCAATTTATCTTTGGGCGTGTAGAGAGGCCAGTTGGAGGGGAAAGGGAGATAGGCCATGTGTGCATAAGTCACTGGATCATGCGTGACGAGTGTACGATATCTGGAACGCCAATTATCTCCTACACGGGTTTGTCTGTCGATGATCAGAACGGAGAGATTTAGCGCTTGTAAACGGGCTGCGAGGTTCAGTCCTGCTTGTCCTGCGCCGATGATGAGGCAATCTGGTTCAGAGTCGTCAAAGGTGTGAGTCTTTTGACGTCGTTCAAACCAATTGCCACCCTCGCTGGAATTTTGACCACCGTGGGAGCGGCGGGCGCCAGTTGATTCCTCGTGGTCTTTGATCCCGTCTAGGGCTGTGTATAGCATATGAGCTTTCCAGATTCCATCTTCGGCTTGAGCTAGACGGAGAAAACCACGACCTCGACCTGTGGAGGTTTCAAAGGTAAACATGGATTGGATCCATTCGAGTTCTGGGATGGGCTTGACGGTAGATGGAGCATAGGCTTCACCTTCTGCAGCCAGGGACAACGGATGTAATCTGATTGATGAGAGAACGGGAAATAGGAAAGAGATGATGGCGGGCAGACCATGCAGAGTACGGAGATCCCAGGATAGAGCTACATGATCGCGCCACCAGCTGTCTTCGTGGATGACAGTAGAGAGACGAGAAGCATCGCCGGAATCCAGGACTGCAGAGAAACGGTCAAGCCACGATTGAGCGATTGAACGAGGAAGTTCTTGAGAAGAGGCATTCTTTATCACGGCTGGCTTGGGAAAGTGTGGTAAAGAGACGTCATGGGGTTGAGGAGGTGTTGCAAGCATTTTGATTGAAGATTCAGAGAGCGGATGAATTGGAATGAGAGATGTCTGGGAGAACCTACATGGTATATGTAACCCACCTTGTACGTAGAAAAGCGGCAAGTAGAGCAGCGGGGTAACAGCAGTAGTACGAAGGTCAGAATGCAAAAGGAAAGACTGGCGAAGACGAGGACGAAGCATCATGTTGGAAAATGCTCGGATGACCCAAAAGGGCACGCCAAGGCTCGGGCGAGTTGCTTCCGCTCGGCAGACCTTCTGTAATCTCGTGTAAGATGATCGTCTCACTCGCACAACATCAACCCGACGGACGACTTGTCGCAAGAAACAACATCAACTGCTGGCAGTTCTCTACCTAATCACCTAGCGTCAATCATCATGTCGTCGTACCTGTCCAACATCCTCACAAACACAACGTCCAAATACAACACCCTCCGGCGCAACCTCCTTTCGGACGAAGTCGACGGCGACACCGAAGACGACTCGCATTTGTGTCGTGCTCTGCGCGCATACTACACCGAGCAAGGCAAAGCCTTCCCGCAATGGCTCCCCAATGATCCAAAGCGGTCTACATCAGCCCAGACAACGACATCCTCATTCACATCCAGCTTGCGACAACAATCATCACAACAACTCCCTACAATCAACGCTCCTCAAGGAGGAGGAAGAGGCGGTCTGAGCGACCTATGGGACACACCTGGTCAGAAACAACCATCACCACAACCACAGTCATTGCGAGTCAGAGCGCAAGATCGAAGTGGCTCGTTCCAGGGGCGTGCTCAAGGAGGTGATACACTGGCAGCACCTCGACCATTGCCAAGTCAGAGAGCAGGAAGCTACCAGAGCTCCATGGCTCAACAGCAACAAGGTGCTGATCCTTCACCACCAGCAAGCAGTGGAGGCACTGCGCAGGAAAGACTGAAGGCGAGATTGTGGGGTGCTGCAAGGACTGGAAGTCCTGCAAATGGTGCTGGAGCGGGAGCGCCACCGCCAGCAGGATCTGGTCGCTTTGCCAGAGGTTGATGTTGTGCATGTTATAATAGCATGGAGTTATGGAGTTTGTTTCTCATGTGATGGCCATGGCACATTTCTTCCAAGATGAGAGAGTGCACTCGGTGGTTTTTATTTCTCTTCATGTTTCTCATTCAAGATAGTAAGCATTATATACTACGCAGATTACCATATCATATGTAGCCAAGGAGATTGATCACGTCTTAGTAGTTCTTGATAGATGGGTATGCAGTGGAATAGATGAAAGAGGGGTACTTTCCTGTTACCCCACACACGTCACTGGCCCCATCGGTCATCTGCATCAAGGCATCATCTGCATCAAGGCAGCAGTTTGAAGGCGCGATAACCTACGCATATACACCTGAGAAAAATGGCAGCATCACGAAACAGCAGTCCACCTGCATCAGTATACGACATGAGCGACGACGAAGAACGTGACTACAACAGCGTGCGACGGAGATCGTCATCCTCGCGCGGCGTCAAGCTGCTCTACGCAAAGAGCAAGGTCTTTGTCCACCCCTCGCCCTCATCCAAGGACAATATCGATGGCTTCATTGCCCTCTACGAACAGAAATCGCCCTCCTCCTCATCCGCTCCTTCCTCGTCGGGTCAAATCTCGTCGTCGTCACTCATCCTAGGCTGGTCGCCCGTCGCCTCCCTCAAGAGTCAGGGCCAGCTCGAAACGTACAACAAGGTCGACTTGGATGACAAGGATGCTCCTACCAAGAACCTCGTTTCTCCTCCACCCATCTCCTCCGCTCACACCACCACTCCTGGCCCATACCCGTTCGCCGTACAAGCTAGCGAAATCTACTCTATCCAAGTTCGCCCTCCCAGTGCTGGATGGTGGTTTGGCAGTCTTGTCATCAACACTCGTTCTGGCGACAGCTTCCCTGCACTCTTCTTCCACGACAGCGAATGTCAGTCCACCATCAACCACCGCAAGAAGCTCGCTCGAGAGAATTTCGATCCTTTCGGAGAGAGCGGAAACCTGTTCTGGGGCGGCGATCAGGTCATGCAATGGCTGAAAAGACACCTCAACGTCGAGCGCTCTCCAGAGCCCAACATTTTCCTGGTCGAGCCCTCAGACGCCGACCGCACTGGATTTGGTACAAACAAGTCTGGAAAACCTACACCTGACAAGGTTCAGCAAGCCTTGGAAGGTCCCAATGCTCAACCACAAAAAAAGAAAAAGGAGGATCCCGTTGCAAAGTTCCTGAAGGACTCTCGTTGGGCTGTGTTGGAGAAGCTCAGTCAAGTCACTACCTTCACTCGTCGCACTGCTCAGGCTGCTGCTGATAATCCCAAATTGCCTCCTCAGCTGCGTCGTATCATGCAAAATCCTCAGGTCCAGACGGTGCAAGAAGAGTTTGACAGTGCTCGCTTGTATCTTGCAAGATGGGCCATGACAATTGCAGAACAGAGTGAGCGCGACAGGAGTCAGCGTATCTACACAGCCAAAGACTTGCTCGAGAATGAAGACACTGAGCTTGGCGAGTTTGAGATTCTCGATGTTGACATGCGAAATCTTGAGCTCAATGAGAAGAGGGATCCCGTCACCAAGAAGGAGTGGAATGCTTTCTTCGATTCTCATGGAAAGCTTCATGTCACACCTGATGAGGTCAAGGAGCGTGTTTTCCACGGAGGTCTGCATCCAGATGATGGTGTCAGAAAGGAAGCCTGGCTCTTCCTCCTGGGCGTCCATGACTGGAACAGTACCAGAGATGAACGCAAGGCGAAGATGAACAGCCTCAATGATGAGTACATTCGCCTCAAGGGAGCCTGGTGGGACCGCATGACGGATGAAGATGGCACTCTTGAAGAGCGCGAGTGGTGGAAAGAGCAAAAGATGCGCATAGGTAAGCTGCACTCAACCCCCCACTCTCCCTCACCGCGCAAGTAACTGATATCTGCCCACATTTCGTGGGGTCCGTGCTGTAGAAAAGGATGTTCACCGAACTGATCGTAATATTCCACTTTTCGCTGGCGAGGACATTCCTCATCCAGATCCATCCTCTCCGTTCGCCGAGGTCGGCACGAATGTTCATCTCGAGCAGATGAAGGATATGCTACTAACCTACAATGAATACAACAAGGACTTGGGCTATGTCCAAGGCATGAGTGACTTGCTCGCTCCCATCTATGCAGTCATGCAAGATGATGCAGTAGCCTTTTGGGGTTTCGTCAACTTCATGAATCGCATGGTAAGTAATCTCTCTTTTACTTCCTCGTGCCGTTTGTTTTGCTGATCTTAATACTCTCAGGAACGCAACTTCCTCCGCGATCAAAGTGGTATGCGTCTCCAACTCACAACTCTCGACCATCTGGTCCAACTCCTCGACCCAAAGCTATACCTCCACCTTCAATCCGTCGATAGCACAAACTTCTTCTTCTTCTTCCGCATGTTGTTGGTATGGTACAAACGCGAATTCGAATTTCCCCAAGTCCTTCGCCTCTGGGAAGGATTATGGACCGACTACCTCTCGGCAAACTTCCACCTCTTCATCGCCGTGGCCATTCTCGAGAAACATCGCGATGTCATCATGGAGCATCTCAAAGGCTTTGATGAGGTGTTGAAATATGTCAATGAATTGAGCAATACTATCGATTTGCCTTCTACACTTCTCAGAGCTGAAGCGCTGTTTAGGAGGTTCCAAAGGACCGTGGAAGCTATTGATCGCAAAGATCATTTCCCTACTCCGACATTGAGGCAGAGGAAAGCTGTCACCGCTGGATCTTTGGATTCGGGACCGCAAGGGCATGATGGTAAAACTGCTGCTGTAGCGAGTTCGAGTTCGGATGCGCAGGGCGCTGGTCAAGCTGGCACTACTACTGCCGCTCAGAAGGAGAAGATCGTTAGTCCTGAATTGAGGGCTTTGCTCAGCAGGGAATTCGCCAGGGTGGAGAAGCCTACCAAGGATGACAAGTAGATATTGGACGGGAGACACATGTGGACATGACATTGGCGTTTGTGGCTGCGAGCGAAGGGTCTTGGGAAACACGTAGGGTGGGCAGGCAGGCATTCTTTTTGCTGATACGATTATTTATGACGAATTTTTTATTCTTTTCACTTCAACGCACTCGTATATTCTGACCTGCATATATCGCTTCCCCTCGCAATACTCACTGTAGGTCACCTGTCACCACTGGCACCTGTTCCGGTTGCTGATACTTCAAGAGACTTGTCAATGCCGGCTGCCGGTACCAGTGGCGCAGCGCACTCGTTCGGGTCATTGGTAAATTCCAACGTGAGCACCGAAAAGAGAGGGACGGGTTTGCCGCTGCGATAAGCTAGCCGTCTTTTTTTTGGTCTGGGAGGTGGATTGATTTGATGTGGTATTACAAATGCTTGCATTCTAGCCATTGGATCTGCAGCAGTTTTTTGCCAGCGCAGTGTTGGGATTTAGTGTCGCCGCGACTAAGGGGAGCACGGAAAAAAATCACGTAGCTTTTTTATTCTCCTTCTGGTTGTCCCACAGAGATGGTCAAGCGAGCACCGGCTCTCAGTGCTGGATTGGCCAAAAGCATCATGTCTCCGATAGCTAGATCGACGAGCAGTCTGTGTCTAGGGATCCTCGGTTCGGGTGTTAGTTTCTGGTCCTTCTACGTCTACGTTTGATGGAGGGCATGATGGTTTGATTGATGATCTATGGGAAGTCCAATGCGCTCGGGAAAAAGGCATGTTAGAGGTTTCAGTTCGATTCGTCTCTGAACTTTGCGCATCTCCATGGCCGCAGCAGCCTGTTTGAGCGTTTCACGATCTTCCAAAAAGTAAAGACATTATATATTTCTAACATCGGCATACTTCGTCATCAAGACTGCAGGAAGATCATGGGTACTAACTAATCATTTCCTACCTACGTCATAATGCGCCGAGAGATGCGTGATAACGCAGCAACTCACTAACTCCATCTCTGAATCGTATAAGGTTTGGAGTATCCTAGACCACCGCATGACAACATGCAATCTATAGTTCTACGAGTCCCCGCGCCATCGTTCTAGTTCAGATCCGCAAGACGTGTAAGACGATTACACATCTTTTGCATCTTCATCCTCACGATTTCTGATTGTTCTTCAGATGCAAATTTCTAACCTGTTGATCGACTATGCTTTGTCCGTGCATCGAGCGGACGTATCAGATGCCCCGCTCAGACTCTTTGATAGAATCATGTCTTCAATGATCACTAACAGCGCTGGAATAAACATATAGTCCATCCAGAATATACTGAGGGTACCGGAGTTCTACACCGTCCGCAGGTAAATGACGGCATATTTTGCCGTAGCCACGAGATGCACCATGACCATGCCACAGAGTATGGCACCTTGCAGGCGCCGATGTTTGCCCAAGCATCAAGAACAATTTGGTAGCCCTCGTGTTTCGCGGTCGTACATGATGATTGACCAGTTTGTGAGACATGGCCGGCACCAAGAAGATCTGCGGCATTCGACATATTCAGCGCCGTGGAGCGAATCAGCAGACGCTTTGACTTTGCGAGTCCCGGACGGAGAGCGGTGATGTTCGAGGCGTGGGTCCGAACTCGATAACATGTGCAGTTACCCAATGCTCGATGAATCTTGTGAAGACGGTCCGACTTGTTGCTGAGATACCCGCATGAGATTCTCCTTGACATTATTTGGAAGTCACGCTTCCACGATATCTGCAACGAGCTTGCCGTTTTGCAGAATGTCTGTCATCGACGACTCGAGCGAAGGGCTCCTTCCCAAAGAACAGTCGATGACAAGTGTGCAGCATAAGGATGCCAGAAATGATCTCCGGTTGAAGATCAAACTTCAGGAACCACTTTTCCAGGGATGTTGTGAGAATCCATTCATACTGCTTGCCAGTCCTTGCTTACGGCGACGCTTTCCAAAGACGCACCGTATGGAGTATTCCAAGTCCGCCGGCGCATGACCTGCTGCACATCATCAAAGCCAATCTTGTACGTCCCACAGAGGCCATTGCAAGACTCCCAGCTGTGGAGCTCTCGCTTTTCGACATTCTGATGAATGAGGTTGTTCCGAGATTCCAGTAGTGGTCAAAATGTGGCGGTCTTCATGACATCGGCGATACATGTCACAGTGGACCTTGCTTGCAACATCTTTGGCTAAGAAGTTGTCTGAAGAAAAGGCACTCACGGTTTTGTAAGGCCGAAGTGTGCGAAACAATAACTTGTGTTTTTTTGCATTTGCGACATGCGCAACTGCTCTTATGTTTTCGTAGACCGGGTCTCCATTTTTTTGACGCAACCATTCGTTTCGATGAAGGGCTTTTGCATGTAAATGCAAGGCTGGCAACATTGTGTGCTGGCAAGTACTCGGCTATCCCCAAAACTGTTTCGATTGGGAGATCGCCGAACTTTCGAAAACTTTTGACGGTCAATAGCGTACCTTTTGCAGCTTTCGGAGCACGACAAGGGTTTGAGAGGAGATACGAGACGAAGTGCGACAGAAGGAGCAACCATCCAGCCACGGACTTGATAGCTTCTTGAGACAGTGCCTGGAGCATTTTGATCAGACAATCCGCTGGTGTCGTTTTGTACAATGATACTGATATACAGTCAGGTTGGAATTCAAGATTGGTCGCAGCGTCTAACTTGCTCAATCGTCGTCATTATCAGAGGTTACCGAAGCCAAGCTGCCACAAACGGATGCAAGTTAACAAAATGCCGCCGAAAATGCACATTTGTATTGCACACGTCAAATTTTCATTGGAATTTGAGTCTCGGCAGTCTCTCGGTGGACAATACTGGTGCAGTGCAAGCGTTTGTGCAATCCCTCAGCAAGCCCCATGTCTGCATAACAACAAGCAATATGTCATAGCCAATCATCATATCCAGGTAATACTAAACAACAACAATTCTACAACCTTCCTCACCCCTCCACACACGTCGCTCTTTCCTCGCCAACCCCTCTTTCCCTGCTTCGAAGTCTTCGGTCTCGACTTCGCCGATTTCTTTGACTTCGAAGGTTGGCAAAGTGACTTCTTCCACCAGAGCACTGATGTCAAATTCACCGCTTACTAGTGGGCAGATGCCGAGTTCGAGAGTGACGGAACTATTGGGTGAGAGGGTAGGCGTACACTGCTGCAATGTGCCGCTGATGAGCAGGCGGCGAGAAATGTCAAGGCTTGTTTCCGAGTTGCTTTGATCCGCGAGTGTCGGTTGAAGACGTAGTAGTGCCTGGATGGTGCCATTGCTTCTGTTGTGGATTGTTGTTTGTAACGTCAGTAAACTCTCGGCTGTTACGACAAACTTGCTGCGGCCAGTCTGCTGCACTTCTTCGCTCTCTGTGGGTACGATGGTCATACGAATATCAATGTCTTGCAGACGTATGGTATCAATCATTTTCGGGCTCATCCTCAGACCACGGAGATCAATGTTGCCGTATCGGTCGGATCCCTTCTCTTCCCATGTACCGCGAAGGTATTTCAGTACTTCCTCTCTGAACCAAAACTGCTCTCTTGTGGCGCGTTCAAGATCTGCAGATACCGGTCCGTCGGCAGAAACTACAAACTGTCGTTGATTTTGCTGAGATAGGATGGGTATAGGAGCGTAAGGATTGGCAATGTGGAGGCGAGGCAGTAATAGCACGAGTCGCGCAATGTGACCTGGATGTACCACTTCATGAACCGTGTAGGCACGATTCCAGCTTTCATCAGCGGACGAAGAGCGCACTTGAACAGATACTGTGAGAGGGTTTGGCCATGAGTTGCGCAAGTCGAGAAGTAGCAGACAGTGCTCTTCATTGCTCGACTCCAAGCCGACGCGATCTAACAGCGTTCGGAATCGATCACTGCCCTTCTCTACCGGGTGCGATGGGGAGCGAGGTGTCTTTGGTCGTTGACCTTGCTCTTGCAGTCCTCGGTTCGTCCAAGCGTAATCAGCAGGAAAATTAGAGAAGTCTATGCGGTGAAGCTGTATGCTCGCATTGACAGTGATGTCAATGGGTACGGCGACTTGGCGGGTGAACGCCCGTCCCTCAACTTCTGCAAACGGCTTGCCCAAATGTGCATAATCAAACATCACTTTGGCAGCCGCAAGACCTGGTTTGCCAAGAACAGTTATCTCGAATGTTGCTTTCTCGCCTGGCGGGATCGTCATGTTTTGACCGCCACCAGAACGAATCCATGAGAACGTTGGATTGTTTGATAATTCAAGCTCAAGTCCATACATGTCCGGCTTGGTCAGCTCTTTGGCAGCCAAGGCAGTATGTATGGATGACGTGAGAGAATCATCGAAAGAGATGTGGAGGAAGTCGACGGCGATGTGTGCTGAGGTGTTTCGAAGAGTGATCTGGAAAGTCTTCTTTTGGCCTTCCAAAACCATCAAGGCGGATTCAGAAAGGTTGAGTTTGTCTAGTACGACATGTGGCTGAGCTTGAATAGCCACAGCAGATACTGTAGTTGGTTGAGGTAGGACTGGGTTTGATGAGCGACCTTTAGAGCTTCTTGCTCGTGTTGCGGATGCTGGGTCACGAGCCGACAGACCAAGTTCCTTCACCTTGCTGGGAAAGTCGGGCTTCCACGGCGACTGGTAGATTGGGAATACTTGGTCTTTGCAGCCGTACACATGGACAGAACATCCAAGAATCTTGATCTGGCCTTCGTCCTTGGCGCGTGCGGTGACCACAACATCCTGAAGTCGGGCAGGGCCCAAGGTAATGGGATGCTCGTCGACCTCGATAGCTGGACCATCTGTCACCAAAGATAGACGGTCAATCCTGACCTCGAAGCCATAAGGATTCTGCAGGGTGATGACCAGTTCTGCAGGTTCACCTACAACAACAATCTTATCTTCCGTCTTGTGTGTTTCCTTGACGAAAGGATTATATAGAAATGGCGATTTGCCAGGCTTGTTGCCGGAATCGAATAGTAGGTCAGACTTGTGTCGTTCACGCAGCTTCTCGTTGTTTGTATCATCGATCCATTGAACATCGCGAACTAGGAAGTCGTCCCAATACAAAGCTCGCACATCTGGCAAGCCGATTTTGTTGGCAGCGTTGATCGTTCGTGACATATTGGATATCAATCTGAGCTGTTCCTCAGTAACCAACGTTACGCGGCGGTTTTGCTCATGTGCAGTCATGGTACCCTGCGGACCAACAACTCGCAATAACAAAGCCGAGAAATGTACAACACCTGGAAGATCTGGCAACGCTTCGCAAAAGTCGATGCATGCTCTAAGTATGTCGATCTTGAGATTGATGCTGCCAAATGACTTGGTGCCTGCAGACTGAGCCGTCAAGGCAATCGTGGCATTGATGAGCACATCAACAGCATTCTCTTGGCCAGCGTCTGAGGCGCCTTTCGTCAAGTCAAGATGGTTGCGATCACGAGCACCATAAGTAGCATGCAGATCTCGTAGAAGATTGCCAAGACCTACTTGTTCGTCATTGGTCGCTGCAGATGGAATACCAGGTCCAAAGGCAGCAGACAGGCTCGCAGCGGGATGAATACCCATCTCAGCAGCACCAACCTTCCTGGCTTGGACAAGGGCTGGTACTAGTAACGTAATCATCTCTTTCACGATGACAGCCTTCTTCCGCTCAAGCCCAAGCATGGACAAGATTGAAACTATGCCTGACTGAATAGCTATTGTATCGGCGAGAGGAACGCCAGCACTTGGCGGTGGGTACGCACGAAGGGCCATATCAGCTATAGCATGTTTCGAAATGCCGCCAGAGAAGCCCGCGTTGACTTTAGGCTGGTACAGAGAGCGACTCGAGGTAGACGCGATCTTTTGCAAAACATTGGAGTCTAGTTCGCCACCTGCGTTTTGGAGGAAGGCCAGCAGCTTAGACATTCTCAAGACAGTCTCCGAATATGCAACAGGAGACATGGGCTCGCCAGCCAGTGTGTTCGTTCTCTCATAAATCGATATGATCATAGGCACCAGATCAGGTAGAAGTCTGGAAGCTCTCGAGGCGGCTTGTTTGGCGGCGGCAGGTTCCTGTTGACCAATGGGCGGCACGCCATCTCTGGTGATTGCAGAAGATATGAGTGAGGAAGATCTGTCGGGGCCAGAGTTGCAGATGGCAGGGATGGGAAAGTCGAAACCAGACCAGATGAGCAGTAGCATGCAGACGACAATACTCTCCAAGCCCTTGGCATACCACAGATAGTCTGTAGCAGTACGGGCCTTGTTTGTGTTCTCGACAAGCTCCCGCCATGCATCGTTCCAGCGTCCGGCCAGCATGTAGAGATTGCCAACAACGATACCAACTCTTGCCTTGCCCTTGTTCTTTGCTTTTTCTTGTGCGCTGGTCGAGCCGAATGCTTGAACCGACATGCGATCTCTATTCGCCATCTTACCGCTGTCAGACCTCGTGTGTGCTCCCATTTCATCGAAGTTCGTGGGTGGACCCCGTGAAGGATGCGTGTCGGAGGGCGAAAAGACAGCAGAGGGATCGGCGGGCGACTCTGGACGTGAAGCTAGCGACAATGAGCGATCGAGATGCGGACGAGAGTCGGACGGGCGGGCAGCAGCTCCTGGCGACTGGACACTGGGTAGAGCCTGGACGGCGGTCGCGTATGTTCCCATCTCTGACAGTAGTTTTGCCGAGATGTCGCACATGATGGTATTCATGGTGGTTGTCTTTGTAGCATGCGAGGGTGGTACGCAGATGGCTGAGTCCAGACTCCAGCTCTCTTGCTGCTCTGCTGTGCAGTCCATGACGAGCAGTTGTGAGACGAGTATCTTGGGGAACTGCTCGGCCAGTTTGTCTGCCACCTCTTGTAGTTCATCCTTGGGCGAAGACTCGTATTCTAGAGCATCTGCAATGCCCAGCACCATCATGGGCTCTCGGAACAAGTCAAAAGGGGCCAGTTGGGTATGCGACGGCGGTGCCATGGAGGTCGAGAAGTTGTATAGGAGCGAACCATTCGGAAAGGCCAGAGGCGAGAAGATGGTCTTGCTGGACCTGCCATCGGGGCTGATGTCTCCTAGTCGTACGCTGTCATGTTGGTGTAGTCGGTCCAGGAAGGTCATAAAGCGCTGCTTCTTGATGCGCCCGGCAGGAAGGACGAGCACCCGCACGCGCGCCGGCGCGATGGGTGAAAGAGGGTCGTTTGACATATCCTCATGACACGGTGCGTATTGCTATACCATGCTTGTTTGGCACGAGCACCAAGATGTAATAACAAAGGTACTTGACTGTTACCCTGAGCCAATCACCGCTTTCCCTGCCCGCTGCTCCTCCGGGGTTTTGTTAGCAAGCGCAATGTGCTTTCCTACTCAGCGTAGCTTTAGCCGTTTAGATAAGACCATGTTGGCGTGACTCAGTATGCTTTGACAGATGGAGCACGCCAGGTAGATTCACATATATTGACTGCTCCAGTCTGCTTGTCACGAGTTTCTGTGAGAAGATGATAGTTCTTTCTGCAACAGTCAGGCTGACATCGGGAGTTGTGCTCGATAGGAGACCCGTGACGCTCGTTATCGACTCCTTCCTCCACAACTTCTCCACATTCTCGAGTCTATCTCATACAAATCACTATGACACCCTCACGATAGCTATCGTATCGCCGACCACTAATTCTTCATTCGTATGCTGCAGCATGAGAATCATATTATCTAGAATCTTTATAGACCACACGTCAAGAGCGCTCCTCATCACGCCTCAGTCGCACGCCATCTGTTGAAACTTGCCTCCGCGAAACATCTTGCTCCATGAGGGAGCCGTGACCTGACCCGATCCCCTTATCATGGCTCTACTTCGAGGCCTTCGGGACCCGTACGAGAGGAACTTCCTGGCTGCCCCGAGACCCAGATTCAACAGAAAGTAGGTAAGCTTCCGTCCACTTGGTGCTCGCACTGTACGACTCGACGCCGACGGCAAGTCGCGTCAACGCGGCTAACGGCGGGGCATCGACCATGCCCAATTTCTATCCTACCAGCACGCTCTCTTAGCTATCATTCAAAAATGCCAATGCTAAGCAAGATATACAGCGCCTCATCAAAAGTCTCTATTCCAATATCCTTGGCCTCATCAAAATCAGAAAAGCCACAATATCATCTCAAAAATCTGCTTCGAGAAGTAGACGCCGATGACCCGGAAAAAGATCTCGTTCAACTTCAACAAAGGATATGTGACTCGATAGAGGATTTTCCGGTGCCTGATGTACTCAAAGTCTTTCGCGCTGCCGAGAAGCTTCTTCGTGAAGAAGAGCTTACAAAGACGGATCTTGGTCTAGAAATCATCGCGAAGCTCGCTTTCAAGCCAGAGTGTACGCCAGCAAATCGCCTACACTTCTTCTACACGCTATATCAAGATGGGACCACAAATCGCTATACCGATTTTCCCTCCTATCTTCTTGCGATACTGACCGACAACGGCCGCCAGCTCGAAGGATTTGAGCCATTGTTAACGGGCTTGATACCGGCGCTGCTCAACGAAGCAGATTCCGAGTTTGCTCTGAAAGATATCAAAAGGAGCGAAGCACGAGAATCTGGCTCGAATGTATCGACCTCACTTGACTTGGTTAATAATCTCGTCAAGTATAATGCCAGGTTCTTTCGCGACTCGGACATCACATCATTAGTCCAGGGAATGTTCAATCTACGGTATAGACTGGCTTTTGGCGATCCTGAAAAGATATGTGATATTCTGGGCACCTTGATCATCTACACCCACATTCCCAAACAGGCAGTACCGAACGCTACCAGGACCTTGTGTTTCATGAGAGGAAGAAAAGGTCTCGAAGAGAAGACAAGCAAAACCTTTTCATATTTCATGAATACTCATCTGAAGGACGAGACAATCGAAAGTCTTCTTCAGAGATTCGAGGATGAGGACACCTGCCCTAAAGAGGCCACCGGAGCTGCTGAACTACTCAAATTGTCATTAGAGAATGTAACGACGCGCCACTCAATCGACTTGGACATCAACCGATTAATGGATGCACTTGCGAGAACGGTACCGGACGAGATCGCGTCGGCTTATGCTAGGCTACGTTTGGACCTCGTGAAGGTTCTTGTTGAGGACACAGAGATGCAACAGAAACTTCTTGCAGCACCCGACTGGATACATATACAAGAGGCAATTATTCGAAACGCCAAAGCCCCACTCGAGTCCCTCGCTGTGGGTCTGAACAGAGAGGATGGAAGTTTGGATCGTTTCATGAAGGATCGCGAGCATAGAAGAGAAACCGTTCGTGGCATCATATCCTGCTTGGAGCATCTGGAAGGCATCAGTCTTCAGCAGTCTAGAACACTACGAAGGATCGCGCTTTACGTGGCGCCGTGGTTGACGGAACAACAGTCGATGAAGCTAATCTCTGCTTACCAACCGTCTTCTTTCCGCATCTCGATTGGTAACTGGCTGGGCGAGATCAAGGAACTGGCTAACCACTTCATTTTCAACACATCATGTCATCTCACGCTTCGTCAGAAGGCTCTGAGGGTTATAAAGTCCGCATGGCGTACAGCTCAACAACTAGGCGAAGAAGAAGCGACCAATACATGTCGCGATCTCATGATGACCGCCCTGGACAATGAGACAAACTACGCTTTCAGGGGCAATTTGGTACATGTTTTGCTGTGCTTTACATTGGGCGTAACCGATGAGATCTTCTATCGAACTTTGGACGTGTTCGTCAAATCGGCTCGTACAGGTTGCTTCCATGAGCTTATCGAAATACCCTTCTTCGCTGAGCCTGAAGCCCATACGGAAACGAAGACCGACAACTCATCAAATCGACCACAAGACGAAGAGCTACCGTCAATTTTACCCGATGCTGGTCTGGTGGTCTTGTTAATGAGGAGCAGTGTTGATCAGCTTGAAAGATCGCGGAGAGTGTACTCTGAGATTCTTCAATTGATTGCCATCCCTGAGCGACCAGCCGAGTCCACTGTCATGTTGCTCCGAGGTCTCTTTCGCATCCGAAGTGATTTGGATCACAGAATTTTCTTCCTTGCAAACTCAGAGGGCGAAAGTCTTGCAAAAGTTCTTCACAGAAATGCCGACTCTCCTTTCTTGCAATCGCGCAGATCATCTCTACAGTCTGGTGTATCAATAATGCCACCCGTTTGGAAGTATGGCGACATTCACGGACTGCCCGAGAACCCTCCTTCGACAGTGAGCGCTGTACTGCGATCAGAATCGAAACCGGTAGATGGTGTTGACTGCAGTCTCGACATGAGATCGTGGCTTGAGACAATCATTCAGCTGTTGGATTCAGCAAGCTGTGATTGGGAAGTCTACAGCTACATCATCGTTCACGTCGGTCCTCAAGTCTCTAACCAGTCATTGTTTGCCGAGAACATTTACGAAATCAGATTGCTAAGGAACCTCGTCTGTAACAAGATACAGACTCAAACGATATTCAGGCCACCAGAAACCTCAAATCTACGACAAGGCGACGTGGCTTTGTGTCTGTATCACATTCTCACAACCTGTATCGGATACCATTGGCGCTTCCCCCGGAAAGAGAACGTTGATACCGTCACGACTCTTGTCAGAGGTTTAACGTTGTGGGATCGTACTACGATAGCTTGTGTCAATGCGCTGACATTGAGTTGTTACGAGTTGCCAGTTTCGTTGAGTCGAGATCTTGTACGTATCGTGGCGCAGATGTCCACCATCGTTACAAAGTCCGACTCAGCAATTCATGTGCTTGAATTCTTAGCCGGCTTGTCACGAATTGATGAGCTTGTCAATCAGTTTCACGGTGATGAGATCAAGACCGTCTTCGGTGTATGCTTCAGTTACATCGATTATGCCAGAGGTAAAAAGTTTGACGAACAAAACCGCTCACGGCAAGCGGGAGGGCCACCTACCAGGAACTCTTCGATCGTGGACAGCAACTACCGTCCATCTACCGAAGACATTCCACAGTACGTCTTTGCGCTCAGTTACCATGTCATCACTTTCTGGTTCCTCGCCTTGAGCAAAGAAGATCAGAAGAGACACTTTCCTTGGATGGAGCAGAGACTTTTGTCCCCCGACCAATCTGGACAGGTACTTGACGAAGCCATCGTCACTGTTGACCATATCTGGCGAGTCACAGTTGGCAAGGATGTCGTGAAACCACTCCCTCTGGAACTCGGTACGACGGAGTCATCAGCAGATCCGGTGACGCAAACATGGGTTTCAGAATTTTGTATTCTGACCATAAAGTGCCACCTCGACAACGGACTAGTCGAAGTGATCGAGCGAAGGAGTTCGGGCACCGATGAAAGCCATTTTGTCTACGCCGGCTCGGAACCACTATCCCCAGATCTCATCTACCAGGAAAGGTTTGCGACAGCCATCAACGGCAACTTCAAGAGCGATCTGGAGGTTGTCATCCTGCCTACAACCGATGCTACACGTCGTGCTCTTGGTATATTCGACCGTATATCACCAATCGATTTTTTCAAAGCTGGTGTCATCTACATTGGCGAGAATCAAACCCACGAACACGAAATTCTGGCGAATGTATCCGGCTCTCCAGATTATAATCTCTTTGTTGCAGGCCTTGGCGAGCGCGTGCCGTTGCAGAACAACCGCAACAACATGGCCGGCCTCGATACTAGCGAAGGCATATTCGACGGCCGAAGCACCCTCTGCCACAGCGATACAATCACCACCCTAAACTACCACGTCACAACCATGATGCCCACAAATCGCGAGATGGACCCTCAGTGCACGAGAAAGAAGTCACATATCGGAAACGACTATGTCAATATCATCTTCAACAACAGCGGGTTGGAGTTCGATTTCAATACCTTCCCGTCTCAGTTCAATTACGTATACATCGTTGTTGTGCCTGAAGCAAGACAAACATTCATCCAGACAAGAACACGTTCGCATAACACCGGCTGGTATGAAGACTCATGGTTCAAAGTCCGCGTCTTGACACGCCATGATTTCCCTGACATCTCATCAGCGGCAGAGACGGTGGTCGTATCCGGTGCGGCGTTGAGTTCTTATGTGAGAAACTTGGCACTTAATGCTGAAGAGTTCTGTCGAGTGTGGGGTAATAGGGGTATGGGCGAATTGCCTAGTACTTGGAGGAGTAGATTGCAGCAGATCAGGATGTTGAGGGAAAGAAACGTGCCAAAGAAGGAGGAGAAGACTTGATATGTGCCGCTCTCAGTGGAGGCCACCTTGAAACATACCAAAACTGTGCATTTCTGCAAGGCTATACGCGTGACAAATCAGCACACGGGAGGCCAGTTAAAAATATCCGAGACTTTCCCAACCTCCATCTTCTACATTCACAACCACTCCACTCTATCTTCCATGTAACAAAGAGGCAGCAGAAAACTCCACAAATTCTCTTCATCGTCATTGCCAATCGCCGGTATAATCTGCACCTGCCACAACAAAACCCCGTCAGCCATTACCGTTTTTCTTTCGAATACAATCTTTTTGCGGAAAAAAAAATAACTTGACTAGAATATCACCGTACCTTTCCAATCAGCTTTCCTGAAAAAGGCCTCCTTCAAACCGCGTCATGTCACTGCCACACCCACCATAAAACCCAACATATAATCGCCAGTGTGAGGTTTACGAATTCGAACTTGTGCCATTCCTCATAGGACTTGTTGAACAGATGACCCTTTGCCAGCCATTCGGGCTGTATGACTTCATCACCGAGACTTCCAACAACATCATCCATCATTTGTTCAGAAATCATCATCACAGCACCGGTGCTCAGTTTATCCTTCCACAGATTTGAAGAGTGGTATTCGAGGTCGAACAGGCATATGTATTGGAGTGTTCTCGTGCGGAGGTGGAAGTGGTGGGGTCCGCATAGGTGTTTTATATGTGGGGATTTATGATATCGTTTGCATGTTCGTGAGAACAGGGTTCGTTGTGCTGGGTTCAAGTGGTCGAGTATGCAGAGGATTATTTCGATGGGGAGGTTTTGTAATACTTTCTTGGTTCGGCGATGTAGAAGTTTTCTTAGGATGCGTGGTATGCGGTGAGTTAATGCTGTTGCCATTATCGGCAAGGAGTGTTGCGACGCTTGATAGAAAATAATACAATGTAGTTGGTTTCGAAATTGTTGTGATAAAGTGTGCTGTTATGGAAAGCTTTTTTGAGATGCAAGGTTGTGACATGGTGATTCCTTGATAGGGTGTTGAGGATTCCCGTAGAATACAAACTCAAATGCGTGCATTCGTATGTCAGCGCCAAACACAGGCTCAAAATCAGTGAAGCAACGTGGGCGGTCATGGGCTTTGCCGCCAGCGAACCCACCACTCTCAGTAATCTGCTTGCTCCTTCATCTGGTTGATTAAGATGCAGGATGCTTTCCAAATTCATGCGATCATCCAAAGAGAGCCAGATTCCGCTGATAAGACTACTACACTCTCGGTGGCCTGGCTGCCTGAAAACCAATTTCCAAACTATCGAAAGGCAAGATGCTTCTGAGATACATGCGAGAGTGTCATGAAGCAACTGGATACCGGTAATCAAAATACACCAAGCGCTATCTCAGCGAACCCGGCGCCTGTTGATGTCGTTGTCAAACTGCATAATACTTTCCAGATCGTTGAAAATGCCCAGTAGAGTGCGAGACCTCTCATAATCACACTAGGATTGAGCTTCCGTAATGCTTCGTGCTAGCAGATCTTTATTCCTTGTCGCACGACCAGATTTTTAGTCCGATACGAAGATGTATCTTTCCTAGTTTGGATCAAAATTTCAGGACTACTCGTGACCAGACTCGTCGAACGGATCGTTTGAAGAGTACACAATCCTGTGTGCAGATTTCAAGTGTTTCAGGCAGACAGGGAGCGTTAGCCACTTATCGTGACTATAGTCTTCACTGGGCGAGATCATACGCACCTGCATAGCTATCAGAAAGCAACTTTTAAGTTTTGATGATCATGATGCATTGTCCATACCTTTCTACCACTTTTCAAAACGACTTTTTTCACACGCGTTATTTTCTGCCACGCGACCACCAGCACCCAGCCCAGAGAAGACAACAGAAACGGCAACACCGTATAAATGAACACAGGGTCTCTGAGTAGCGACTTCTCGAAATTGGGATACCGCACGTCCAGGAGGAAGCTTCGAGCCAGACAGGCCGGCTGCAACAGTCGTTTGCTCATAGTCATGGCGATGGCATCTAGCATAGCTTCAGGGAAAACAAGCATACTGCCGTCGAGTAACTTTGTTTGCCAGTCGATTTTTCTGCCGAGTATCGCCCAGCGGCCTGGTGAGCACCACTCGCAGCCGTAAATCCTAATCAACTGGAGTGTCCTTGTCTTGACGCCGAAACAATCACCGCAGGAGTGCTTGATAATCGGATCTGCTCGGAAGGCTTTGCATGTGTATGCGAAGAGGGTACGATCGACGGGGTCCAGAAAATCCAGGATCCAGAGTATGACATCGATGGGCAGATCTTGAATTCGCACTGGAAGTTTGGTTTTTCGTCGACGATGGAGCAAGACTTGCTTCAGGATATATGGTAAACGAAGTTTACAATTCGTCATGGTGATTTGAGACTCGGTCCAGGTATCAAGGTATGCGTCGCCTAGCGAAGTTATATAGGTTGACGTAGACAAGCGAAGAAAATTTTAAGACGGCCCTTGCGACGAGCGTTGCTGCAAAGAAAACCGTGTGTGGGTAGTGAAATGACGCATTGAGTTGTTTTTAGAGACCGCTAAGTAGCAGCAACTGAGCAAGATAGATAAGAATGATGAGGTAACGTACAACTTCGAAATTCGAAGGTGCCGATATCGAAAGTCGACCATGGGGTTGAGACTCTTTCATGTTCATTTTGTGGTTCCTCGAGATGCTGGTTCGTGATGGGTGGTGAAAGAGCGAGACTGCGGACAACAGTGGATTGTCGAGAATTGGCGCCTTCCTTGAAGTTCGAACTTCTAAGTCTTCCCCTGCCAAGGCTTAACGCGTATATAGCTGAAGGATTGCAGAGTTTCTTCCATGTCTAGTACAGCTCCGGTGAGAGTGCGTCCAAAAAGTCATAAAGGTTTACAGCCCCGCTACTTCTTATCTTTATCTTCACTCCCCTATCCCTCTTTCCTTCCCGTTCCACGCAGAATGGCAAAAAGCTTTCGCACTTTCAATGAGCTTCCGCTGGAATTAGTCCTCGACATCGCCGAGCACTTACCAGCACACAACGTCGCTAGTCTTGCGTTGACATGCAAGTCTCTCTATGAGAACAAAGACCTGAGCTCGCTTTGGAGACCTAGCTTGTGCGAATCAGGATGGCCTGCCAACTGCGATGCGCACCCACTTGTGTTCAACCACGAACAACTGTTTTTGCAAGCTCTCTTGGGGAAAGACAGTCCTGATGAACAAAATAATTACTTGCAAACCAATGCTCTTCGGTGGCCTAGCTGGAACCACAACCTCACCCTCGACGAACTGTATCACATCATGCGTCCATTAGACTGGAAGAAAGTGTATGGAGCGCCGTTGGAAAGCATCGCTGTACACACTGATTGGGAGCAGGTGAAATAATCTGTAGAAAGTTCAGCGCAAACTCAATGTCCCAGGCCCATTGCTATGCTGAGCGGCAATGTGAAGTCCGCGATCAGTAATATCTCCGACTGGTCGCCGTCGTTTTTTACGTGTACTGGGGACCTCGGATATAATCGCTGGACATCTCAGGCGATGCCAACGTCATTGCTAGTTCTTTCTGAAGTTTCTCTCTGTTTCGTAGCTTCTGATGAGACAATATCGCGCAGCGTGATGTTGTTCAAAGTATTCCAAAAACTTCTTGCACGACCCAATAGCGCATCATGCTTCTCGTCAGCATCATGGCAGTTTCTTCAGATCCGAAGCTATACTCACTGGAGTTAGCTCTGGCTTTTTTGACGTCTTCATCATGGATCGAGAATGCTCGTGGTCGATGTCTCTGTTCGCATGTCTCTTGTAACGCCGATATGACAGTGCCCATGTCATACCCAAGACCTGCGCACCTTTCCCAAAACTGCAAGGTTTGGTTGAGAAGTCGTGCAGATTGTCCATGTTGATTGCCTGGGCTAACAATGGAGTGAGCAATGCAGTACAGCAAGCAGCCACTTTTCGCTTTGTCAGGGCATTGCAGAAGCGCCATGAAAATCATCTCAACAACTGATAGCGCTGGCCTGTACGATACGACCGGAGGGAAATCCAAGACTTGGTGGTTGCGCGACGAGCCGTCTCAAAAGTACATAATAGCGCAATCAAGCAGTGACTGTCACACCAGAAATGCAGGCTCCCGAGACGTGATACCAGATCTTCGAGCTTTACCTGGTTATGAGGAGCGGTGTTCTGCGGGAGGCTCTGTAGACATCCGTTCCCACCTGTAACAGAACGATAGAGGAATCGTGTTGATACGATATACAGGGCCAGGTGGGTGGGTGTGAGTGGTACTCGGCGGTCGGGCCGCTCAGATTCAGCGCTCAGTCGGTTCGGTTTTGTTTGCAAAGCCTCCCCATACTCGTAAATTGTGCTTCTGTAACCTTGAAAACATTCACGGTCAGGAGTGACGGCTTCGGTGTTGTCGCATGAAGTGTGTTGTTTTAGCGATGGGAACGGCAGTTGGAAGCCGAGGTTGACTTCAAGCGCCCCTCCGACCAACTTCACGGGTCCTTGCCTGTCGGCTGGCGTCCAATGCTCCGAGGCCAAGTATAAAACTTTCCAGACGATCTGCGTCAGCACCCGACTACAGTGGGCATGAGACTGTGATGTTGCACGAGCTGCACGCCATCAGTTCAACATTGGCTTTTTCTGCACAACCTCTTAACGGGTGACTGCGGAAACCCGAAAACTTGACCCCCTTGGGATCGTCTACGCAGGAACGCTGCATCTTATCCCGCTTGGCACATATAATGTTCCTGACAGTGTGGATATTTGGTGCTGGGATACTGCGGCTCGCTGGATGTGAGAGATCGTCTTCGATGAACCAAAACTCGATAGACTGGCGGTACGATGGCGTTCTTGCCTGGCATAGCGTGTGCGTGCATGGTAGAGAGGGCAAGGACGGGAAGATGATGTGTCGCATGGCATGGCCACAGTCATATATATTCCCAATAGACCTCACAGCCCCATTACCCTTCTTCCCGTGTTACACTCTTCGGCTTTCTGTTATCTGCCGTTTTCAAGGGCTCCCCGCATCTTTTCTTTGTTCACCACACTCTCGTGCTGGTATCAGAGCGCCATGGCAGAAGCTCTAACAGTGCCTCTTCCTTTGGCCGACGAGAAGGCTCGGAAGTCGTCCCTGGAGCAGTCTCAGAATGATTCACTGGAATCCATTGAGAGGATCAGAGAGGTCGATCCTGATATCGAGAGAAGAGTCGTACGCAAGTGTGACTGGTGGGTTGTGCCTGCTCCAACTGTTATGTTCATGCTGTCTTTCATCGATCGGTAAGCCTAATTTATTCGACTCTGCAGAGGATTCAGGACTGACGATATGAGCTCAGAGTCAACATCGCGAATGCCAAGATTGAGGGTATGTTGACCGACCTTCACATGGTCAAACACGACTACAACATCGCCTTGTTCATCGTCTTCATTCCATTCATCCTCTGCGAGACTCCTAGCAACATGATCTTGAAGCGCATCACTCCACGCGTTTGGCTGAGCTTCTTGCTGTTCGGCTGCGGGCTCATGGCCATTTGTCAAGGCGTGACAGGATCTTTCGGTGGTCTGGTCGCATGTCGGTTTGTTCTTGGTATCTTCGAAGCTGGCATTTCTCCGGGAAGTATACTCCTCATCACCATGTACTACCGTCGCGAAGAGCTGCCTCGCAGAATCTGCTGGTGGTATATGTCGGGCACCATAGCAGGAGCTTTCGGCGGTCTGCTCGCATACGCTTTGGCAAACATGTAAGCAGCCACAAGCTTATTGTGTACTTATGCTGATGAGCACAGGAGCGGAGTCAGAGGATACAGCGGATGGAGATGGTCAGTCGATTGTCTTTTACTTCCTGACAAGAGCTGACAAGCTGTGTAGGATCTTCATCATCGAAGGATGTGTTACCGTAGTCATGAGCATAGTCATGTACTGGTGGCTTGCAGACTGGCCAGCGGACTGCCGCTTCTTGACTCCGGACGAGCATAAAGTGCTCATGTGGCGCCTCATGGACGACAGCGAAGGCGACGCCAAGATGAATCGCGTGAACTGGTCCAGGTGTGCGAGAGATTGGAAAGTCTGGGTTGCGTAAGTCTTCGCATCTTGGGTCTGCTCAAAGTCACTGACGTTTGCGAACAGCACTGTCATGTACTTCGGTATCGTAGCTCTTAACTACTCAACCAACAACTTCAACCCGACTCTTCTGAAGGAGCTTGGCTACACATCTGCAGCAGCTCAGGTCAGTAATGTTAGCAGTATTCGCAGACCGAGTGCTGACAAAACCAGATCCACTCTATCCCTCTGTATGTTGTCGCCAGTGCCTTCTGTCTTGGCTCGTGTTATCTATCGACATACGTGAATAACAGGTTCTGGCCATTGCAGTCCGGGGTGCTCCTCGGCAGCGTTGGCTTCGTTATCCTTCTTGCTCAAAGATCACCTGCGATTGGGCCTCACATCGCGTACATGGCGCTCTTCTTCATCACCAGTGCAGGCTACATTGTTCAGCCAATGGTCGTGTCATGGGTCATGAACAACGCCTCTGGGCATTACAAAAGGGCGTTCACCTCAGGCACCATGATCGGCCTGGGAAATGCTGGCGGGCTGGTATCGAGCAATGTCTTCTTCCAGGAAGAGTCGCCTTACTACCAGACTGGATATGGCACGTCGTTGGCATTGCTGATTTTGACGTCTGTCGCGGCGGTAGTCTTCTATGTCGGGCTCAAGAGGGAAAATGCGAAAAGAGACGCTGGCGAGCGTGACCACCGTCTACAGCTGGCAGATGCTGACAATCTTGGGGATGACCATCCTTCTTTCCGCTTCAGCTTCTGAGAATGACGAAGATTTCGAAAGTTGGGAGATACAAGCTCCAAGGCTTCCTGTAGAGAAGAGTCTCTGTCGCAAGGCGGAAGTTCACGAGACACGATCAGCGTTCATGTTGGGTCTTTCTTTCTGGCGCAATAGGACATAGGTATTTTGTTCGAGAATCGAAACTCGTTACACAATTTGCTGAATGCATTGCTTTGGAAGACAATAGTGGGAGAGGTTGGGAGTAGCGCGTAGAAGAGGCTGGTGATTGACATCACCGTCTAATGGTCCGTGCAGAAACACCTCACCTTTGGTCGCGCTTCACGCGCCTTTCTTCTTTCTCCTTTCAAACTTCATTTCACATTCCCCAAGTGATGATTGCGACCAGAGATACCGCCGTCACTACGGTCTGGTCTGTGGATTGATAGTCGATGGAGCCAGAGTACCTGAGATTCAGGCAAACGAGGAGAACACGAGACCGTCTCAAAACCGCTTGGTTACAGTGGCCATCATCAGTAGTATTTGCATAGGTATGTTCTCCTACATTGGCTACGGTACCTCTCTTCGCCTTGATTCGAAACGTAGGGGCTTTGAGGCTTGCCAGAGAGTATCGCTCCTGCCTGCCTCAGATGATCATACCCCTCGTCCTGATTGCCGGCAGGACGCAGCTTCCCGAGTGCCATCAAATCTGTGACACCCAATCGTTCGTCCCGTCGGAGTAGGCGTTTGTGAAATTGGGCTTGTTGAAGGAACTACTGGCTGTCCTCGAGTGATTGCTTGCGTCGAGGACTTCACTTTAGCTGTGAAAGTTCCTATTGTCGTTTGTAAGATTCTTCAATGTCAGTCACTGCGAGTCGTCATTGTTTGCAGCGCCTTCTCGACTCGACATGACCTCGTTGCTTCCCTAAAAGTTCTCAAATTACTCGAATCTCTCTTTCTATCTGCGCATACTATTTCTCGACACTCTGTAAAACCAAGCCAAAAGAGACTGGTTCGCGCCTGCCGCAATGGCCCCAATTCAGTCTTTGGACCTCTGGTCAAATCTCATCACCCGCACTGCTAGCGTACACCACACTCGAGTGCCTCTTATCCAAGGCGTTGCCATTGGCCTCGTTTCGCTGGCATTTGTCATCTGCACATTGCGCCTCGCCATCCGCTTGAGCAGACACACCACAAGCTATGAAGATGGTTTCATCGCATTCGCCATGGTAGGTTTGCATACATCACCAAAAAATTCTCTTGCTGACACTTTCGAAGCTCTTCTCGGTCTTGGAAAGCGCAGTTGCCTATCTGTGTATGTCAACATCATTTTTTTCGAGTCGACTTCCTCTAATTTCCCAAAAGCAGCTCAAAATGGCTACGGAGCTCTTGTGTCTACTCTATCCGATAAACAGCTAGCTAGAGCTCTCATGGTATGCCTTTCCCTCACAATGAATGATCGTATTGCTAACATCAACAGTGGTTCTGGTGGGCTCAAGTAATGTACAAACTCACCATCTGGCCTACTAAGCTCTCGATCCTCTTCCTCTACCTCCGCGTCTTCGGTGACACACCCAACGTCACTTCGTTTGGTGTTAATTTCCGCAAATTTGTGTACGGACTTATGGCCTTCTCCGCCGTCTTCTGTGTCATCACACTGATCGTCAACGTTCTCACATGCATTCCTGTCAAGCACTACTGGGACAAGAATTCTTCTGGCCATTGTGGCGTCGACCCCTTCAGCTGGTGGCTGTCACAGTCTCTTCTCAACACCATATCTGATATACTGATTCTTGTCTTGCCTATGCCGCTTGTCAAGAATCTGCTTCAGATCCCGGCCCGTCAGAAGCTCGGTCTTTGCTTGGTCTTTGGACTCGGCGGCTTGTAAGTTACTATCCCTCCTTCATTCTCCCAGCTCTAACACAGTGTAGTGTGGTCATTGTGACTATTATGCGTATCACGACTTTCAAGTCAGGAGGCTTGGGCGATGACATAACTTGTAAGTTTCCACTTCTCAGGCCTTCCAGAAAAGACACTCGAGCAAGGTGCTGACTACAACACAGATGACGGTGCTGTCACGCTATGCTGGACTCTAGTCGAAACCAACGTGGCCATCATCTGCGCCTGTTTGCCGCTGCTTCGCCCATTCATCGCTCGCATGATTCCTGGATTCTGTGGCCGCTCTGGTCTTCGCAGCACCAACAGCTACCCCATGGTCCAGCCCACCACAACAGACGATGCTACTGGCAAGCCACGCAGCAGCCATGTCCCCGAAAGAATGCGCCCTCGCTCATGGGTTGGCATTGAGACGGTCATAGGTCATGGCTCGGAGCAAACCTCTGGTGTCGGCATCCACAAGCAGATGGATGTTGACATAACCACGGAGGCTGTGAGCATCTGCGGCACCGATTCTCTGCGCCGCCTCACCTGTCAACATGACGAAGTCACGATCAACGATTCCAGAGACTCAGAGTCTACGACTGAACGCAAATAGAATATGTCTGACATGAAGCTCGACAGGGTTGGAAGATGGCTGTTCGCATGAATTTGGGTGGTAGTTACTAAATCGAGCAAACGGATCTTTTTCACTTTCTCCCCTCATCTCGCCATTCCCACATGCATTCGTGAATTCAGTCGAGACTCAGCGCGACATGAACGCACATGTCAGGGTTGTATGTTCAACAATGCTTGCAGCGATTGGTGATGGTATAACTGCTCAGCAACACATATTCAGCTGCACATAATGTGTGCATTCCATGCTTTGATGACAGGGTTTACTGCTGGTTGATGCTCAGGCAAGCATTAAGCTCTAACGTCGCTCCCGTGGCAAAAATGTGGTTTTGGAATGTGTTATGTGAAATACGGGATGTTAATGCATTGATGGTTGTGGAAATTCTGGACAAGCTGGTCTGAAAAGCATTATACTGCTATAACGCGTCGACCACCTTCCACATCCACTCAACTTATATGACAGACATTAGATAAATATCTCAGATACGAGATATACATTTAACTATAGAACAAAAGTACGTTGCCGTGGAGTTATGCTGCCGGGCACCTCGTAAAGGCTTGTTTTGGGTGTGACCCTGTCGTGAAGCTTTTCCACGGAGGCCAGATCACGACGTATCTCTTTCTTGGTGTCTCTCTTCAATTCAACACCATGTGTATTCAAATCAGCAGGAGCCCGGGCACATATCGAACCATGCGATGCTTCGCAGGCAGCTGCTATCCTGGAAGATGGATATGATGAGATTCACAAAGTCACTGCGGGGAAGGTAGACGGTGGAAGGAGGGAAGACAAGGGAAGAAACCGTTGTAGAGGCCTTTCACGACAATTGTTCTCTTGGTCAGCGACGGAAGATCTTACTTCGACCTCTGCGTTGTACAATATCGAACAACAAGGGGATCTGCGGCAATAGAAGAGTTTATAGATGATCTGATAGAGAAACAAAGGTAGATAAAAATAGCTGCCAACTGGCCTCGAATGTTGAGCGCGGGCGGACAACCCCTGGGCTTGGCAGCGGGAACGCGTCGCTCCCGAACTTGGGAGTGGGAGCTTCTTTGGAGAGGAAAGTGGCCGTTCCATCAGCTCCACGCTGGCATCTTGAAAGGGGTGCATTCTCGTTCTCGTTTCCCTAGGATCGATCCTTTAGAGACGTTTCTCCCTCTTCCTTTCTTCTTCAACTTGTTGTAATCCTTTCTTCCTTTTCGTCCACCCGACGACTTTGGCCCCCTTCTTAATTTTTGTTGCTTCTTTTCCGTTGCTTGTGCCGATTCGAGCTCCAGCTAGCTTGAGTAGGCGCTTCTGAAAAAGCAGGGCCAAGCACATACGCCCAAACAGGCCGACTTTCTGATATCGAAACCGCCACGTTTCCTCATCCAACATGGCTGCGACAAATCAAGGATTCGCAACAGGCGCAGACCGCGATGCCGCGGAGTTGAGAAGAAGAGCAGGCGCTCCCGCACAGAATGGCGCTGTCCAACAGCAGCCCATCATTGATGACAAGAAGAAGCAGCAGGTAAGCAGAGCTCCTCCAGATTGACCATGCATGGACTGACGCACATCCTCCAGGCTAAGAGCATTGTAAATGTCATCGACGACTGGGAGCCCATCTTCGCACCCATCATCTTCACTGCACTCGCCTTCTTCACCCGTCTTTGGAAGATCGGTCTTTCGCCCATTGTCACCTGGGACGAAGCGCATTTCGGCAAGTTCGGCTCGCACTACCTGCAGCGCGAGTTTTACTTCGATGTCCACCCTCCGCTGGGAAAGATGCTGGTTGGCCTTTCGGGCTACCTGGCCGGATACAATGGCACCTTCGAGTTCAAGTCCGGTGATACTTATCCCGAGGAGATCAACTACGTCTTTATGCGCCAGTTCAACGCAGCTTTCGGAGCTCTGTGCATTCCTTTGGCATACTACACGGCTAAGGAGCTCAACTTCCGCAAGACCACTGCCTGGTTCGTCACCCTGATGGTTCTGTTCGAGAACTCGTACGCCACCATCAGTCGCTTCATTCTTCTCGACTCTATGCTTCTCTTCTTCACCTTCACCACCGTTCTCTGCTGGGCCCGTTTCCACAGACTCCAAAGGCAGCCTTTCTCTGCCCAGTGGCTTCTCTGGCTTACGCTCAGCGGTCTCTCGATCGGCTGTGTGTGCAGTGTCAAGTGGGTCGGTATGTTCGGAACTGCTTTGGTTGGTCTTTACACAATTGAGGACCTGTGGAACAAGTTCGGTGACCTCAGAATGCCCAAGGTATGTTGCAACATTCTGGTTACGAAAAGGCTGATCCGCTGACATATTTTACAGACTGAGCTCGCTGCTCACGTTGGCTTCCGCGTCGTCGGCCTGATCGTCATCCCCATGATCGTCTACATGTTCTCCTTCTACATGCACTTCCTGATCCTCGAGAACAGCGGACCAGGCGATGCTCAGATGAGCTCTCTCTTCCAGGCCAACCTTAAGGGTACTGAGGTCGGAGTTGACAGCCCTCTCGAGGTTGCTCTTGGCTCTCGTGCCACACTCAAGAACATGGGATACGGTGGTGGTCTTCTGCACTCGCATATTCAGACATTCCCCGAGGGCTCGCAACAGCAGCAAATCACTTGCTACCACCACAAGGATGCCAACAACGACTGGTTCTTCTACCCCAACCGTCACGAGCCCGAGTTCGATGCCGACGCTCCTCTTAAGTATGTTGGCAACGGCGATGTCATTCGTCTGATCCACGCCCAAACTGGCCGTAACCTGCACTCGCACTCTATCGCCGCTCCCGTCACCAAGGCCGACTACGAAGTTTCTTGCTACGGCAACACCACCGTCGGCGACACCAAGGACCACTGGGTTGTCGAGGTTGTCAACGACGCTTCTTCGCGCGATTACTCCAAGATCCGCACTCTGACTACCGCCTTCCGTCTCAGACACATCGACCTCAACTGCTACCTCCGCGCTGGCAACGTCAACCTGCCTCAGTGGGGTTTCAAGCAGATTGAGACCACCTGTGTCAAAGAGAACCACCCTCGCGATGTCTACACCCACTGGAACGTCGAGTCTCACTGGAACGAGAAGCTTCCCGCTGCCGACACTGGCGCCTACAAATCTCCTTTCCTTCGTGACTTCATCCACCTGAACGTCGCCATGATGACTTCTAACAACGCCCTTGTCCCTGATCCGGACAAGCAGGACGACCTTGCCTCTGCTCCTTGGCAGTGGCCTCTTCTCAATGTTGGTCTCCGCATGTGCGGCTGGGACGACCACATTGTCAAGTACTTCCTTCTTGGTAACCCCTTCGTCTACTGGGCCAGTACCGCTTCTATTCCTGCTTTCGGTCTTCTTTTCGCCTACTACCTCGTTCGCTGGCAGCGTGGCTACAACGAGCTCTCGCAAAAGGACATGGACCAGATTCACTACGCTGGTATTTACCCTGTTATTGGTTGGGTTCTTCACTACGCACCTTTCATGGCCATGGGTCGTGTTACCTACGTCCACCACTACTACCCTGCTCTTTACTTTGCCATCCTCTGTCTCGCCTTCTGCACCGACTGGGTTACCAGCCGCCTCCCTCGCGCCATCCAGTACAGCGTCTACGCTGTTCTCTACACTGTCGTCATTGGTCTGTTCTGGACATTCAGAGCCATCACCTTCGGTATGGAGGGAAGCCACACTCAATGGGCTCACCTCAAGTGGCTTGACTCATGGCGTATGACCGATTAGAGAATAGCCAGATGGGATGAGTAGCTTTGCAATGACGAAGTCAGTACATTCGCGAAGAATAAAAAGGAGTACGGAAAACCGAATTTGTCTGGTCTCAAAGAAACGCGTAAAGATTTCATGGACTTGTGCAGCGAAAGGGGGGATGACTAAACATTTTCCTTGGTATAATTCTCCTTCTACAAGTCAAACGGAATATTTTTCCTTTTTCCTTCTGCTTTCCCCTCTTTTTGTGCGTGAGCCGTGAGCCCTACGAACTACGTGACCGAATCAACAAAGTCCAGACCATGACGTAGGAGATATGCTCTTAGGAGATGGACTGGCGTAACGTCTCGAAATCGTGCAACTCGACAACAAGCATGAGGTGCATTTTGGTGCTGCTCTCAAGAGCAGGCCTCAGTGGACATCTGTCTGCCAAAAGACACGAAGAGATTGAGATACCATGGCTTGTCCAGTGAGATAGCAACACACTAGAGCTCTCAATGGACACTCTCTTTCTCACCAAAAACTTTGTGCATTTTTACCGCTTGTCATTGCGACCATCGTTGGTACTGGGATGCCTGCCATGGATCATCTCCTAGAGAGACCTTGATAGCAGGCTGAGGTCATGAACTCGCAAGTAGTGTATTTGACCTCCTCGAACCGACCCTCCGCTAACGTCCAATTACTGCCATGCACAATGGCCAATCTCAGGAGGTCTTGTACAATGTGAGCCTATTCACTGCGTTGCCCGGATGTGGAAGGCTGGACTTGACATTCAACTTCACGTTTTTTAAATCGTGTAATTCACTCTTCTAGACATGTTCAAGAACATGAGTTTCAAGCATCAACATAGTGGGTCCTCTCACACAATCTTCGAAGAAAGTTGATTGTCTGAGACAAAGACGACAAGCAGATGAAAGTAGGATGTTCGTTGAAACAAAGGCGGAACGCACGGACATAAACCGGTTGCGGGCTAACCCTGAATCGAAAATGTGGGGAGGACGATTGGCCAGATACCGGAAGTTTGATGAATGCCGTCGCCCTCGACCTTTGCTTGAGAGCTGAATGCTGCGTGACCCTGTGACAACAGTAGCAACAACGAGCGACATTCGAAGAGTCCGAGCGAGTTGACGTGGCAAGAGAGCGGGAAACAGGAAACAGGGCCGGGAAGATTGATATTCTGGGCAGTCGCCAGTCAGCCGCCTTTGTGCTTCTTTCCCTTTCGACCCGAGATTGGATTGAAGGGCATACGACGCCGCCAATCTTTTTTGCTCCTTCCTGGACAGTCTTTAAACCTCATTGATACCTCGATACACACCTATCCGGCACCCTCATTGGCCAGCGCAGACGTCCCCTAGAGCAGCTTGTCGAGGACGAAGCTCTTTTCGGAAACCCAGGCCAACACGGACGAGGCGCACCTGACATGAACATCTCATACTAAAGCGGCCATGTTTTCTTCGGGCTCGGGCGATGCCAAAGGGCGGCAGACATCGGGCGGCAAGTCGTTCTTCTCGCGCCGTCACCACAAGGACAAGCACAACGAACACGTGCCCGACAGTCCCTCGCTGCCCTCGAACTGGTCGCAAAACCCCCTACCACCCGTGCCTCCTCCGCACCAACAACAACACCAGTACCACCAGCAACCGCCTTCTTCATCGCATTCGCATTCTTCGCGCCAATCCATCGACCATGGCGGTGGCCTCATGACTGCCATCCCGTATGACAGCGTTCCGCGAGACACAAGGTCTCCAGTACGTGTTGATTACCTACCACAAGAGAACAACTCACAACTACCTCCTCCACCGCGGCCACCGCAACATACGTCACAGTATTCGCTGGCCAGCACTGGCCGTACAAGCTCGTATGAGAACTCAATACACTCGCAGTATGACCAATATCCGGCCTCAGATAGGGCCAGCATACGCTCTAGCCACAGCCATCGCACATCAATATCCATGCATCCACAACATTCGCCGTCATCGTTTCCGAACATGTCACTCGATTCGACTACTCTCCTTCCCCAGTTAGCCCCTTCATCCACTCGTGGATCTCAGCAGAATGGCTTTCTCAGCGCCAATCAACCCTCCGCATTCAGCTCTACCGCTTCCTTCACTCCCGACGGTTTTAACCTCCAACGTCCGAGCGATGATCGCATAATCGAGAAAGAGTTTTTGGAGCTCATGCACAAGCGTGGATGGAAGAGTTTGCCTGAACAAGCCCGAAGGCAGATGGAAGCATACCCTATAAACAAGAAATGGACCTTGGTACATCAGGACAGATTGGCCGAATGGCAGGGCGAACAAAAAAGACGCATGCACGCGAGAACGACTATCAATGCCGACTCGAGTCTGGGTATTCTGGGTCGTGCCGATGAAGAGGGGAGCCCGGAATGGTATGTCCGCAAAGTCCTGGATAACTCGATCAGCGCGAAGCAGTTGCAAAGTTTGGCCGTCAGTTTGCGAACGCAGCCCATCGGATGGGTCAAGGCTTTCGTAGAGGCACAGGGTCAGGTTGCTCTGGCTAATGTGCTCGGAAAGTACAACCGCAAGCAAACTCAAGGCCCGACAAATCCTACTGTTAACGACAGAGATCTGGACCGCGAGTACGATATCGTCAAATGTCTAAAGGCTTTGATGAACAACAAATACGGTGCAGACGATGCTCTCGAACATGCTCCTATCGTGAACGCCCTTGGTGCGTCTCTCATTTCTCCTCGACTGAATACCAGGAAGCTTGTCAGTGAAGTTTTGACCTTCTTGTGCCATTGGGCAGAAGGACGCGGCCATCAAAAGGTTTTACAAGCTCTGGACTCGCTTAAGTCTTCTCAAGGCGAGAATGGCCGCTTCGATGCTTGGATGCGTATTGTTGAAGTCACTGTTGATGGTAGAGGCAAGATGGGCAGTCTTGTTGGAGCCAGCGACGAGGTTCGCAGTGGTGGTATTGGTATGGAGAACCTGCTCATGGAATACGCGGTTGCTTCTCTGTTCCTCGTCAACATGATCGTTGATGCTCCGGAAAGAGACCTGCATCTGCGCTGCCATATCCGTGCACAATTCACAGCATGTGGCATCAAGCGTATCCTCAACAAGATGGAGCAGTTCCAGTACGATATCATCGACAAGCAAGTTGAGAGATATCGAGCGAACGAGATCATCGACTATGAAGATTTGCTTGAAAAAGAGAATCAAGTCGATGGCCAAGAACCGGAGCCACAGGACCTCAGCGATCCTGTGCAAATTGTTCAAGCAATCATGTCCAAGGTGAATGGCAGTCATTCGGCAGATTACTTCGTGTCTTCGTTGCAACATTTGTTGCTAATAAGAGACAACGAGGCTGAAGACAGACTTCGTATGTTCCAGCTTGTGGATGCTATGTTGAGTTATGTTGCCATGGACAGGCGATTGCCTGATATGGATCTCAAGCAGAGTCTTAACTTCACTGTCCAGAGTTTGATGGACAAACTGTATACAGACTCTGAAGCCCGACAAGCAAGAGATGAAGCCTTGGAAGCTCGCCAGATTGCCGAGTCTGCGCTTGCAGAACGAGACGAACTGAGAGCTCAGCTCGAGCTTGGTGCAGACGGCTTGGTCAAAAAGCTCACAAAGTCGCTCGAGGAACGAGACTCGGTAATTCAAGTTCAGCAGCGCCAAATCGATGGTCTCAAGGCAGAGCTTTTGGAAGTCCAACGAGTGCGAGCTTTGGAATTACAACGCAATGAGTTGGAGACTAGAGAGCTATATCTTATGCTGCGCGATGCTCAAGATATCGCAGCCGCGTCCGCCAAGACTGGCACCAAAAGCGGTACTGCAACCGATCCCACTCAAATGCAAGGTATTCTGGACCGCGAGAGGCTCATGGATCGTCTGGAAATGCAGCTCGAAAGAGCAAAGACACAGGCCAAGCTCGAAGGCAAGGTCTGGCAACAAGTCGATCCTTCGGATAAGCTCCGCGAGTTGCGTGAGAAGATGGATGGAGTGGGTGTACAAACCGGTGCCATCCCTGACAGTTTGCCTGATGGCTACATTGGAAGCGTTTCCAGGACTCAAAGAGGTGGTATTGCTCGTAAGCCCCTTCCTGGTCAGCCTCAACAAGACGGCGATCAGTCGCTGGATGAGGACGATGAAGATGCCACTGTTTACGAGAAGCCTCGTATTGTCCAGATGAAGCGACCCAAGATCAGCTCCGCACATGCTCAGGCTGGTTACCTTAATGACATTGTTAGCAAGGTCCGCCGTATTGACGGAAGCGATGACGAAGGCGATGACAAGACTATCGGTTCATCGCACTCGAGGAACGTCTCTACCCAGTCCAGACATGTGTCTTCGCACTCCAGACATGTATCCTCGCACTCCAGGAACGGTTCAGCCCAGCATGCCAGAATTCCTTCTGCTCAGCTCAAGCCTTCTGCAGATGGTGAGCTCAAATTTGATGGCTCTATGCCTCCTCCACCTCCTCCTATGCCAGGCTTTAACGGAGCTTCCGCCCCTCCTCCACCGCCCACGTCTGGCTTCAATGGTGCTCCTCCTCCGCCACCACCGATGATGCCAGGCTTCAACGGAGCTGCTCCTCCACCTCCTCCTCCTATGATGCCTGGTTTCAGTGGCGCTGCCCCTCCTCCTCCTCCCATGATGCCTGGTTTCAATGGCGCTGCTCCTCCTCCACCCCCAGGCATGCCTGGATTCGCTTCTGGCGCACCTCCACCGCCACCAATGCCCGGATTCTCTGGACCACCGCCCCCACCGCCACCAGGAATGCCTGGGTTCTCCACTGGTGCTCCTCCTCCACCCCCGCCGATGCCTGGTTCACCTATGCCAGGATTTGGTGGCCCACCACCTCCCCCTCCGCCAGGTATGCCTGGTATGAAGGCTGGAGGACCGCCCCCACCCCCTCCTCCACCCGGAGCGCCTCCTATGCCTGGAGCCAGACGAGGTGGATTCTTGCCTCAAGCACAGTATGCAGCTTCCTCCAGCATTGGTATGGGTGTTGCAAGACCTAAGAAGAAGCTCAAGGCTTTGCATTGGGAGAAGGTTGACTCTTCCGAGTTCACCATGTGGGCTTCACACGCACCTACCCATGAGGCCAAAGAAGAAAAGTACGCCGAGCTTAGCAAGAAGGGTATTCTTGACGAGATTGAGCGTCTCTTCATGGCCAAGGAGATCAAGGCAATCGGCAAGAAGGAGAAGAAGAGCGACAAGAAGCAGATCATGCCCAGCAATCTGATGCAGACTTTCCAGATTTCTTTGGCAGTCTTCTCACAACGGCCTTTGGAAGACGTCGTTCGTATGGTCATACATTGCGACAAGGAGGTTTTAGAAAACCCTGTCGTCATGGAGTTCTTGCAGAGGGAGGATATGTGCACTATTCCCGACAACACATCGAAACTCATGGCACCTTACAGCAGAGATTGGACTGGACCGGACGCGCTGAAGTCGGCTAGAGAGCAAGACCCTTCGGAGCTTACTCGTGAGGATCAAATCTACCTCTACACAGCCTTCGAACTGCACCACTACTGGAAGGCCAGAATGAGAGCGTTGGCACTGACCAAGAGTTTCGAGCAAGAGTACGACGAAGTTTCAGACAAGTTGAAGATGGTATGCAATGTATCAGAGTCTCTTCGTGACTCTGTGCGTTTGATGCCTGTCTTCGGTCTCATTCTCGACATCGGCAACTACATGAATGACTCCAACAAACAAGCCATCGGTTTCAAGCTTAGTTCGCTCGCCCGTCTCGGTATGGTCAAGGATGATAAGAACGAGTCCACCTTGATGGATTACGTCGAGCGTGTTGTACGCAGACAGTATCCTCAATGGGAAGGCTTCACCGAAGATATTGGCGGTGTCGTTGTTGCTGCCAAGCTGAATGTCGATCAGCTGATGGTCGATGCTAAGAAGTATATTGACAACATCAAGAACGTGCAAATGTCCTTAGATGCTGGTAATCTCAGCGACCCGCGCAAGTTCCACCCTGAGGACAGAGTCAGTCAGGTTGTGCAGCGATCGATGAAAGAGGCAAGAAGAAAGGCCGAACAGATGGAGCTGTATCTCGGTGAGATGAAGCGGACATACAACGACATCATGACCTTCTTCGGCGACGACAATCAAGACGAATCGGCGAGGAGAGAGTTCTTCACCAAGCTGGCCAACTTCGTCAACGAGTATAAGGTGAGTTTGATCGATTGTGCTAGAACTGAGAAATTATGTACTAACACTCACAACAGAAATCGCACGAGAAGAACACTTCTCAAGAGGAAACGCAACGTCGTAATGAGGTCTCAATGCGTCGCAAGGCACAAGCCAGTCAATCTGCTCTCGAGAAGGCTACTTCAGACCCTGCTGGACCTCCATCACCTGCCTCTCAAGGTGCCATGGATACATTGTTAGAGAAGCTTCGCGCCGCCGCTCCTGCTACTAGAGATACCAGAGATCGCCGACGACGAGCCCGCCTCAATGAACGTCACCAACGCCGTGTAGCATCTGGACAACAGATGCCCGAAATTGCTGGCGTGACCTCACCAACCGATGATACCGCTCTCATGTCTCCAACTTCGGAGAACGCACCGGATCGTCCGTCAACTTCAGACAGCACATCGCTCGCCCCTCATGTCGAAGAGGACAAGGGCGCAATTAGCGAAGGTGAAGACGTTGCAGACCGTGCAGCCACTCTTCTGCAGGGCCTCCGTGGCAGCACTGGCGACAATGATGAGCCGCCACTTCCTCGCGATAGCGAAAATCTCCGTGTTCGTCGACGCCGCGATCATGCCGATAGCGAACGCGAGCGCCGCCGACGAAGACGCGCACCGGGCACCAGCACTGCATCCACCGATGGCCGTCCCCAAACTGGCATCAGCGAAGCCAGCGCTGACCACCACGACGACGACACCAGATCCGAAATCGGTGATACCAGATCAGACGTCGGCAATGGCGATGTCGGTGATAACATGAAGTTGGATCTACAACTCATGACACCCTTGGCCAGTCCCGCATTGACCTCTCCACCCATCACCATCGTCAGTCCACCATCACCCACAACAACCGCCGAGAAGAGAGATTTCAGCACACCACTTGGCAGTCCCAGGTTATCTTGAGCACTAGAGTAGGATAGGAAAGCTGTTTGGGTCACGGGTGTTTCTGGATGTTTCCCCCCCTTTTTGCATACAGCAAAACCCCTATTGTAATTGTCTGTTTGTTTGTCGTCTTCGTTTTCTGCGCACCAATACCTAAGCGTCACTTCTTTTTTTGTTCTGTCTTCTTCTGCATAGTGGGAGTTTCATGGAGAGGAGAAGTAGAGACTTTTGATATAGAAAGGTTGGTTTTCTATTGACCACAGTTTTTTTTTCTTTCGATCTTTTGCTTTATTTGTATGTGTTTTTTGTTTCAGGTGATTGCGATGTGATGTATAATGATCTTGACGTAGGAGTGGTAGTTTACCACCGAGAGAGAAAAAGGTTCGGGCTTTCCTGGCCATCTAACTCACAGTCAAAATCGTCCCCCCAGCTTAGTTTTTTTTCCTTGCCCAGGGATCATTGCGAATCAAGAAGAGTTGAAAGATCTTGTGCCAATCTCTCATTGCATATTAAAGTACTCGGGAGAGGAAAGCCAGCAGAGGATGAAAAAAAAAAAAAGAAAGGGCAAAGAAGAAAAAAACTGCAATGAAGAAGAAAGGTGCTTGTGCGTTTTTGTTCCGGTGATTATATTTTTCTCTTTTGCGAAATTGAGTCTTTGTTCTGCCCAGTTCATTTTAGTTTGGTTCAGTTTAGTTAAGTTCAGTTCATGGGCGAACAAGTTAAGAGAAGAAGAAGAAGAAGAAAAAAGAAGAAAGAAACCTGTCGAATATTCTGCCAGACCACGTGCGGAAAGAACAATGCAATCGCCTATCCACTTGCATTTTCGCAGCTTGGTGGTTTGAAGAAAGAACAAATCTGGCAGGTGGTGCATAGTAGTAGTAGTAGTAGTAGTACAACGGCGATGTTGTTCCCCTTGTCGATTCACTTGGCCCTGTCGTGATATGCGTTGTTGAAGCCGGTGCGAAATCTTGCACATCAGAGAACTCCCAATATAACCTGGCCCACCCTTGTGTACCTTTTAAAAACTCGCCGTCGAAAACAAATATATCCGTGTGATGAAAACTGCGGAGGAAGGAGAGGTAGACCATTATCAATCTTCGAATATCATTTTTCCGGCAGTCTCGCCACTGATTTTGCCGCTTCCATATTTTACTGTCGTGGTAAGGGTGGCTTGTTTCCCGTACGTTTCCAAAGTCTCCTATGAGCCAGTGATATGGATCGTCTGAGATGAAAATGTTGGCCGGTTTGATGTCGTCGTGACAGAATCCTTGTGCATGGATGCGGGTGAGTGTTTGCAGTACTCCTTCGAATGAGCTTCTGAATATATCGTCCAGGTGGGATGTGGTGAGATTGGGTGCTAGATCTAGCAGTCGAGCGATTTTGGGACCGGCGTTGTGCAGAGTGCCGTACTGGTAGAATTTTGTGACCAGTTGCCATTGTTTCGATCCTCCGTCGTCGACGATAAAGTAATCTTTTACGTTGACCAGTCCATTGTTAATAGGCTCTCTACGCTCGGTGTGCAGTTGATTGGCGTGTAGCAGCATAAATTGTAGCTCGGTTGGCCATCTGGTTTCTCCGAAGATTGTTACAGCTGCATCTGGCAGAGTATTGCGCAAAGGACTTCTGTCGACATAGAAAGACTTTATAGCTACATTCTGGCCCGTCCTGGTGTCGTTGTATATGCTGATAGCGCCTTCAAAGCCAGATGATAACGCACTTTTGAAAATGTACCGCTCCAGTGATGGCGCATCGCTCAGAACCTCGTGAATTCTCGGTCTGTCTAGGCAATATCTTGAGGGACATTCAAATTGGTCCAGAGGCTGGGTATGGACGAAAAAGTCAGTTGGCAGAAACCTGGGTGTGCCGAGCAGCTTTGATGGGCTCGTCGGCAGTAGGATGAAGTAGCTGAACAGAATGATATAAAGCAGTAGCCATAGCGCGAGTCGTCCGTACGGTCGAGGAACCAGCATGTCAAATTGATGTCCATTGACACATGTTGCGTATTCGCTTTGCTTTTATACCGCTGACGGCTCTAAAAAGCCAAGGTAATAAAGCATATCCAAGCGATGGTTTAGTCCCCTCGAGAGTTGGAATTTGGAGGATCATGGCGGGTGTGTCCTTCCTCCAATCGATTCAGACGGGTTCCAAGTGCCCACCTCATACTTGGCAGTGACGTATCGGCTATGGTCCGCCTTAGTCCTCTATACCAGTCACTGGGAAGGGCATCCAGGTCATGCTTGATGTATGTGGTCGGGCTGTGTAGTAGTGAGTAGGAATGCAGCACGTTACCGACATATGATCATAATCTGGGCAGAGATTCTGTGGCAGTGTCGCACAGAGGCAGTGCAAATAGCAGATCAATGCAGCTATGATTCGAGCCCTGCCATGTTCCGTTGTGGGCAGAACCAAGGCCCCGCAGAGCTTGTACAGTATCATCAGCTTTTCATCAGTTCTGCCAACTTCTTCGATCTTTGATTGATGATGGATTCAAAGCCCGCGGGAGGTGAAGGTTGGCAGGTTGGCGCTATTGAACAACAGTTCATCGACTGTGCTAAATCTCTCCGCGGGATCTGTGACAGAGCACTGGAAGGGTCGGAGATTTCTCCATTTGGTTTGATTGGACATCTGACATGTCTGTTCATGGAAGCGAAAGACTAATTTGACCTTTATTCCCGAATGGCCGTGGAGAGATGGCAAGTCGGAATGGGGTTTGATGCTTGGAGCTCCGATAGTGACGGATGCCAACCGAAGCTGATCCGCCCCACGCCATCGCCACTTCCTCGGCTCGTCCCCCCGTTCTTACCACTTCCCTGGAATACGCACAACAACAGGACTTGCTGCAACGACAGAGATTGCTTGAGCTAAGGTATCGTCTTTGCGGTCGGTCAATCAATGTGGTGTTTGAAACAAGAATTTCGTATGTTAAAGCAGCCGTCTAAAGACCTGGTACAAATTCCTGAGGTCAGCAAATTATGAGGAAAATAATACCATTTATCGTATAAAGTACTCCGCGCTACCACTCATGACACAGGTGTCCCAGAACGCCATTTGTAATGCTTTGCTCGCTTCAATTGTATGAACATACCATGATCACTCCTCAACCCTGAATAGAAGCTTGAGGCTCAGCAGCATATTGCCCACACTTCCCCATCATCTTTCCAAAGTACTCGGTAACAAAGCTCTCCGTATAAAACTCGTGTTGCTGACTATGTTCAGAGACCAAATTGTGTGCCAGTTCATGACACAGAGTGACGAACCAATACACTGCTGCAGCTTGTTTGCCTACACCTCCTGCAGCGGTGAAGTTTTGCCAGTGCAACTGCAAAAAGTAGCGAAGGTTGCAGAAGATTGAGCCTTGGCGGTTGAAGGCGATACTGCTACCTGTTTCGTTATAGTAGATATGCAGTGATTGTGGCTTGAGGAGGAATACATTGCCGACGTCGAGTAGGAGGGCGGCGAACGCGTTAAGCTGAGCGGCGTGATTCTGCAGGAACGTTGCTCGAGAGGATGCAGGTATGGCGTTTGCAAGGAAGATCTTCACTCCAGCAGAAGTGTTGCCGATGAATGTAAGGTCCTGACCAGGTGTCTGGTCACAGTAGGATGGTGTTTCCTTGACTTGATTCTCTGTAGGTGGAGAGAATAGCGCGGCCGAGTCGTGAGCACGGGAAGAGTTGACTGCTGACATGAGATTCTGAGAGATCTGGTGAGGTGGGGTGATCTTTTCGGGCTGTTGAGCAACAGTAGACTTTTTCACAACTTGATTGGGGTTTTCCGAATATGGTGGCGGGGCATCAGAAGGTCCAGCTTCTGGACGAGGTGTGTCTTGCAACTGCTTCAGGCGTTGTTGCTGATGTTCCTGCTCTGCCGCACCCGTCTCAAATCCAAGCTGTCTTTGAAGGTTGGAGAAGAAGCCTGTGCTTCTCTTCGGACGCTGCGCAACCGTCGTCTCAGGAGAGGCGTCAAATGCACCAGGAATAGGTTTTGGCTTCTCAGGTGTGGCTTGTGATTGTTCCGGTGCATCGATAGCCCGTGATTGCTGTTGTGCATTCCATTCAGCCTCCCTCTCAGTGATCCTCTTTTGCTCCTCTTCCATCTGCTGTTGTCGCTTGTTCTCAGCCATACGATTCTCAGCAGCCTTCTGGCGCAGGATGCGGTCTACGTTATAGCCCTTGGTCTTGAGACGACGCAAATCACTTTCCAAGATCATCTCCAATGCAAGGAAATCTTGTTGCTTGGGTCTCTTGAGTAGAAGAGACATGATCGCACGTGCAACCTCGTAGAAGTCAGGACGAGCTGTCACGAATAGGGTCGCATCTTTTTTCGTGTCTCTATGCAGCGCAGCGGTTCTCTTCTCTTTGTATGTTGCATTGTACCCACGCAGAGTCTTTGTCAGAGTCAATGAGCTGACAACTTTGACGGCAAGGACGCTCTCGAGCCACTTCGAGTCATGGCGAATCATATCCGCAGTGTGGTCATGCAAGAATAGACGACAACGCTCAACAATCAAACCTTGAAGTTTTGCTGCAGAAGACTGATCGGGTAGAAGGCCGCCCATTCGCTGATCATCTTCGATAAGACTGCTAATCCAGGTGGCGCCGAGTCCAGCGTACAAATTCTCGAGTATCTCCTCTTGAGGACCAGCAAGCAATCTCTCCTTGAAAAGGCGGTAGCTGTAAAAATCATCAACAAGGATGATGCTCGAGGGTACGGCAAGATGCCATTCCTTGATAGCCGCTTCGTTGTCCTCAAAGTAGTCTTGTTCGTCTTCTGTGACCTTGCTACTAGCGGGAGCAATTTCCTTGACGGCAAGCAGGCATGGTGAGCGCTTGAGTGCAGCCCAAAGCATCTTGTCGTTCCTCAATCCACTTGCGTTGTCTGCTATGCGACGCAAAAGGCTGAGATATTTGTCTTGACCAAGCGTACCCAGCAGGCGTGATGGTTCGCGAACGAGCATGCCTGCAAGCTCTGGTGCACTGGGTTCATGCTTAGAACCAATCTTCAGTAGGAAAGAATTGGCCTCAGAGCCGAAATCAACAAAGTCAAAGATTTCACCGTAGGTGGCGCTGTCGCCCAAGAAACAAGTCCTAGGAGCAGTGTAGCGGACATTGTCGCTCTTCTCATTGCCTGAACCGGACTTCACGACTGGAATGATACGCGATTCACCCAGCTTCTCGGCAAGGTTTCCAGAAGCACCAATCTCGTTCAGTCGACCAGCAAAGTAGCTGAACACATTCTTAGCGTCTACGCGAGACTTGGGAGGGCTCTTTACAAGACGATCAGCGCAGATGGTGATGGGAGGGTCTTGCTCGACATTGAACAGAGCAGCATGCTTCTGCAGATCTTCTCTGATGATCTGAAACCCGAGCATGGCAGATCTTTTGTTGGCAAAGCATTGTGTAGGAGTTGCCAGCTTCTTTAAATCGCCGTCCTGAAGTGGTAGGAACGGTACTGTGACTCGCTCGACCGGGAAAGTACGGTATCCGTTGGTGTAGTGGTTGGTGATATAGTACTGAAGGGTCTTCTCGTACAACCTCGAATCACCCTCAGCAGCTGCCTTCGTCATGATTGGTATCAAGTCTTGAACACCAGGATAAGCCTTAAGTCCGAGCACGCTTAGGAATTTCGATTCGGGGCTGGCTTTGCGGAACTCCCCAGGCCATTGTAGAAGTGGTAAGCCGAGCTCTCGCAGAACAGGGAGCGGCTCGTACAGATCTGCGACCTTGAAAAGCTTGCCTTCGATAGCCTTCGCATCACCTTGCACTTCGGCAGGACAGATAGGCGTCTTACGCAACTTATCGTAATCGGCGCTTGGGATGTCTGTCTGAACACTGACAAGGTATTTGATCAAGTCAACATGACTCCACTTACCTTCTGCGGCGCCTGAGAATTTGGCCATGAGTCTCTCGAACACGACAGAGAGCTCAACAGTCTTGCGAACTCCAAGCGGCAGCAGGAACTTTTCCTTTACGCCTTGAAGACCATGCACAGTGGGCAGATCATCGAAGAGCCGCACGGATGCGAAGTAAGACTGAGCTGGCTTGCGCATTCCGAGCTTGGTGGGTATCACTGTCCTAGGCTCCAGGAGTTGAATGACAGTACCCTTTGAGGACTGACTAAGGCCATCCCATGACTTGGATACAACAGAAAGGACTTGACCAGAGAATTGAGGCGATTTGGTAAGGCTCTGCTCTGCGGAAAGGCCTGTACCGTCCTTCTCGATGACATAACGCAGCCATGGCACGATCTGAAGCTCACTCCAACCAAAAGCCTCAAGTTGATTCTTGGGAACATTCTTGACGAATCGGAAAGGAATGGTTGTCGAAGGCGCAGGAAGCTCAGCAGGGATCTTGCTTGGGTTGGAAAACGAGTCAATACTGCCTAGGAGTAATACCGGACTAGGGTAGGTACTAGTGTATTCCTCGGCAATGGTTGCAACAGTACCATCGAAGAGGGAGTGGAGAGCAGAGACGTCTAGCTCGTCTCTACTCAGCTTGCCGGCTGCCCACTTGATCAGCTCGGTCAATTGATTTTCTTCCAAGGCACGTGCTTCTAGCTCTTTCTTGATATCATGAGTAGTGATGTCAGATAGCAGGCCGTACTCTTTGAGATTGCGCATGAAGACCGAGGCTTTGTCCATGATCTCATCAGGCACGACAGGGATACCATCCACGAAGCTGAGGTCTTCCGTGGCAACACGGACTTCGAAGCTAGGCAGCACACCACGGGTGGACAAAAGATTGATGGACCCTTTCTGGTTACAAGTCCAGAAGGCTTCTTCGATAATTGCACCAACCTGAGACGATGGTGTAGACTCGGAGAAAGTGTACTGCTTGAAAGTATGGATTGCAGAAGCCATAACAGCTTGCAAATCCTCTTTTTGAACTTTCTTGTTGCCCGAAATGATCATTTGACGCTCAAGCTTGGATTTCAGTTCTGCCATATCACCTGTATAGGCAACACGACATGCTATGCCGGCAACTCTCAACATCTCGACGTTCCAAGTACGTACCCAGCGTGCGTTCAAATCAATACTCTCACGTTCGACGGTAGGGATGACGGAAGGAGCAGAGATGTGGGCAAGGAGACCAGTGGTCTGGGCAGTGGGGAAGCCAATAAAAACACGACCGTTCTTGCTAGGAAGGACAGAAGCAAAGATTTCGGAGGCCTTGCCAGAGGAAGAGCCTGAAAGGGTGGCCATAGAGACAGAACTCTCATCATATGAAGATGTCAAAATGGCAATTCTGGTGTGCTTTGGCGGTGGCTTCTTTGTGGCACGCTCGAGTTCAGCAGCCAAGGTCTTGTTGACGTATGTCTGAACATTGACGGTGCTGATTCTCAAGAAGACTGAAGCGGTACTTGTACCTGAAAGATCCTCTGAAATGGCTCTCTGTACAGCCTCCTCCTCTTTTGCGGCGCGTTTGGCGGCAGCACTAGGGCCGGTAGCTGCTGATGCAAAGCGACTGAAGAAGCCACGCAGCGACTGAGTCGGAGGTTCTGACGAAGATGGCTGTAGCTGTTGCTGAGTACCGGCAACACGCGTCCAACCGATGACATTGCACCACTTTGCATCAATCTGGGCGTTCTGGTATTCCACACCGACAATCTTCATGAGTCCTTCTTTTGTCTTGGGGTTGACATCGTGAGGAATGGTGACATCGGCTGATGGGGCCATCTTCTTGTTGAGTGTGATCATATTCCACTGGTCTACCCATAGTTCAATAGACTGTAGGCCGACGAAGGTCAAACTGGTGGCAAGGAACTGGCAGATGGAGAGTAGGTTCGGTACGGGAGAGGTTGTATTCCGGTAGTCGAGAACAAAGGCAGTCTCGCCTGTGGCTTGTTCTTTTGGTAGTCTACCCCTTCTGGTGAACAAGCTGTTGCCTTTCCAGTAAAAGGCCATGGTCTGGTCGCCCGAGCTGACAAAGGGGTTCTCACAATCGGCGAAGACACTGTAGAAGCCAACACCGAAAGCGCCAATCTTTGTTTCATCCGGGTTTCCCTCTGCAATTCTCTTGAGGCGTTGCCAATCTGTTTCGACGAAGGATTGACCGTTGTTTGAGACAAGCAGTCGTTGTAGTGTGTGGTTGGTCAAGACGTGCTTGAGTTGGGCAGACGGATCGCTGGCGGGTGGTACGGGTACGTTCGGCGAAGGCAGTGTCTCGAACTTGATCGAAACCTTTGTCGCCTGTGCGTCTGCTGCGTTCTGGATGAGCTCACGCAGCGTTGTCCATTCTCCTGAGTATCTGGCCAGCACTTTGTCGATCAACGCTCGAGTGTTGACTGTGACGGCTTCTTCGTCTAGGCCGGAGCCCATGGTCTGTTCGCGCAGACGCGCATAGTCGATGGATCCTGCCATCTTGGTATGTCCAGTGGCGGTTTATTGCATACACCAAAAGTTCAGTGTCTAGCAGTGGCGAAGCTTCCGTTCCGGCGCTCGATGGTGAGCGGTGAGGGCGATCGAATTTATAGGAGTGGGAGATGAGGATGCCTGAATTAGTAGGGGCTCAGAGTTAGGTGTTGACCTCGTAAGACACAGCCTTCTGAGTCTGCCTATGAGTGCCACATGGTTCTTTCCAGAAGAGAAACAAAGACATGCGCCTTCCTCGACAACATCCCCGGACTTACCTGAAACAAGGGCCCTCTAATCCCCGTATGACGATCGCGTCCGCCAAGGTTTAGCCGAAGTTTTTCCACCTACAAAGTCTTCCAGTCGGCGTCGCTCAATTCTCTTCTTTTTTTTTCAACTCATTACCGGTTCTTATTGTAGGAGTATCCTTAGCGGACTTGTTTCGTATCAAAAGGTCTCTCCTCTACACATGTACCGCAGACAGATGCCAAAGCGCCACAGCTGGAGCAAACAAGGGTTGAAGTCATTTGACCTGATGATGTATTGTTCCTTACCGGTGTCGCTACATACCGCCATTCCTAAGCTCGTTTTGATAGACTCGGCTTTTTCGTGATCAAACAGCTGCTTTCTTATTGAGCCAGCTGCGCCATGTTGTAATGCTGCCTTGAAATGCTCCTCTGTGCCCCTGACAGGGTGCTCCGCTCGGCGTGTTTTGATGAACTCACACAATTTGTTCCTGAACTTTTGGATGCAGTTACTCAATCATCTTGGTGTTGAAGAGTTCGCGTGAAGGGTGCTGTTCTGATATGACCAAGCTGCCAGCATCAAAACAAGTGGAATCATCATATGCTTCGACTCCCTGTCTCGCTGAGTTGTACCAGAACTCTGACGCCATTCGGCGTATCCACTTGCATCTGGATACCTGATCTTGTTCAACAGCCATATCTTCATCAACCAACGGCTTAACTATATGTCCTAATGTAACCTCAACTCAGTGCTCACCGTGCATTCAAGATTCATCCACGTGGAGTGCTCACGTCCGAGGGTCGGTGGAGAAACGTGCGCCATGACGTCTGGGGACCCCACATTCCTGGACCGAGCAGATTTGTCTCCAACTGCTCTCTGTCGATCGTCGACAACCTCTCGAGTTGACCTCGTGCCCGTATCACCGGTTCGTATGTGTGCTATTTCCTTACGTGCGAACAACTCTGTCAGCTGCACGAGTCTGGTGGTCCGCTTCTCGTTGTTGCCTCCAAGCGAAGTACTCGAAAAGAACGGCTCGAAGATGTTCAGCATTGATAGAAGTGAGCGCCTTGGTGAACCTCCAAGAGCACTGCCGAACGTTTCCAGAACAAGGCGGAGAGGATTCAGCATATTAAAGGAAGCGACTCTACTAATATAACCGGTCTTACGCTACTGTATATAGGCGCTTCCCAAAGGACGAATAAGCAGCAAGATTATACTATTCTAGTACCACACGCCGCAGCCCCAACTTCCAAGCCACCGGACAGTTGCTGATCTTCCGGCGGCTCCCTGCGCATGCCAACCTGCCCGATCCGCATAACCTTAACCATGAGTAATAACATCTCTACCTCGCCGCAAATTATGATCAACGAGGTCTCGGGACTTTGTTTAGAAGACGATCGCTCGGTTGATCGACTATACCGTTTAGACATTCCTCTGGTACGGAAGAGCAACAACCGCCCAGCGCCTTGGCTTTGTCAGCCTTCCCATCTTCCAACCAGTCAGCGTGCCCTAGCTCCAGCGCATAGCTACAATCTTGTTTCCAAAACGTTGTTGCAGCTTGGGGAAGAGGACACAGGGTCAACGGGTGTGCCTGCATGGCGTCCACAACTATACCCACCAAGTACTTCCGACGTCATACAACACAGAAAAAAGTACATGTCAGGAATGGGTAGAAGGATCTTTTGCTCACGTTGCACCGCCCCTTACTCGTTGGAGAGCATGTATAGAGATGGCTAAACGCCAAGATGACGATGGCGGCTGTGATGGAACTATGTTGTTGGTCAAGTGATTGCACATCGCTACGGCCGTGTGTTGTTATTGCCAGCCTAGTTGAGTGGGAATACGTGCTATGAGGTATGAACGTTGATGTGGTAAGTCTATGGTCAGAGAATTGAGATCAGATTGACCTATATAAAGCTCGTGGGCTCTCCACGATGTTGGACTGAGTATATCATCACTTCTCTTGTCTACAGAACAGCACCTGTCCTCGCTTATCCATATTATTCTTATCTTGTCATACATACGCAGCATACTAGACTTGCCCAACATGTTGAGCACTACATTCACCTTGCTCGCAGGAGTACTACTCTCCTCCGCAGCCCCTGTCGACAAACGCTCCACCAGCGGTGCTGTCATTACAGTCGACTTCCCTGACCCGGCATTGGTCAAGGCCAACAACCAATGGTACGCTTTTGGTACTCAGTCTACATTCGACAACAAGAACATCCATATTCAAGTCGCTTCTTCATCCGACTTCAATTCTTGGTCCCTGCACAATGGTCAAGACGCTTTGCCAAACCTACCTGGTTGGGTCGACCAGAGCAACCCTTTGGTCTGGGCTCCTGATATCATGCACCTGGTAAGTGAATTCGTAGCATATTCTTGCCTTTTTACCTTACTGACAAATACAGGACGATGGAACATTCGTAATGTACTTTAGCGCCACAACAAACACCGGCGGCGATGGAAAATATCACTGTATCGGTACAGCCATCAGCTCCAATGTAGAAGGCCCCTACAACCCATCACCAAACCCATGGTACTGTCCTGTTGATCAAGGCGGTGCCATTGATGCTGCCGGCTTTAGAGACGCAGACGGAACCTGGTATATCACCTACAAGATCGACGGCAATGCCAAAGGAAATGGAGGAATTTGTAACAACGGCAATGCACCAATCGTCAACACACCCATCATGATCCAGAAAGTCGGCTCCGATGGTATCAGCAAGCAAGGCAGTCCATCTACCATCATGAACCTGCAAGGATCAGATGGACCCGATATCGAAGCTCCTGCTATGGTCAGAAGAGGAAACACATACATACTCATGTTCTCTAGCCATTGCTACAGCACCAACAGCTACGACACTTTATATGCAACCAGTGGCTCACCCACTGGAGGGTTTGTCCGCAGAGGCAGCATTGTAGGAGGTGGAAGGGGTGGTCTCGATGCTTCATTGGATGCGACTCATGTTGCCTTCCACGGGTTGCAAGGCGATGGACGCAGATACATGTACACCGGTACCCTTAATATCGACGGCACCACTGTGACAATCTGAACAACGAGAAAAGAGCTTACGAGCTATGACTTACGACTCAAATGATGGGATGGTATGATGCATACGGGATAACGAAAAGGACGAAAATGAGCCATGTAAAGTACGATGCATGTTTTCTGTAGTGTTAGCGATATAAACATGATCGTGCCTTCTATTCTTGACCATCTTCGCCAGAATCATATTGTTTTGTGACGAGAAGTCAACACAGGGTGTGAGACACGGGATTGGCCCAGAGGTTAATTGAGCCGGGTCGGTCGCGTGGAAAATTTACCCTGACCAGATTTTCGTCGCACCTTTTTTTCTTTTCTCTTTCAAACAACGAACTCATCTTCTACCATGGCGCACACGCGACTTGTCGTCCAGCGCGCATATCGTAGAGGCCGCTGACATCTTCTCTGGTCAGAAATGCGCACCACACACCACCTCCTCCCATTAACCTCTGCCACTCTCCTCCCTCGCACCTACACTTCCTCATCACCACGACTTCATCTACCCAACAATTCACCATCTTCCCATGCGACGAGATCTAACCAATCTTGGCATTTACCAACAAAGGCGCTTTGGCGGAGTGGTTAACGCGATGCCCTGCTAAGGCATTTCCTTCGGGAGCGTGTGTTCGAATCACACAGGCGTCGTCTATTTTCTTTTTTGCTATTTTTGGTCCTCTCGAAAAGGTATGGCAGGGTGTTGTTTTTGCGTGAGTGGAAGGAAGTGTTAGGGGTTTAGAGTGTAAGTTGTAGTAATATTTTTGAGTGCTCTTTACAAAATACTTTTTACTCGTCCGTGTAGAGGTATACTTTATAAGCATCTGGCACTTACGAAAAATTGGCTGAGTGATGTGAAGGGCTGTTGTGTAGTCGAGAGTAGAATCTCATCGAACGGTCTAGAGGATACAAGAACACCCCAATAGAAAAGTATAAAAGCCCCCCCACTGTTAAAGAAAGCATATGAAATATACGTACACGAAGAGAACCCATCTGCTAATCCGTTATTCCGCCCAAGTCAGGTGAAAGTGCAGACAAAAAATGGCACATCATAAACTAGCAAAATTGTAGAAAACAGAAAAGACAAAAAGCCGTCCAGGTCAAACGAAATCCTCCCCTCTCCATTACTGCCCCGAAAACTTCTAATCTGTTTTCTGATTTTTTCTTTGTGAAAAAAAAAAACATCCTTAGTGCAAAGCAAGGGCCTGTTTGAGATATGAGAAAACAAACTCTCGCAGCATCAACTGACCTCCGTACTCTTCCTTCTCTTGCCCCTTGTTATGAAATATAAAGCCCCCCGATGCGAACGAGAGGTATGCACTGACAGAAAGTATTTAAGCAGTCATAGGGGGGCGAATTATCTTAAGCCCTTTTCGGTACTTAGGGATAAACTTTTAGCAAAACAAAAAAAAATCATTGCGTAGAGGGGATGTGAAGATTAATAAGTCAGTCATATCTGGAACTACTGACGTGATTGAGAGATCTTTAGGATGGGTTTTGGTTTTATTAGTCATTCGTTCTCTGATTAAACAAGAAGAGGAGCAAGTGTGTGTTTTTATGACACAGTCACAACAGGATGTGTTTTTTTCACGAAGATCTAGAGATGTTCGAAAAAGGTAGGTGGGTTGAGTTGTTTTTCCAAAAGATATATCCTTCATTTTCTTAGATTTTTGATGGCGAGAGAGAGAGGTCCTTTTGCACTTCTTTCCCATTTCACTTCTAGTGGGCTCTTTTTTTGCCGTGTAATGTCGAGGGCAACTGTGCTGCTTAAGCGGTAACAGCAACACCATTCCCATTCCCATGCCCATTCATAATCACATCTCCATTTCCCTCTACCCCTCCATTCTCCTCTCCACCCCCTGCAAGTCTACCACTAGTGCAACCGGGACAATTATGCACAACCTCATGGCAAAAAACATCACAATCCACGCAAAAATGCCTTTCGCAACAAGGACACTCATACCTACTACTCTCACTAGCACCCTCCGCCCTCTTCTGCTGCTGCTGCTGCTCCTTGCCAACCACAGGAAACGCAGTCAAACAGCCAAAACATTTGGAAGAGTTTTTCACAGCGGCTCGGGACCAGGAAACTTCGTTCCAGAGAAGTAGAGGGAAGAGATGATGGTAAGAGCGGGCGAGATGGGTGGATAGGATAAGAGTGAGATCGCAAGCCGGACAGGTCTGAGGTAACGAGCAGACTTTAGCGTTACAGCGACTACAATTATATCCGCCTTGAGTGAGGACACCATGACATGCGCATAACGTAGCTTTTGCTTCCGTGTACCTGGATGGAAAACCCATCTGCAGCAAGGCAGATTTGGAAGCTTCCGTTGTGGAAGAGGTCGTTCGCATGACGGGTGGAGTGGTGATTTGCATGAGTAATTCGCGGTAGTGTGGTTCGTCCAGTGCGACATTGTAGCTGGACGTATCTCCAGCATTTGTGCGGGCGCAGAGGTCGGCGCAGATGTGCATTTGGGCCGCGAGACCGATGACCGTGACGCGGAGTTTGTCTCTCACGCAGGCGTTGATGGTTGAATGGATGTCGCCCGGGTCGGAAGAACTCAGTGCGCCGAGGATGATGACGACTTCTCTGGTGCCGTGGGAGGGTGTGTGGTATAATGCCGCTCTTGCCATGTCCAGAGCGTTCTGCAAACTGGCAGCACCTTTTGGCTCGGTGTTGCGCAGTTCCTTCAATACGGTGATGTGGTCGTTGGGATTACCCGAGAGCTCGGAGATTCTGATTGCAAGACCATCGCGCATTCCCAAGATACCGAGTTGCGAGATGGGGTTCTGCTCGAAGAACTCACGTACGAAAGCGATGGTATACGTGAGCGTAAGCAAATGTCTCGTCGGCCTTAGATCCTTCTCCAGCATGGCCAGACTCAAATCCAGCACAAGCAGACAGTGTCTGATGATACCGCGTTGTAGCGGTGTTGTGTCCTTTTGGAGTCGCAGTCTCTTCGTCGCTTCCTCCATGCCACCAAGCACACCACTGAGATCGCCATCGTCGCCTTCGTGCAAGTCCCAGTTCTTCTGTGCGCCTGCTTCCCATCGCGCGCGTGAACTTCCTCCTTCTCTTGATGCGGCTTTTGACTTTCCAGGGTCTTGTGTGCGAGATGGATCCTTGGATCTGGCATTGCGGTTGTTCAGGTCTTCGTTGGCATCATCAGACATGTCCATGTCGTAGTCGATGTCGTGGTGCGCCATCTTGTCGCTGTCGGTTGTGGTGAGCTTGTCGTGTCGGAAGGCGATTGAGGGCACGAGACGAGGCAAGGGGGAAATGATGTGGTGGATGTTACAAACTCAGCCGGTGCGCTGGTCTGGTCGGGGGTCGTAGTTCAGTTCATTTCGTTGGTGATGTTCAGTCGAACATGTTTATGACCGTCGAGCTTCTCCAGATTTCCGCCCTCACTTTCGCGCGTCATCGCTTGCACAAGTCGCTTCACAAATGAGGCTTCATTTATGCCATCACTCAACTGAATTCTCCCTGGGACAGCCATCAACCAAGGGGCACTTCAAACATGACTAAAACAAAAATTACTCGTACACGACACATGTGATATCCAACAAGATTCAAAGTGAAAGTCTCATTCAAAAAAAACAGAGACGCTCAAAACTGCTATCTCGTCCTCCTGGGGCATCCTCCTCCTTCTGCCTGGGTATTGAGAAAGGAGCTGTTGTAATCAAACACATTAACAAAGAAAGGGAAAAAAAAACACAAAAACAAGTCATTAGGTAGGGTAAGGAAGAAAAAACGTGTTCCCGCCATCAATCAATCCAACGCCGTGCTGCTTCATGATATGATAGAAAGAAAATGTGAAACGAAAAGTAGTGCTTGAGTTAGTGCTCGTGTTCGCGGGGACAATCAATAAATGTGCTGTTTTGGGTGTGATTTTGTTGGGTCGATTAAGTGTAGGTGGTCTCAGTCGAAGGAAGAGGCCAGTCATCCTCGGTGATGCTGGACCAGAAGACCCAGATCATAACGACCGCGAGGAGTGTAAAGAGTGATTCGAAGAGACCACCGTTGATAGCTCCGTTGGTCGCGTTGCAAAGATGTACGCTGATAACGTATTGGAAGATTTGGCCAATAGCGAAGAGGAGCATGGCTGCGACGAGGTAGACTGATGAAACGTTAGTATGAACATCAGGTACAAAATATGCAGAGCAGGCTTACACATGGGTCTAATCTCGCCGAGGACTCTGACAACAATGACAGCCTCGAGAATGAAGAAGATGGAGAGGAAGACCAGCGGAACCAATTGGTACAACGTGTAGAGCGAGTAAGAGCGGTTGGGTGCAATGAGCGTGTCGTCCCAGTATCCAGTCCAGCTGAAACCAGTATCGAGAGCGATATAGCCAGTGCCGACAAACAGAATAACCGCCGAACCAAAGATCAAAGCCAGAGAAGCAAAAGTTCCATCATCCAAGAATTGATAGCCGACGGCACCGTTCATGAGAAGAATCCAGGTAGTTGCGACGATTGCGGCGATGTGTACAGCAGAGAAACCCTGGGTTTGTTAGTCATGGAAACAGGCTTGAAGGATCGGAGGAACTCACCCTTCGCACAGCGCCGTCGAGGGTGAAGCCGCCAATGGTGAAGATTTCGCAGAACGAGATGATGATGAAGCCGAGGAGGAAAAGTTGCATCTCCCTGTTATGATGATTAGCTTGTGTAGATATCCAGCAGCAGGACGACAAGGACATACCTTCTTCCAACAGCAGCGCGCTTTCTATTCGATCTCCAAATGAGGAACAACGAGAGGGCAATAGCGATACCATCAATGATTATAGAACCCAGGTTGGCGAGACGTCTGCTTCCTCCAACCGAGAAACCGACCAGGTCGCATCCGCCAAAGCCATTACCTCCTCTTGATTGGGACTCGGAGAAGAGCTGTCGCAAAATGTCAATTGAGGTTGAAAGCGGCGGGGTCGAGTGGTGAACGTACATTACACACTGGCAGGGTGGATCGCAAGCTACCTGTGTCGCGACAAAAGTCCTGTAGACGACGTGTTAGATGGTGACATGGTAGTCGAGTAGAAGTGAATTGGGCGTACGTGAAAATTGCCGTATTGAGTCGGCATGTCTGCTGGATCGAATTGTTGGGGGCCTGGTCGTCGTGCGAGTGTTTATTATGCGTGTTATGAGCGAAGGTCGTTGGGCGTGATGGAGCGAGCGAAGGGGGAGAAAGAAGTCGACAGGCGTGCACCGACAGGAAGGCCAACGAGTCGTCGAGGATGCGCGTGTGTCGGACGACGGTGTTGCAGACGAGGACTTTGCAGCGGTAAAGGGCTGGTCACTCTGGCACACTGGCATGGACCTGGCACCGACTCTCTTCTTTGCTGCAGTTACGGTACGCCCGCCAAGCCACAAGCTAAACTGAAGCCGGAGGTCGCGCAAACAGGCTTTTGCTGCTGGACAGTGGACAGTGATGTGATGATCGAGTTTCGCCATGATTAGCACCCCAAGCAACCCGCTGCTAGGCGACGCCCTAAAAGCTGCTCTCCCGCAGCCTCCCTGCCCATCTCCACGAGCTTCTTCTCTGTCCATCGACAAACACATCTTCAAATCTTCGGTATAATCCCGTTTCCTGTTGCATCCGTCTTCACCCCCAAGCAACCATCTCACCCTCTACGTCACTCGACGGGACATTTCAAACGTCTTTCTCGCGCACCTCGAGACCTGGTCGATATCAGGCAGACTTGTACTGAGTAGCTTCGGTGGCTGGTCTCCAGAAAAGGAGCCAAGCTTTCTCCCGCTTCCCGCTTGGAGCCAACTCCACCATCCAATGGCCTTGTTGCTTTAGCGCCTCTCCTTCCCGAGATGAGATGAAGGCACTTCTTCTTCACACCCTGCCTTGCGACCTGTCTCTTTAATCTTCTTCCTTGCATCGTGTCTATGCCTTGCAGCATCAATCTATACCATTGTCCAAGACAATCTCATAAAAGTATTCCTATCCATCAAGGACAACAACTCCATCTTTCAGCTTCGTAAACCAAAATTACTACGGCACAGACACGAAAACCAATTATAGTCTCGCCCCCATCATGCTTTCCCAACCACCTGCTTTCGTCTTCTCACCCTGCCGTGTTATGGCTCAGCTCTCCTCACCACCCCTCTGTGTAACCACAGTCTTTGCCGCATCTCTTGTCTGCATGGCTTGGTCCTTTGTTCCTGCATACGTCGAGTCCGCGTTACCCGCCATCCCGGAAGCGCTACAGCACATCTTGCATGAACGTAATCTCCCCTGTCATGTGTGTGACGAGCCAATTGTTTTGCTGATCCGGTCACTTCCTTTCATAAACTCTATTGCCGACCAAAGCAGGTGTAGACTCTCGAAACAGAAGTTGCATCAGTGTTGATCATCTAGATTGGGTGATAGTATCCATCATCTCATGAGCTTCTGCGCAGTTCTTCCAGAACTCCAGCGACCATGACTGCTTGTTCTTCTTTGTAATGTCCAGTGACAATCTGCAGACCAATTGGCATTCCCTCCACTAGATCAAGATCATACTGCTGGTGATTGAATTCATCACTCTTGTTCTTGGGCGAATACTTTTTCCAACCAGGACAGGCTTCAACACTATCAAGCTCCTTGTCCGCAAACACTCCAGTAGGAACAGCCAATGCCGAGTAGTCAAGCAAATTCCAATGAGCACTGTAACCAACATATTGGTTACTGACAACCCACTGCTTAGGTTTATATCCCACCCAAGGCAAGACAGGCGCAATGATGGCATCAACTCCTGACTCGAGCATCTTTTGAGCATACATCTGCTTGTAATCCAGAATCTTGCGAGCCAGGGCTTGACGCTGTGCTACATCGAGTTTATCCTCGGGTTTGCCGACCAGCATGCCTTCTATAAGTGGTTGCTCGGGATCAGACAACTTGCAAGCAGCTTTGCAACCTTCCCCACCGTCGGCAAGGATTGCGAGTTCCCAAAGCTCGTAATATGATGTTGATTGGGAAGATGAGTCCCAGTCGATACATTCGTGGCCGGCTTTGGTGAAGAGCTCACGGACATGGCTCATAGCTCGCTGAACTGGTGGTTGAGGAAGCACGTATCCATCATCATGTATAAAACCAAGCTTGAGCTTTCTTCCAGTTGGAGGCTTGGTAAGTTCCATACGCCATGGGATTGGAGGAATACTAGGGTCAATATCCCAAGGATTGCTTGAGCAATATGCTTCCATATAAGTCTTGAGCGAGTCCAGTGACCAGGTCAAAGGTCCAGCAACGGAGTTGATGAGATAGTCCTGATGATTCGCAGCTCTACGCCAGGAGACGCGGAAAGCAGAAGAGCAAAGTCCATAGATGCCTTGCAAAGCAGCAGGGATACGGATTGAGCCACCGATATCAGTGCCGATACCAATGACTGAGCCACGTCCACCGACCAGCGCTCCTTCACCGCCAGAGGAGCCACCAGAGACAAGTCCGCGGTGAAGGGAATTGACGCTCTGGCCGAAGACATGATTGTAGCTGTCCGACATCATCATGCTTTGAGGAAGATTGGTCTTGACATACAACACAGCTCCAAGTCGTCTAGTCTGAGCGATAGTAGACACACTATCCTGTTCAGCAGGCTTGAAACACAACCCCGCCCAACCAACACAAGTATCATAACCCTCCACTTCACAGCAATCCTTCAACGAGATTGGCAAACCATGAAGAGGTCCAGTCGGTTTTCCAGTCTTGGCGAATTCTTCATCCAGTCTTTCCGCAGTCTCGATAGCATCGCTGAACATGAGTTCAGTACAGCATTTCGTCAACTGCTGAAGCACAGCAGCTCTTTTGCAGAATGCCGTGACGACTTTGACTGATGTGAGCTCGCCAGTTTGCAGTTTTGACACCAGAATCGACGCATCGGTGTTGGTGATTTCGAGTTCCTCGGCGTTCAAGACACCGCAACTTTCCACAATGGGAATGGACGACTTATAGTCTTCGGGGATTGATTTGAGGCGCCAGTCGTAAGGGATGTTGCCAGCTTGCAGCTCACGCTTGAAGTGGCAGATATCTTGCCAGCTAGACATTTTGTATATGGAGAGATCCAGGGAGGAGCTAGAAAACAGACGGAGAGAAAGATGGAAGAAGCAAAGGACAGAACGAAGGAGGGGCTCGGTATGATAGGCATGATGATCTTATCAATCTACTCAACGACGACCCACTGCAACCGGCATCGGACTCATGAGAAAGGTGGATTTATGCAGCTATATGAACGATCATAAATGATGCTGCCAAGCTTTCGACCTTCTTCCTCCTCCCCTCCTACCAGGCCAGGTACCTCTCTTAGGAATCTGGAAAAACTGGACTCGCAAACATCTCGGCAGAGGATACTATGAACGTTTAACAGTTTTGATAATCCTGTGGGTACCATCCGCGAATCTAGTAGCTTTTGTTTTGTCTTCCTAGGATCGCCCTAAACACCTGCCCGAAAACGAGGACTTAACGTGTGCTACATAGAGCTGTTAACTCCGCCGGAATGGATGCTATCGAGTTCGGTTATGGCTTTACCAATCGAGTAGAATAACAATGATGTGAAGAAATAAAATAAGGAATGGTATACAGGTAAGAATGGTCAGGGTTGGTCTCACCACAACTTGGACATGAAAAGATAAAAACGAAGAATCTTTGCTTATCCTTGACCATTCTCTCTCTGTGATGAGAGGTAACTTTTGGAATGTAATCCTTTCTTTATGGGCACAGTGGAGATGTTGGCAAGGGCGGTTGACCTAGATACCAGGTAGGCTACGGAGAAGTCATCATGTTTGTAACCGACTACTTCGACCATGACCGAGCATAGATGATTTAAAGATCCGGTGGGCATACGGTACCACGAGAGGAAATACGACGACGACAGCAGAAAGATTTCAAAATGAAGTTAGAAAGGTAGGAATGTTCTCATATACACAAAAAAGCTAAGTAACGTGATAGTAATAAAAGGGTATTCATCCATCATAAAAAATAAGGATTTTTGTTGCTTGGGGAATCTCATCATCACCAACATCCCGGAGGAACAACCCTCAACAGGATACCGGCGCCAGGCACTGCCTCGGCAACAACATGCGACTCAGACTCGGCAACAACAGCAGGCTTTCGAGCAGCATCACTCTAAGAGCTCTGTCTAGCCTGCTTGCGCTCACCATAAGCCTTGGTGGCGTAGTCTCCACCCTGGACGATGAGGTCCTCGGGCTTGTAGTCGTGCTTGCCGCTGAAGTAGGACTCGAGCAGCGACTTTGTGCCGGCGGCGTAGCGCTTCTGGGCGTCGATGGAGGTGCCGGACATGTGGGGGACGGTGGCGTTGCCGCCGCCCCAGGTGCTGTAGGAGGCGGTGCGGAGAGGGTGCTCCTTGGGTGCGGGTTGGACGTCCCAGACGTCACCACCGTAACCGCGGAGTTGGCCGGACTTGAGGGCCTCGGCGACGTCTTCCTTGACGACGATGGCGCCACGGGCGGTGTTGACGAGCCATGAGCCTGTGAATGTGATGTTAGTGGTTTGGATGGATAAGTGAGGGGAGAGCGAGGAAACACATACCCTTCTTCATCTTGGAGATCAACTCCTTGTTGAAGAGACCCTTGGTCTTCTCGTGAAGAGGGCAGTTGATGGTGACAATGTCGCACTGGGCGAGCATGTCCTCGAGCTTGTCGACACGACGGCAGCCAATCTCGGCCTCCTTCTCGGGAGACAGGGGCTGGTAGTCGAAGTAGAGGAGTTCCTTGCAGTCGAATGCCTTCAGTCTGCGGAGGACACGCTCACCGATACGGCCAACGGCGACGGTACCGACGACCTTGTTCTCGAGATCGTACTCGTTCTTTGCGACGGCGGCGACGTTCCAGTCACCCTTGGCGATCATCTCGTGGGCGGGAGTGTAATTGCGGACGAGGACGAGCATGGTCATGACGACGTGCTCGGCGACGGAAACAACATTGGAGCCAGTGACCTCAGCAACAGTGATACCGCCATTGGTCTTGTTGGCGGCGTTCAGGTCAACGTGGTCGGAACCGATACCAGCAGTGATGGCAATCTTCAAGTTCTTTGCCTTGGCCAGACGCTCTGCGGTGAGGTAACCGGGGTGGAAAGGAGTGGTGATGATGACCTCGGCATCAACAAGGTGCTTGTCGAAAGTCGAGTTTGCACTGTCCTTGTCCGAGGTGGTGACGAGCTCGTGGCCCTGGTCCTCGATCCACTTGCGCAGACCGAGCTCGTTCTCAGTGGTACCGAGCAATTGAGGCTCGTCCTTTGCGTGCTCGAAACCATCGTACAGCACCATCAAAACCTTGCCATTTTGGCGGGAAGTCGCTGACAGCGATCTGATGGCGCCAGCCGATCTGAGAGGGGAAGAAAGAGAAGCAGATGCGAGAGGGGAAGCACGCAGCGAAGCGGCCGCAGGGCGGGCGACGCGAGTAGCAGAGCGGAAGAATACCATTGTGAATATGAGGAGATAGAGACAAAGGTAGGAATGAAGAGAGAAAGAGAAGCTGAGTAGAGAGCGGATGCGTGGCCGGTTATAAACTGGGCACTTTCTCGAGGGGAGCGGAGCTACTGATCAAGCTTGCATCACTGGTTAGCCAATTGCGGAGAAACAGTACGCGGTTGGAGTGAGCTTCGTCCGAACTTCGGTCTGTGAGCATGCTCAATCCTCCCGTATGCCCTTGTTCGGCATTTGGAATTGAGAGTCATACGAGTGATCTGGAAGAGAGGGGTTCAAACATACAGTCAACTTCTTAAATTGTGCGCGGTTGACAAAAAGGTCAGCTAGATTGTGTAAACCGTGATGAGATAGACGATTAAGCATCAGCTTCCACTTCCTAATAAACAACCACTTCCCTCGCACAAAAGATACATAGCGAGCGGTTCCTCCAATCCACCCCTCTCGTTCTCACAAGCAGCTCGAGCGAGCATATGTCGGACGACTCTCGCATCAACAGCATCAATCGACCAATTGTGCAGCCTTTCATCCCGTCGTAAGAGAAGCTGTTTCACTTTCCACCCCCTCCTATTGCCCGTCCACGACGAGCCGCAAGTGACGTTTCCCTTCCCCACAATTTCCCGCGGACATTGACATTTCGTCAAAGCAACGCAATCCACTAGCCTTCTCAATCTATCATAGCCAACTCTGGCTTGAACAGACTCCAATCCCAGCTCAATCGTTTAAAAACCAGCAGCAGACTATGTATCATGCAAGGCTTACTATTCTCCATCAATGCCAATATTCTCGGCGTGGAGGGAATTGAATTCGAGAGGGCAGACAAATGCGGGGGTTGCATGAACCGGAATCCCGTTCCTAGAGCAGGTCAGTGCTCGAGCTCTCTCCACAAATCATCGGATCGTAAAATCCTCCGAGTCTCGTCCGTCGTCTCTTTCCATTTCAATTGCCGTGAAAGGAGAAGATGATTGAAAGGGAGAGGAGAGAAACGCCGACCTTCACAAGCCCAGCGTGTTCAAAAAGCCACTCTAAGGGCTGGACTCCAAAGCCGAACAGCGAACTTCGGTCGAAGGACAAAATTTCCCCATCTAGTCAAAGGAACTTCAGAAACAGGAAGGTCGAACGACATCTCTCGTGACATCCCCCTCACGCTTCCTCCGAGTCTCGTCCTTCTCCTCCTCATCTCCGAACACTCTCCTGCCATTACTAGGAAGCATCAAGCTCCTACGCCCGAGATTCGGGGATTCGAGGACGCGTTTCCTTTTCTCCGAAACAGGCTCGATGTTGCAGGCAAAAGATCACGATGCACTGAGCAATCACGATGTTAGAAGTAAATGGCAATCAAGATAGATAGGAAAACATGATGCCTGCCTTGCCTCTTTGTCTCATGCTGCGGTGAACTTGGAAACAACTCTCCACAGTGACACCTTGATGATAGAGGTGGAGCCGACATGACGTTAGTAAGTTTTTGCCGGAGCAGCCGGCCGTGAAGGGGACGTGCACGCGACGTGCTGTCGATACGGTATTTACACTCTCCAAGATCAGTAAGATCCTATCGTACTACCTATCAAAATGCACATTGAAATTCCAAGATACAAAGAGGCTCCACTGAGAGCTCGGGATTGTATCAAGCGCATGTCTAACTCTGACTCTCTCCACACGCCCCAATGAGGTCCCATCTCACCATCCATCGAAATGCACAAAGATATTCAGAATCAGGGAAATGTCCGCGAGAGCGTAAGACCTGTCGAGATTGGTCGACGGTAATTCCATGCTCTTACTGGAGCCCTTGGGGATTGTAAATTGCATTGTGCATTTTGATAGATGGATTTGTGGAAGTGTTGGGTGCTTGAAGCAGTGCAAGTTTGTAAGCAAATTAAAGAGGGGGTCACAGGTATTGATGTAAGTGGTTTGGTCAAGGAGTAGGGTATCTTTTCTCATTCTTTTGTATCTCTGTCTTGTTTGCTCCTTATCATCTCGTTTATTCTCATCGTTATATCATTCTGCTCATTCTGCTCATTTTCCATCTCGTCCCTTTCTCAACACCATCGTCAAGCAAAACATCTCTCCATCTCCCTTCAAGTCTTAGCGTCACCATCTTCATCATCCTCCTCCTCATCCGAACCACGAATCGGACGATCGGTAGTATAATGCATACCATCAACAGGATATCTACCCCCACCCAACCGAAGCGACCGCACCTGCGACTCACCAGCAACCCCCATACCTCCTCTTCCTCTCCCCCTCGTCTTCGACATGGCTCAAATCCCCACTATACAAACCTAGAAAATCAAAAGATGACACAAAAACAAGGAGTCTTTGACATAACTCGAACTCAATAATCAAGCTCCTACCAACCAAACCCATCATTCAAATCTGAATCCAATCTTGCATTTTTTACGTGGTGAAAGAGACAGAAAAGATCATCAATTCTGGTTCGTGAAGATGTGTATAAGTGAAGGGAGAAAAGAGACACTGATCATACACTCGCTAATAGAAAAACAATAATACAAATCAAGGCTTAGCCATGACATCAACATATCTGCCTCCTCTCTTCTTGCTCTTCGCAGTTCCTCCTTTGCGCGGCCCCGGTGCACCGAGTAAATCATCAATACTACTTGCATTACTCATACTCGTTGCAGGACGACTGGGCGGTGCGGAGCCTGGTGGCCCTCCAAGTCCTCCAAGCGGAGGAGGTGCGGAAGCGGATGGGAAGCCGGTTTGGGGAGCAGCAGGTGAGGCGGCCATGGATGGAGGACCAGAAGGTGGGCCACTGGCAGGAGTCATGACGCGAGAGGGAGGACCAGACATGGGAGGTCCTGCTTGCGGTGCAGCCGTATTACTGACACTTCTTGAGGGGGGTCCCCTAGGTGGCGGTGGTGTAGCAGCGGTAGGTGCAGCAGCCTCCGCGCCTCCTTTCTTGTTGACCCATTTCTTAAGATCTGGATCGTAGTAGAAAGAGCTTTGTTCTCCCAGCTTGGCTCGGATGGGTCCTGGTTGGGCATTCGGATCTTTCTTGCCGAACCAGCCGCCGAACCAACCTTTCTTGTCACCATTCGCGCCAGACTTGTCATCGCGTTTCGCGTCCTCCTCTGCAGCTTTGCGGAAAGCTTCATCTGCAGCTTTGTCATCGGCTGCCTTCTTGAGGGCAGCAGCCCGGCGGATGATCTCGTCGTCATCGTCTTCGGTGTCCATGAAATTCTTCTTCTTTGGCTGTGCTTGTGTTTGGTCGTCGCCACCCTCTAGATCAGGTTCTGGCTCGTAAGGTTGATAGTTGGAGGTTGGAGGCTCGTATCCGGATGAGCCTGTTGGTGGCTCGTAAGAAGAAGGAGGCGCATAGGAGGTCGGAGGCTCGTACGATGGCGGAGCGTAGGATGACGTTTGAGGCTCGTCGGACATCTGAGGCTCATCCGACGGCGGCTCATACGAGGACGGAGTTTCATGTGATGAAGGCGGTTCATACGATGATGTTGGTGCATACGATGATTGTGGTTCATACGATGATGGTGGATCGTAAGAAGGTGATTGTTCGTAAGATGACGGAGGCTCATATCCGAAGCCAGACGATTCTTGAGGAGCTGTCGGTGTATACACAGAAGACTGAGAATCTTGGACGGGGGTCGGCTCTGACGGTTGGTAAGGTGATTGAGTGTGAGGCTCGTAAGACGAGGATCGCTCAGGTTCAGCTAACTCAGCAATATTGTCTCCATAAATCGGTGACAATGGTGTGTATGAGCTAGGCTGGTAGGGTGAATGTCTCGAAGGTTCAGGCTGATTTCCATACGCCGGCCTGCCCTGGTCGAGGCTCGAACGAGACTCAGAGACACCGGACTGAACAGATTCACGTCTTGAAGGTGGCTGACTGTATTGTACACGGTAGTCTGAGACTGCACGGGATGCTTCAGGTCGAGGGACTCCAAGAGACTGAGATTGTTGGCCTTCTCCAGACTGCTGCGGCAAATACGCTCCGAACGGCGTGCTACTAGCACGCTGGACTGGCGGAGGTGCGGCAGTTGTGGGAGACACGATGCTACTGTAGCCGGTTCCTGGTCTTTCTTGCTCGTAAGAACGAGTTGACTCCATTGAACCTCTGCTTGGAGCATACGCGCTAGGAGCATAGCGTGCAGCCGAAGCGCCGCCAGGCTGAGTAGGAGGTGCATATCTGTTCGGTGCGGCATTACCGGGTGCAGATGACATGCTACCACCCATCGACATTGCTCCGTATAGATCAGTGACTGAAGCTGTTCGGCTGACAGTCGGCGTCTCTCCGGTGATTCCGCCGAAAGGCCCTGCAGGAGCGCCTTCTGAGCCAGTAGAGCCATTTGGCTTCTGGTCGTCATCGTCCCCAGCAACAAAGGTGTTGAAGCGTTTCCACATACTACCCGAAACCTTGTCCATTGATGGCTTGGGGATCCAGCCACCGGAAGAACTAGCCTGAGGTGCTTGAGACAGACATCTGTTCAAGTCATCCACACAGCTCAACAGTGCAGGACTATAGTAAGGCGACAGGCGAGTGGAAGCCTTGAAGGAGGCCATGATCGCATCGCAGTAAGCCTGTGCTTCACTACGCAGACCATGCTCAGTGAGAATTTGAGCATGTTGATACTTGAATGCTTGCAAGTGATGAAGTGTAGGCGAAGTACCGGGAGCAGGTGCAAGAGATACACAGAGCTCGTAGATTTCGGTGAGCATAATTGAATCCAAGTCGGACAGCTCCTGAGATTGATTCTTGTGATCTGCTCCAAGAAGAACAAAGTCAGACTTCTCGTCATCAGCACCGCCGAGGTGAGCGGAAGCTTTGGCAAACAAGAAACAAGTGTGTGCTGCCTCACTTCGACCATAGCTGGACAGAAGTTTACCAAGAGCAGCGATGGCTTGGACATCGTTGTTACTCCTATTGCTGATGATGAGGCACAGAGTCTCACGCCATTGATCGAGGCCATCCAGAGGGTTCTTCGCACTTGGTCCAGCCTTGCTGATCATCTGGAATCCAGCACGAGCAGACGGTGGGACAAGCTCGTCAATGCTCTCTTCCCAATTACCAGCAAATACTTCATACAATGCTGCCAGTGACTGCGAGTTGTCACTAGCGTCCTTGACTTGGGAACGAACGAATTCCTGAACGACCTGCTTCCAGATATCGGGACCAGCGACTGATGCAATCAGCAGAGCATGAGACCACATCTTTTGTTCGGCGGCATGCCAGACTGCCTTTTCACGGTCACCTTCGAGAAGGTGTGTGCGAATCTGAGCTATCGCCTTTGCACTGACGGGCTCTGTGGGAATCCTGGATGACGTATCATCGGTGACATTCTCAGATGTTTCATCGGGTTGCGCGAGATTTGGTAGCAAGATCTTGCGAGCGGCCTCTTCTGCGGCAGCATTTCCCTCGATCTTGTTATCGTGTTCAAGCAGAAGCTTGACCATCTTCCACAAGATGACCTTCTCTTCGACACGCTTTTTCGTCTGAACAGACATGGCGAAGTCGTGCATAGTGCTTTCGTTTGTCTTCTCAAGATCCTCAATCTTGCCAGTAATCCAAGCAAGTGTATCCTTCTTCTTGGATTTGCCCTTGTTCAAAGGACCAGGGAATTTAGCATCGCGCTCATCCAAGGGATACGTTGTCTTGGTGTCATGTATGGTGATATGACCAGAAGAACATTTGATGGTTGGGATAGCATGACCAGCGGCATAGAAAGGGGCCTGCTTAGGGAATGTGCTAACCAATGAGCCGCTGGGACCCCATGTGAAGACTGGACAGCCCTTGTATCTTTCCAGTGGATCTTGAGCTCGTTCATCTTGCGGGACAGTGAAGCTAAGATCTGAAGAAAACTGCTGCCTGGCAGGCGGAAGGGCAGCTCTGGCGTCTTGGCGCTGTAACAATGTAGGTGAGGTGATAGCGCCTGCAGCAGAAGTTGGTCGCTCGATTTGTGTCATAGCTCTCAAAGGCCCCTTCATGACAGTTCCTGGTGACTGAGTCTTGGATCTTCTTGGTGGTGAAAAAGTGTCGCTCGGAGTTGGGGCGTCAGCGGCGGGGTATGCCTGAGGGATGCGAGAGTCGGGAGAAGCAGTGAGCGGGGCATATGGGTTAGCCCGAGGTGGTGATGCGTAAGACTGCGAGATGGTCTGGTCTAGAGTATTGCTGTCACGCCTAGGTGGTGTTTCAAAGCCCTCGGCGAGACCGGACATCTGGCGCACAGGAGGTGGGGGCTGGTAGGAAACAGATCTGACAGATGGAGGAGGCATTTCTGCCGCAGCAGGCTTCTCGTGATAAGCCAAGGGACTTGATGTTCTCGGGGCGAAAGGCTGGACAGGTCTCGCAGCAGGGGTCGCAGCAGGCATTGTAGCATACTTATTTTGTGCTTGGTTTTGAGCCTGAGCTTGTGGAGCTGGAGAGTATCGCGAGGTTGCGGCAGGCGCAGGTGGCGGCATTGGTGAGAAGCGACCTGTGACTGGAGGAGGTGCTGCAGCCGAGGGAGCCTGGGCAGGAGCGGCGGGCGAGTATCTCGAAGAAGCTGGTGGACCAGTAGGTTGGGGAGGCTCCAACTGTTGAGGAGTGGCTTGCACGTCAGGCAACAATGGCAGCTTCTCGGGTTGTCTAAAAGCCGTGACATTGTAGTTCGATGAGCCAGCTGGAGGAGGCATGACGGGACGGGATGGTGGGCGGATTGGGGGACCTTGCGGAGGGGTCTGCAAAGTAGCTCCCATGCCTTGCGGAGGTAATCGAGGAGGAGAAGGCGATGTGATTGCAGGGGTGTATGCTCCAGAAGGCCTTGTCCTTGGCTTGGGCACCATAGGGAGTTCCTCGAAGAAACCAGAAGCAGATCTGTTTGCTCCGCTTGAAGTAGCAGGTTTGGGTGGCAGAGTTGCAACGCTTGGAGATTGATTCATGGGCGGAGATGCTATGGTTGCTGAGGGAGCAGCAGTGGCAGAACGCGACAGAGGTGGGGCAGTAGATTGCATACTGCTACTTCTTGGGGGAGGAGCTGGGCCAGCAGACTGATTTGGTATGATGGCAGCTGCAGGACGTCTGCGAGGCTGGACAATGTCCTCAGGCAAATCATATGGAGATGAGTAGCCACCCTTGGACTTGTCGGCAAAGCTCTGAGCGTTGTTCAGAACCGGTCGAACAGGCTGCTGTTGCTGGTTGTACAGAGGTACAGACGGCAGAGTTGGAGCCAAGTATGGATTTTGCTGTTGTGGCGCTGGTGAATAGGGATTTGCAGGAGCGTTGATCTGTTCTTGAGGTCCACCAAGCTTTGTGAAGCCCATGGTGTTTCCTTGGGCGTCATAGACAGGAGCAATCCCGGGACTAGACCGATCGGGACTGAAGACCTGTTGTGCCGGTGCAGGAATTGTGTCAAAGTCATCAAGGAAACCTTCACCATCATCGTCAAAGAAGCCGCTGGGATCAACAGCGTTGTCGTCGAGGAAATCGTCATCATCCAGAGCAGCCGACCACATGGCAGCCAGATCTTCCTCACTCTTCTCTTCGACTGGAGCATCGTCCTGTGCTTTCTGCTCTTGCAAGGCCTGGGCCAGAGCGGTGGCTTGGGATGCAACAATTCCACTACCTGCCACGCGGTTGTCTGGGTCGACATTGTTCTCCTCTGCCGGCACATTCCCTACAACAGCTCCGAAATCTTCTGTCTGATCATCATCTCCCCACTCAAAGGCGGCTGATGATTGAGATTGAATCTGGACTGGTTCTTCTATGGGCTCTTCGGCCACCTGGCGTAATGTTTCTTTTGCCTCTTCCAGTGCTGATGAAGCCTCCGGGGCTTCAGATACTCGCGTGTCTTGCTGCTCGATCGCCTGGACGTCTGGGACAGTGTCCTCGGTGGCCTCGTGTGCAGAAGGGGCGTCTCCAGTGGTCATTTCATAAACGTGTTCAGCTGTGGCCACGGCCGAGGGATCGCTATGGAAGGGTTCGAAAGGAACGTCATGGGCGTTGATGGCGGGCCCGTCTGTGGCGAAACCGGGAGTGGGCAGAGTTTCCTCATCCTCCATCAAGGGCGCATCATCACTTTCATCGACAGCGTCATCGGCAGCAGTGGTCTGACCCTGGTACTCGTATTGTTCTCTGGGGTATTCCAACTCTTCTCTATCAAGGCTTCCAAAGGCTTCATCAACAGAAGACTGTTCCGTCTCTCGTGGTGTGACTTGTTGGGGCTCGTCGAATGCCAGAGGCTCGGCATGTTGGACCTCTGGCTCTGGCACATGTGGTGAGTCCTCAAGAGAGTCATGTGTTGGCTCAGGGATCAGGTTTGGCGATTCGATAGGTTGTGACTCCTCGGTGTGTGCATCGTCTGAGGCCTGTTGTGCGATTGGGGCTGACGTGTCGAGGCTCTCGGTCGCGAAGTTGGGCTCTTGGACATTGGACTGTGCTACCTCGGCAGGTGAAGGCTGAACAGTATCTCTAGACAGTGTCTCTTCGGCGATTGGTTCAGGTTGCTCTTCGGGAATGCGATGGAAGAAGTCGCTATGGTCGTTGGCTGTTGTAGCTTCGGGTCGCGGGGCTAATCGAGGGACCTCATCGGAGCTGTTGTGCATCCTCAAGGCAGGATGCCATGAAGATTGTTGGTTGTCTTCTGCCATGGCAGAGTATTATGTATGACGGTTGCTATGGCCATGTCTCAGTATGCGCCATCATAGTTATTCAGGCGACGTGACCAGAGGGGGTCGGCATGGTAGAAGCGGTCAGGAAGCTTTGTAACCTACCAAAAACAAAATAACAAGGACCAAGGACGAACTCGTCAAGACATCGGACAGGGATTCAGTACAAATAGTTGATCGGCACGAGAGCGTGTTCGAATAAGTTGAAAGGAGGAGACAATTGACACTTTACGACATGACGGAGAAGTCGCCAAGCTCCCCGGACTTTGTCGCGGCATGAGTCGCATGAGTCGTGCCTCTTCCCCGGGTCAGGGTGACTTGACTCAAGGCTCTTGAATACCTGACAGCAACGTAGTTGTTGTAGGCAGCAGGTCACTTTCTTGATATACAACTTCATACAAGACAGATGAGGCATGTCACATCGGCACGGCGACTCGACCGCGTCGGCCTCTTTGATCCCTGATGCCGACTCGGACCTGGATTTGGATCTGGACGAGCTTGATCCACAGACGACCAACACCAACAACCACAACTCGCGCTCGGCGAGTACCGACTTTGGCAAGAACATAGCCTTGAAGAAGCTGCGATATGGAGGAAGAAGAGCTTTCAGAAGGCCCGACCGCTATGCCGACGACGCAGATGCAGACGACCTGGAAGCCTTGGTAGGAAGAGACAGTCAAGGGGACGAGAGAGAGCCCGCGCATACCATCCATCCTCCTCCACCACACACTTCGAGACTACGTCGCCTCTCAGACAAGTCGCATTCTGCCCTTGCCAAGTTCAAGGCACGACTCAATCCCTTCTCTCGCTCAGGCCCAGCAGAGGGTGACGACTCCGAACCCGAGGACGAACACGATCCCGCCTCCAACAGGACCATCGTTGTGGGAGACCGTCAAGATGCCAAATACCCGCCTAATGCTGTCTCCAACGCCAAATATACCCCCGTTTCTTTCCTACCCCGAACACTATACAACGAGTTCTCCTTCTTCTTCAACATGTATTTCCTCCTGGTCGCTTTGTCGCAAATCATCCCTCAGCTTCGTATCGGTTATCTGAGTACATACATCTTTCCTCTGCTCTTCGTTTTGACCATCACTCTCGGAAAAGAGGCCATGGACGACATACACCGCCGGAGGAGAGATCAGGAGGCCAATTCGGAAAGATATACTGTCTTGCAATTCGGGGATAATGATACCTCTTCAAGGAGGAGACAACGGCCTGCGGATCCAGATGCAGATGGCTTGTTAGATACGGATGTGAGGGACGTCTCAAAACCATCGCGATTACTCAAGGTCGGCGATGTCTTGGTCATGACCAAGGACCAGCGCTTTCCCGCAGATGTCGTCATTCTCAAAAGCTTCTCTCAAGAATCTTCTGCTCAGCCAGAGCCACTGCCGGAAAGCGAAGAAGCAAATCTGTTCGAGCCCGAAGCTGCAAATGTACCTGAACCACCGTTAGCAAACCAGACCACTTCTGAAGATCCGAGCGCTGGTGGTGAAGCCTTCATTCGAACAGATCAACTGGATGGAGAAACCGATTGGAAGCTCCGGTTGGCTTCTCCCCTGACTCAGGATCTCCCTTCTCGTGATTTGACCAGGTTGCGTCTGACGGCTGGAAAGCCAGACAAGCGTGTCAATGACTTTGTTGGTACCCTGGATCTGCTACCCGATGGTCGCCAGGCATATGATCCCTACGAGGCTGAGGCGTCTGCTGCTGAGGTTCCTGGAACAAAATCCATACCGCTCTCCATCGACAACACTGCCTGGGCCAACACAGTGCTTGCCTCGAGCACAACTGTCTATGCGGTGGTCATCTACACCGGTCCAGAGACTCGTGCTGCTCTTTCGACTTCTGCTTCTCGCTCAAAAACGGGCCTTCTCGAAAACGAGATCAACTCTCTGACCAAGATTTTGTGCTTTCTGACTCTTGCTCTATCTTTCATTCTTGTTGCATTGAAAGGCTTCAAAGCTGAGAATGGTCGGGAGTGGTACGTCTCGGTCATGCGTTTTCTCATTCTCTTCTCCACTATTGTACCAATCAGTTTGCGTGTCAACCTGGATATGGGCAAGTCAATGTATGCTTGGTTCATAGAGCGTGATCAAGGTATTCCTGGAACTGTTGTTCGTACCAGTACCATTCCCGAAGATCTTGGCCGCATTGAATATCTGCTCAGCGACAAGACTGGTACTTTGACACAAAACGAGATGGAGCTGAAAAAGATTCATGTCGGTACGGTCTCATATGCCAATGAAGCCATGGATGAGGTATCTGGATACGTCAAAGCCGCTTTCTCTGGTCTCGAGGGCTTCTTCCTGCCTTCGTCCAACGTGACTGGCGGACTTGCCTCAGGCACTCGTTCGCGAAGAGAGATCGGTCTCAGAGTGCGAGACTTGGTCCTTGCATTGGCTCTTTGTCACAATGTCACTCCTACCACCGAAGAAGTTGATGGATCTACAGTAACATCATACCAAGCTTCCTCGCCTGATGAGATTGCCATTGTGGCTTGGACGGAACACGTTGGTCTGCGCTTGCTGCATCGTGACCGTAAGTCGATCACTTTGCAATTCGCAGACGACAACAAGATTGTTGTGCGTGTGCAGGTCCTCCACATCTTCCCTTTCACATCCGACAGCAAGCGCATGGGCATTATCGTCAAGTTTGTGCAGGAAGGAGGTATTGCTGAAAGTGATTCAAGTGAGCTATACTTCTTTCAGAAGGGCGCGGACACCGTCATGACTTCCATCGTGGCCGCTAATGACTGGCTTGATGAGGAAACTGCAAACATGGCTCGCGAAGGATTGCGTACCTTGGTCATTGGCAGGAAAGCTTTGTCGCTACAACAATACGCCGCCTTCTCTTCAGCACACGCAGAAGCTTCGTTGAGTCTTCATGATCGTGATAACAGCATGGCAAAAGTCGTCAAACAGCATCTTGAGAACAATCTCGAACTCTTGGGCGTCACAGGCGTGGAAGACAAACTTCAAGCACATATCAAACCGTCTCTAGAACTGCTACGCAACGCAGGCATCAAGATCTGGATGTTGACAGGAGACAAAGTTGAGACCGCACGCTGTGTGGCCGTGTCCTCCAAGCTTGTCTCAAGAGGCCAATACATTCACACCATCGCCGGACTGAAACGTAAAGACCTTGCTCTCGATGCACTCTCACTACTGCATTCACGACCCAATGCCGCTTTGCTAATCGATGGCGAGTCTCTATCTCTTTACCTCAACCACCATCGCGAGGCATTCATTACCTTGGCAGTCCGACTCCCAGCCGTAATAGCGTGTCGATGCTCTCCGACACAAAAAGCAGATGTGGCGAAATTGATCCGATCTCACACACGCAAACGCATCGCTTGTATCGGTGACGGCGGCAACGATGTCAGCATGATTCAAGCAGCAGACGTCGGTGTGGGTATTGTAGGAAAAGAAGGCCGTCAAGCTTCTCTGGCTGCCGACTTCAGCATTACCCAGTTCAGCCATCTGACCAAACTTCTCGTCTGGCACGGTCGCAATAGCTACAAGCGATCTGCCAAATTGGCGCAATTCGTCATCCATCGCGGTTTGATCATCAGTGTCTGCCAGACTGTATTTTCTGTCGCTTCCGCCTATCAACCCATAGCTTTATACCGTGATTGGCTTCTCGTCGGCTACGCGACCCTCTACACCATGGCCCCGGTCTTCTCCTTGACCCTCGACCGCGACGTCGATGAAAACCTCGCAAACCTATACCCGGAATTATACAAAGAATTGACTTTGGGCAAATCCCTCTCTTACCGCACCTTCTTCATCTGGGTCGCCATCTCAGTCTACCAAGGTATCGTCATCCAAGGCGGTTCTCAACTCCTAGTCCCCAAGTTCGCAGACCACAGCACAGGAAACGCAGACACAGCCGCTGCATTTGCGAGAATGGTTTCCGTCTCTTTCACCGTGTTGGTCATTAATGAATTGATCATGGTAGCCGCCGAGATCACAACATGGCATCCCGCAAACATCATCTCCATCCTTGCAACAGGATGTCTATACTTCGGCAGCATCCCATTCCTCTCTGGCTACTTCGATCTGAAATTCGTGGCCAGTGTTGGTTTCGTATGGAGAGTCGCCGCCATCTCTGCGGTGTCTCTGGTTCCTGTTTATGCTGGCAAATTGATCAGACGGGCAGTGAAGCCACCGAGTTATAGAAAAGTACAGGGGGTGTAATGGGTGTGAAAGGGTTAGCCCCAGTCAACACAGAAGGGTTGATGGGATCTGCTTTTGTCCTTTTTTTTTCCTGCACAGCGTAGATTGGCGTTTTTCTTCGAACTTGGGTATACACATGTTTCTTCCTCTTCACTGGACTTGAGTTTCCAACTTCCATGATTGGATGTGAAACACTTATCATACAAGGACCACGAGCTCGCAGGCGAAGAATAGGCGAAATTGATTGGCGATAACATGGTTTCTGGATATCCGGCAAACACGTTATCTCAGACGCGGTGTCTCCACGTATTTGACGCGGCTGTTGCAATTGAACCCTTAATATGTTCTAGATCTTGCCGTCGAGGCCGCGTAGACATATAAAGGGCTCGAGGAAGTCACGGATCGGATTGCGTGATAGGGATACGTGTTTGCGTATCACCTGCCTTTTTCGGCTAGACTCGACTTTAAAACAAGGCTTGTTCATGTCAAGCCCTTTGGCCAAGCTGTCACCACTCTTATCTTATTCCCGCTGTTCGCGAGGACGAACCTCTACACCACCGACACGAACCTTTTTGATGGCAGTTCTTTCGTTATCTCGCCGCCACTCTCTCAGAATTAAGATGCGAGCAAACCAACTGCATGTGGAAGGTTATTCGGCAGGGCCGCGAGGCCTGAGGCCACGAGATCACCTCATTGATATCTTATCGTGATTTCTAACGACATGAGGCACTTTTGTGCAGGCGATGGCTTTGCTCAAATATACCTATAAATGCATGCTCGAGTCACTGATCACTGCAAGCTCTGATCACCAGGATACAGAGTCCAGAGCGCATCATCTGTGATTTCAGTATGTCTTCTGAGAAAGACACCATCGACTCGGCCGGGATACATTCGGACCAAGACATCCATCAGAACACCAACCGAACCACCGAAGATTTCAAGCAGCTCAAGACCATCGCAAGTCTCAGGAGGGATAGCAGCAGTCTGGATGAGAAGAACATCAAAGGTGATGTGCAAGATATCAAGATCGCGGAAATTGGTGACGACACCGCGCTAGATGTCGAGAACGATGTTGAATTGGTCCTGGATAAGGCACGAGGTCTGACAATTGAAGAATGCCGAAAGCTTATCAAGGACTTGCTCGAGGAACATACGTATGACTACAACTTCGCCGCTACCCAGAAGGACAAACTCAGAAAGCTACTCGATGGTCCCGCCGAAGGACAGTCAGCCGAAGAATGGGAGATTCTTCTCAAGAAAGAAACTGCACTCAACATATTCTACTCGCCCTATCCCGAAGTTCGAGCCATCACACGTCCAGATGATGATGTGAACATGCCCTGCGAGACCATTCGAGCGCACCTTCTCGGTTACCTATGGGCATGCATTGGTCAATTCATCAACTCTTTGTTCAACTCTCGTTACCCAAGCATCACGTTGCAGTCAAGTGTCGCTCAAATTCTACTGTACCCTTGCGGTATGTTCCTAGCATGGAGTCTGCCAGATTGGGGCGTCACCATCTTCGGAAAGAGACATACTCTCAACCCTGGTCCTTGGACATACAAAGAGCAGATGTTTTCTACCATCATCGTCAATGTTGGTCTCACTTCTGCTTACTGCTTCTGGAATATTCAAACACAGCAAGTCTACTATGGAGACAAGTGGCTCACACCCGAGTACGAGATCCTTCTGCTCCTGTCTACTCAGCTCATGGGTCTCGGTTTTGCTGGAATGCTTCGAAGGTTCGTGGTCTACCCTATCCAAGCGCTTTGGCCCAACATTCTTCCCACTGTCGCGCTCAATCGCGCTTTGTTGGTCAAAGAGACACATGAGAGCATCAATGGCTGGCGGATGTCGCGTTATAAATTCTTTTTCATCTTCTTTATCGGCATGACTGTCTACTTCTGGCTTCCTGGTTTCCTGTTTCCTGCACTCAGCTACTTCGCCTGGATGACTTGGATCAAGCCAGACAACTTCAATCTGGCCACAGTAACAGGCTCGTCATTCGGCTTGGGCTTCAATCCTCTCTCATCGTTGGACTGGAATGTGTTTGCAACATACGCCTTTCCTTTGACATGGCCGTTCTTCGCGCAGGTTCAGCAATACATTGGAATGTTTCTTGGTGGTTTGATCATTCTCGCGGCGTACTACTCAAACTTCAAGTGGACTGCCTACCTACCTATCAACTCATCAGGCATCTTTGACAATACTGGAAATTCCTACAACATCACCAAAGTCATGGTAAATGGCCGCCTGGACTACGAAAAATACTACGACTATTCACCGGCATTCTACAGTGCTGGTAATCTTGTGGTATACTCCGCCTTCTTCACCTTTTACACCGTCACTTTTGTGTTCATCATTCTCGACTTCTGGCGGCCCCTTGCCCAAGCCTATCAGAAGATGGGATCTGCCGCTTGGTCTCAAATCAGAAGTATGGGATACAGGGGTAAGCAGACCATGACCTCCCTGGCAAAAGGAGATATCAAGCAGGCATTTCATCACACCATCCATCTCATGGATGGCGAGGGCAGCGTATATGATGGCTTCAACGACCCCTTTACCAAGATGATGCGAAACTACAAGGAAGTCCCCGATTGGTGGTTCCTGGCCATCGCTATTATTGCTTTCATCTTTGCAATCATTATCCTCAAGACTTTTGATGCATTGCAGACCCCAGTGTGGACAATCTTCTTTGTCATTGGCTTGAATCTCGTCTTCTTGGTCCCCATGAGTTATCTCTATGCTATCTCGGGCACAACACAAGGTCTCAACGTGGTCACTGAATTGATTGTCGGTTACGCTCTGCCTGGACGTCCGGAAGCCCTGATGTTCGTCAAGGCTTATGGCTACAATATCAATGGCCAAGCCGACAACTACACCTCGGATCAAAAGATGGGTCTATATGCAAAGATACCTCCCCGTGCCATGTATCGTGGTCAACTCATCAGTGCCATCATCACATCTTTGATCGCCTACGGCTGTGTCGACTTTGTGGACACTGACATCAAGAACATCTGCGACCCTGACCAGGCTGCCGACTTCAATTGTGCGAACGGATCCGAGGTCTTTTTTTCTTCATCAGTCGTGTGGGGTGCCATTGGTCCCTCTCGCATCTTTGGTCAATTTTACCCATTCATGAAGTATATGTTCCTCCTTGGCTTCCTTCTTGCATTGGGCTGGTGGTCAATCAAGCGCTACGGACCATTGATTCGAAAGGCTGCCCAAGCCAAACTTCCATCAGTCATCTTCAAACCATTGGATCTTATCATCTTCACACCCATCTCCTGGTTCAGGGATGTCCACCCTTCCCTCGTCATCAACGGTTTCCTCAACTACGCTCCTTTGAACTTGACTTACTACACCAGTGCCCTATACGTATCGTTCGGCTTCATGTACTATCTGAGAAGATACAAGACGGCTTGGTGGGAAAAGTATAATTACGTTCTCGCTGCTGCTCTGTCTGCTGGTGTGGCTTTGTCTGGAATCATCATCTTTTTCGCTGTGCAGTATCATCCTGTTGGTGTGAGTTGGTGGGGTACGAATGTTGTTGCGGAAGGTGTTGATGGGGGTGTTGGAAGGCAGGCGCTTTTTACTACACTGCCGGAGAAGGGATATTTTGGACCTGATACTTGGAAGTAGTAATCCGGCTTGCACTTTTGAGCACAATGCGAGACTCGGGTCTATCTTGCACCAAAGCGATTTTCGAGATGGAGAAGATCGAATGGCACTCCATCCAAGCACCTCCCTTGATTTTTGGAGCGGAGAGTGTGGAAAATTCAGGGAAGAAGGAGTATTTTTTCATACTTAGGTGAGTGTGGAATCTGCTGACGATGTTTGGAAATGAAAAAAGATTACGCCTGTTTCAAGTTCTTTGTCGTGGACGCCTGATCTTCGAATTTAGTTAGATTGCTCGTGACAAAGCTCGACGCACCTTCTTCTAGACCTGTTGAATAACTTGAATTGCGACTTTCTCATAATCCATCTCAACCTTCTTGATTTCCTCATGTGGCGGTACACGACCTACAAACCTTGCAAACAACCGCACCTGGCTTGCTCGAAGATTCGACAATTTTCATCATCCGCTCCGGGAGCGGTCACTGGGAGACTCGAGAAGAATGGTACACAACCAACCCGTCCTTTCTGGAAACTAAACGACACGGAAAAAATCCAAGCCCGCCTGGACGAAATGCGACATGTGAAATGGGGCTTCATATTCTACCGATGCACCTACTCGGACGAAAGCTCCTGGCAACACTTCATGAACATCGTGCGCCACCGAGCAAGACTAGACATCCACGAGACTGGAGGAGGGACAAAAGCCATCACTTCAAGTCTAGAAATCTCATCACGCGAAGATGAGTCTAAATTCGAAGGCGCGACGATTGATCAAATACGCGAGCATTTTGAAAACTGGGTGTGTGATTCTAGCAAATCAATTCTTGGAGAGCAAGGGAGAGATGCGAATATATGCCCCACTGCACGATATATCTATCCTATACATGTTGATGCAGAAGCTATGTATAGTGTGGTAGAGTCAGCACCACAGCCACCCGCCAGAGATAAGGATGGAGTAGGCTATGTCAATCTCATCAACTCCTATTGGCGACCACAAGAATCATCATCTCAGTGCGACGAAGGGTTCCATGAACAAGATGGAAACGATGATGTGGGATATATGCGAGTGTGCTTGCAGGGATTACATCCGAGAGTGTATTCGCTTCTCAGCAGCGCTGATGCGTATCATGTATTTTACAGACCGCCGCCTAAAGTCTTCATCCGATAGGAGGTCAGCGTCCAGACGGGGACGGCTCTATTTAAAGCGGAGTTTTTGTCGAAATGTACTCCACAAGAGACACGCTAGGAGAATAGCCCATCATATCAGTTCACAAGACTTTGATGCATACACTCTTCGCTATTATCGCAACAGGTTCTCTCCAGGAGATTTTGAACTTCCTGGTGCAAGATACTGCTTGGGTCTCTCAAAGCAAGACAGGAAAGATGGCTGATCCCGCTCACCTCCGGCATCGTATCTTGTCGAAAACCCATTGGATTTCCTCCGTCCACTTCTCACACGCCTCTTCATCGCCATACCATTTTCGTCTCAACCCGTCATACATGTATAAGATTGCAAAGCAAGTTTTGAGATACTCTTTCAGCCTATCCCTTACATCTGCGTCTTGACCCTCAGCAAGTGGATCTGCCACTGCCCCGCCACTTTCTGCCGTTGGCAAACCATCGTTATCTTCATCTAAATGTTGACACTGCTTGTTTATCCATTCCCAAGTCACACCCAATGTATGCCAATAAGCACGGTGAGGTATGTTTTGCGCCGGATAATCGTAGTCGGAAAGTGCATCGCCGCCCAACACATCAAGCAATCTTTGCATCTCCAAGACGGAGAGCTTGCCCTTGTTGCCTCCTGGCAATTCATTGATGGCACCGTAGAGGTTCAACAGGATGTAGATCTCCAGTGCTAGGCTTGCTAGTAAACTAACGCCGAAGCCGTGGCCCCAGGAAAGATTGTCCAGTCTGTGTAGTGGGATGAGAGGATCGGTGGAGAGGCGGAGGAGAGCTATTTGTGCTTCTTCTGTCAGGGCGCTTTCCAGGGGGTTCCTGGCAGTGGTTGCGGCGAGTGTGATGAGTAATTTAGTCGCGTCGGCCAGGTCTGCATTTGCGGTTGTGTAGTTTGGCTCAACGATCGGGTCATTTTCCGGATTCGCTGCTCGTCTCCAGGATTCGATATCTTGGTCTTCCCGAGCTATTGGGTTGTGCTCTACTGAGTTTCCTCCATGTGGCAGTAGATCATAGCGATCTTCCGCGAATGCGACGAGTTCGTCCGAGATCAATCTTCCGGTGGGTAGGCTTTCTAGGAGAGAAGCTTGTTTGGCACTCTGCGTGGCGGCGAACTCGCGAATTGTAGAGATAAAGACTCGGATGAAATGATCTTGAACTTTCTGAAGTGTTGCTTTCTCAGCGACCGCATCTTTACCATATCCTTTATTCCAGAAGAGGTCGCTGCGTGGTGGTGTACAGCTCGGATTTGACCTGATCAGAACAAGATGACCGGCGATGGCATTCCAAGGAATCTTGTGGTTCAGATGCATGGTTGAAAGAGTGTTGTTTCTGAACAGCAGATTGTCAGGCAGGAAGGACGATGAAACCTCGTTATTGAGTCAAGTTTGAAAAATCGCAAGCTTCACGCCAAGCTCGTATAGTACCGTATGTGATGGCGGAAGTTTTCCTGTTCGTGGATCACTTGACGTTGAGACTGCTCGGTGAACTAATTGCAGGAGTAGATGCGTTGCTCTGTGTTTGCTTCTGACAGGCAATGAGTTGCGATGAGAATCGTACCAAAGCATTATCGCGCCATGCTCTCATGCGCTTCGCATGCTGGCAGGCATGTATATACCTACTTTGAGCGATTGCTAATTGCTGCGATTAAATGACCGGCTCTATAGCAAGTTGAGATACTCGGCATCTGCTCGCGCGAAAGTGGTCGATGACAACGTTTGATGGGAGGAAGGAGGCAGCGAAGTGATGTTGGAAAGAAGAGGCGGCGTGTGTTGTTGGCTCGGCCCGACAGCCGAAGCGCCCGAATCCTTCTTCAACTTCCCCTCCTCCTCTTTTCTTCTTCCTCTTTTTCCCAGGCACATGATCACGCCGATCAAACAGCTTTTGCATGTCTTGGAAGCGCGAAGGATGTGTTGTTGGCCTGATCATACCAACTCGAGTCAGGATCGCAGTTGGTCGTGTCTTGGCCAACATCAAAGCAATCCTTCGATCGCCTCTTTAAGCGCCGGACAGCCAATGCTGGGAAACTCGATAGCAACTTTGATGTTGGTTTGTTACACGATCGTCGGGCTGTCTGAGGATACATGCTTGGCCAACATAACGGAAGGCTTCGGCGCTCACAAAAGAAGGCATTGCGGTGTATGAGTAGGTAATGCTTGGCTGTGTAGCACGGTTGGCCTGATGAAGGAAGGTCTCTCGTCCGTACTAATATCAAGGTTGCCCTTGCGATTTCTCAACTTCTCTCATTCTCCTGACAACACACCTCAACTTGAGCGTGTGCATGACATTTTTAACAACATCTTTCTCTTGCCTCGTTCACCTCTTCCTACACATCTCCAAATACATTCTAGAAAATGCTCGCAAAGTGCATCGGCACAGGCATGTGCTTGACACTGCTGTATTGTGTGCAGCTTGCCCAAGCTCAATCAGACGACGATTCAAAGTGGGTCTTCTCCTTCAAGCAGCAGTGAACGAGAACCAAGATCTGATACCAAGATTTTGAAGTCAAAACATTACTGTGCGCTTCTTCCCCGACACTCAACAAGCAGACACATGCGGCTACGGCAATTCCAGCAATGCTCTCACATTCACAACCCAAGATATCCCCATCATCAGCAACTGCTTCAATTTCGCGGACCTCTTTGGCGGCAACGAGACCACCGGGTTTGTAAACCAGACACGAAACTCGGTTGGCAGTTTCCCTAGTGGCTATGAACCTGGTATCCATTGGGAACTTCGCAACAAGGACCTCTTCGACCCCTCGGCAAACTATTCGAAGGCCTTGTACCGCCAAAGTGTTCCCAATCCTAGCGATAAGCTATACGAGCCTGGCCATTACGCTGACAGACTTGTCACGGTTTACGGTGGTGCGAACTGTACCGAGCGCGACCCGAACAATGACGAAGGCTTACTCCCATGGTATGGATGGGCATGTTGGAGTGAGGGAGAAGGTAGTTGTGGGACTTTGCCGTACAATGTCGTGAGTTTCAGGATTTCACCCGGTTTTGACAAGGAAAACAGCAAGGGCAAATGTTGGGACTTCGCAGAATATGGTGCTGCTACTTTATACCTTCCCTCTCTGCGGACTGTGGTTGCTGCATTTGCTGGTGTACTTGTGGTCGTTTCGTTGGCTGTGTGAGAGGCAGAGGGGCTTGTTGTCGTGCATGCTTCCAGTCTCCGATGTAGATACCCGGGTCCGTCTAGAGCAAGACCACGTCAATATGCTTGCTTGACCGTGAAGAGCTTCATCAAGATAAGGAGCCTTCCTGAGAAGCAGGGTCATATCCAGCAAGGACAGCTTAAAAATGATATCTTAGTTGTCAGTATCGTACAAGGGTCCTCGCACGTATTTGAGACCAGTATCGCATGCTACCGTCACCACAACCTTCCCTGGCCCGAGTCTCTGCGCGATCTGCAGCGCAGCCACAACATTAAGTCCCGTCGAAGTACCAGCCAAAATACCCTCTTCTCTTGCCAATCTCCTGCACATGACCCTCGCCTCATCTTCCTCGATAGCCATCGCGTCATCGTACAAAGCTTTATCCAACACCTTAGGCAAGAAGCCTATCCCCACACCTTCCACAGAATGTTGGCCTCCATATCCCTTGGTTATGGCAGGCGAAGAAGCAGGTTCCAACAACGTGACATGGCACTGGCGTCCTTTCCCTTTCAAAACCGTCGCAACACCCATAGTCATTCCCGCTCCACCCACTGCACCACAGAAAGCATCTATACCTTCTGGAACCTGTGCCAATAACTCTTTCCCCATGCCCTGATAGCCGATCAAGACATCCGGGTTGGAAAATTGGTCCGCATTCCAATAACCCTCTCGCTTTGAAATTTCTGCCGCTTTTGCCTGCATAGCTGGGATCAAATCTTTAGTGACTTTACCGCTAGGACTGTGGACAATCACAACATCTGCCCCAAATGCAGCCATAGTCTTCAACTTCTCTTCCGCATAAGCGTCGGAAGATACGACGGTGAAATTGTATCCTTTGACCGCGCAGATGAAAGCGAGAGCTGAGCCTGTGCTGCCTCCTGTAGCTTCCACGACTGTCATTCCTGGTTTGAGTGTGCCACGTTTTTCAGCTTCTTCGATGACCGATCTAGCCATGCGGTCTTTGTAGCTGCCTGTTGGGTTTAGGGATTCGAGTTTGACGAGGACGCGAGCACTGTTTGCAGGAACGACCTTGGTAAGCTCGACGATGGGAGTGTTGCCGATTGCGTCCAGAACATCGCGGAGGGGCATTTGAGCTGTCATGATGGAACACAGGTAATCCTGATGTGGAATGTTGATTCTTGTGGAAAAAAAAAGAGAAAGAGACTCGTTTCTGAATCGACGAAGGTGGTTGCTTAGTGACTCCGCGATCCCCGTCGGTCTCCGCAAGTCGGGATTCAGAAATATTTCCCGCTGGGGAGATTTGGACGTGACAGAAGCTGATCACCTTCTGCCCCAAGGCCCTGATGATTGAGTCTACGTTAACATGTAGGTATACAGCAGAATTGACATGTCTTTTGCGCGTTCAGGAAGACTTGACAATGTGCTGAGTACCCAGAGTAGCAAGAGAGGGACACGGCAAGAGGAACAGACGTCGACGAAGTCGCTGAGTCAGCTGTCGGGCCGTGTGAGCGCCTGCCTATTGGAAGTACGAGAACGGCAATCATTACCACCACCTTCAAACTCCGGCGATTGGCTTGCTAACACCTTGGCCATCACCCATCGCCATTGCATCGCTCATTGAAGATGTCTCTACACCTTCGTCTTACCGCCGAAATGAGGTGCCGTGAGTGCGGCGGTATGGCAGATAGACGCCGCCGAGGACAAATCTTACGATTTTTAGATCCACAAAATTTGCATCAGTTGACGTAGATATAGAAAACTCGCAGATACCCAACCCAGTCTGGCAGCCAGATCCGCAGAAAGCGGCGATGCTGCCAAAGTATCCGGCTTCAAACCGTAGTTTCCACAGGTAGATCCTACGTCTACTCTAGACTTGGCAATCTTGATGTGATTGCCGGATGTGAATTGTCGGGTTATGTAGGTTCCACCTATTAGCCTAAACCAGGAGGATCTAGATTGGATTAGGTTTAGGTAGGCTCAAGCACTTTCCATGGTGTTAGAGTAGTAATGACTCTTATAGAACTTAGAAGAGCGTACGTGAATTTCCTAACCCTAAAATCCTAAGAATCCTAAGCCCCAAGTCGCGACATAGGCATCCGTAGATAGAAAGTACAGAGACCGAAAGCCTTCGACGATGATAAAGAGTCTTGCCAACACGTACGGAGGTGCCAAAGTCACCCATCTGACACAATCGATGAATTTTTTTACCCGGTCCCCGGGACGTAAACGAGACTCAAGCTGAACAGCAACTACCCACAGGATCGGAAGGAACATAGTAAACAGAGCTGCGATTCTCCACAACAGTTGTTCGAGCTCCGTTGGAAATTGGTAGTCCCATGCAAACAGATGGATACCTCCAAAAAGAATTGCCATTGATGAGAGAGCGCAGTCCATCACATCGTAAGAGAGGCGAGACCCAGATTCTGTCTGGGGTATAGAGCCATTGGTTATTCTGGGACTGTTGTACTCTCTGTGCCAACCCATCATGGGCTTTGGTGCTGCTCTAGCGACATTCTTGATTGATCTTATCGTCGCATCTTTGCTTGCTGGGAAATCGAAGGGGACATTCAGGTCCATCGGCTTCTTTATGTCAACAAAGTACAAGGAGAAAGCACAAGTGACGAAAGCCATGGTTTCTATCTCTAGAAGCGCAGATGGGAGGTCCTGGTAACGGCGTGCTCCAAATTGAAGCGCAGCGTAGATCAAGGGAAGGACGGCTCCTAAAAAGACCATAAAATCGCTCTTGTTCTTGTCGTCGAGATCTTCCCTGGAAATTTTTGGTAGCTTTTTGATAATATGACAGTGCCGAGCCTTGATAAGCTGCTTCGAATCCAGAGTCCAGACTCCGGTTTCCATTCGTAATGCACCTCGATATCTCTTAGCATGTTCATCATCGAGACCTCTTGCGCCATCCACAAGGGGCTTATGAGGACGTGGATCTGAAGTTTCTTCATCACAGATGTGTCTATCGAAGATGACGCGAATCCCACCCATGTTGGCTGTCATTGTGTGCGTAAAAGACCATTCAACTTTGTCTTTGTCTGCCCACGTCTTGAGCTCACTATGATTCTGCCAGGCCGCAAAGACGTTTGCAGTTGCCCGAGCGAATACAATGTCGGGAGCAGCGAGCATTATGCACATCCACAACAACTTGGTGGCCGGGCGGGATAAATGCTTCTGCCAGACTCGTATCCGCCAGCGGGGGTCCTTTGGGGTGGGAGCTGGAGCGGCGTTGGGACGTTGCACCGACCACACAGATATGGTGATGGGGACAAGACAGTACCAGAGGATGTCTGCGGTCGAGCGAAATCTGGCAGCGCCAACGAATCGGGGGAGCAGCTCGGCTGGTAAGGTGCAATTTGGATACACGAATGCCATTTTCCTTGACTCTACTTGGGTGTGGTTCGTCGGTAGTGTTGTATTTGCGTGTGGATTGAATGATGCGATGTGTGTTGGTCGAGGTGGTGTGTCGAGATTGATTGGCTTAAGGTTACTCGATCAGCTGATGGGGAAACAATAATAAGTCCATAAGGAGAAGGAGTACAGAAGGGGTGCAGTGGCAAGGAGGGAAACAAGTACAAAGGATGTGATGAAAGCGAAGGTGTGAGAAGTGCAAGTTGAAAAGTGCGAGCAACCGCAGAAGAGACGGAAAATGATGCCAAATGTATTAGCACGCTTCGTCTGGTGCTTGCCCCGACAAGGGCAGATTAAGGCTATCATCGCATTTCTACGAGCTACGACTGACTTTCTACCTGACCGCCTGGACGCCCTGCAGACTGATCCACAAGAACAGGAGTGGCGTAGTCGTTAGATCTCCAGCCGCATGCTATGCCGAAACATGACTCTTTTCCGAAGTGGTATTTGGAGCACTGGATTGTCGGAGATGCAGCGGGACTGTAAGAGTGCGGCGCGACCTACATGTCTTGGATGTTGTCGTCGACTCAAAAGAGGATTCACAAACACATAGTTGCAACGGAGGTCGAGGTAACATATCTGGGCAGTAACAAGCATTCGTAAACAAAGAGTAGGTGCAAGGAGCTGAGAGATTCGTGGCGCCGAACTCAAAGTAAGTGCAATCCGGAGTTTCGAGATGGCTATGACGCAACGTTTACCGACGCGAATGGGCAAGCAGCGATGCGACGACGACGTCCACACCTGGAGCATCTATTGACGGCCCTCAAAAATCGAATGCGACAAACGATATCGTGAGCCTCTTCTGTTCGTATTTCTTGTAACGAAGCGATGGAGACCAGATACAGCGACATTTCTACGAAGCGCCTAGCGGCACTACACATTTGCCCGATCGTCGCATCCGCCGCAGCTGAAAATACGGCAGGGTTACAGCTATCGGAACCGTCTTCTGGTACGTTCTTCTCGAAGCTGATACATAAAAACTATTGTGCATGCATAAATCACGATACTCAAGCTAGCTAGTCACCTAGATCGATTCTGATGGGCACGAACCCTAATGCTACAGGGAAATTTGCGGACGACGAGATGCAACCACGCAGTGAGACCAAACAGGCCGATTAGATTGAGACATAAGTCAGACTTCTCCAAAGTTCTTTGGGTCCTTGTTTCCTTTCTCGCCTTGAGACTGGGCGAAGGATCGAAGGATATGGACATGATTAGCTTCGCGCTGGTCAAGATCTTTTCGGGCGAGGATCAGACATCAACGGAAATTCCACCTTTGGCACCAAAGAAAGCATTTCACAGATTAGCCGCTGTCTGTGCCTACAACGTCAAAAGGCAAAAGTAGTACAGTCCTATAGGCACATCTCGTAGTACACATCTGACAATCCCCCAAATGGTCGATCGACGGAGGCTCTAGGCATCGGAGTCAAACTGTAGGTGCTGCTTCGCTCCTTTCCGGCTTTAATCTAGCTCCGAAGACCGCTTCAAAAAGGTGCTTCGTATAACGTCTCCGCCAATGTGTCCACTAGAGAACTACAAAACGCCTATAGCTTCGAAACTCTTATCTACCTGAGCACGACGGCCGCTCGAATGTCGGACGTCTCGGCCCTAAAGATGAGATGCGCAGATATCATAGCGATCCTGTCTTACCCAGACTATACAAGCAGTCCTCCTAATGCCTCGAATAAATTACAAGAGCTCGTAGAAACTGTCTTAGTTCTGCGATCTAAGTCATGTACGATTCCCTCTCTGTTATAGATGTAGTTTTCTCCTAATGTTACAGCTACAGCTTCACAACTTTCCATTGGAATTTAGTTACACTTTTTTCTAAAATATTCTGTCTTTTCTTATTTATTGACTCTCTGGTATTCTATATCATACTTGTATGCACCTCACAGGTCGCTGCTCATGAACTTTCGGATGCGTTGGGTCGTGCTTACCTTCGCAGGTTTCGGTGTCCGCAGGTTCCGCTGCCCGTAGAAAGCGGGCTCCGTAGGACCCAAATTCTTGTGAATCTCGGAGCACACAGCAAGCCATGGGCCGGCTTAGAAATCAGAAACGTAAAAGGCGCATTCAGAGCATTATCGTTGTTTAAGCACAGTCACTTCTGGCAGGACCTAGCCGCTTGTAGGGCTCTATATAAGAAGCAATCACCTTCTTTCTTACCTTTGGCATCTTGCTATATGTATCCTCAACTTTCTCGATTAAGCAACTTTTCTTCCCGCAACGGTACAAAGAAAGTTCTATTCATTATGCAACAGACAAAGCTCTATAAACGAGTCGCTACACCGTTCGAAACATTACCGCCTGGAACACCAGAGTCATTTTTGAAACTCCGAAGTCTGGGGGTGGGAAAAGTGGAAGTTGTCGTGTTTGTGGAACGCAGCAGCACCACGCAACGATATGAGCTCCTCCGCACCACCGAGTGCGGCGACAAAGGTTTGCAGATCACGAAAACCACACGCCCCCCATCTCAAACACAATAGACTGATATGATTGGCACGAAATTAGCAACAGAAGCGCCATTTCTACTTACCGCATCGATGACTCCCCTGCCCGCCAACGAAGAGGACTTTAACGACTGGTATGATCAAGAACATGTACCTATGGTATCGCAGATGGCTGGGTATATACGGTGCAGGAGATGTGTGAGCGCCTCGGTGGCCGAGGAGGGGGTGGCTATCGAGGAGCAGCAACAGCAACAACGACAGCAAACCAAATATTTCACTATTCATGAGGTTGAGGACTTGGCTGGTTTCTCTGGGCCTGAGGCTAGGGCGTCGGGGGAGACCGAGTGGACTAAGAAGCACATGGCACAGTTGAAGGGGTTTGAGATGAGAGGATGGGAGTTGATCAAAGGGTAAGAATTAAGCGATGGTCAGGACAGCAACAGTAGGGTGAGCCGATCAATCGCTCGGCATATTCTGGAGACTGAGGATTCTTACCATATGGCAAGGTTGGAAGGGTGCAATCTTCACGATTGTCTGTGAGGCTGTCTTGACTCTCACAACGCAAGGTCTTCCATTGTCATTCCCGCTCCTTCTTTCCATCACCTATTGCATCATGTCAGGTCGTGAAGAATCACCGCTCTGGAGCGTTTCCATCGATGCTTGGCTATTGTACAGCCATTCCTCCAATTGCAATTCGTTACCCGCCCACAATATGCTGTTCAACGGTTGAGGCTGCTGATTGTGTTGTTGCAGTCCATCGATGCCGAAATCAAAGTCCGTCGGTGCGTTGTTCATCTCCCAGTGCTCGGCGTGAGGGAATCCCAAAGCGGCTAATTGTGTATCCATGCTTGGCACGGAAGACTGCTTGCCATGATTATCTCCCATGCCACCGAGCTCTAGGTAGCGTGTGGCGATGTTATGGAGTACCTGGAACAAGCGATGCATTTTCGCGGCGGGCTCGGAAACTGTAGTTGCTGCATGGATGGAGTTTACAAACGCCTCGAGGCGGGCCAGATCAGCGTGATCTCGCGTCTCCATGACATGACAGAAAACGACGATGAAAGGCACGAAAGGCGCGAAGAGAAGGGTCCTAGAGGAACCAATCAGAAATACAAAATCGGCATAGCAGCATTTTCTTTGTAACGTTACCATTTGACATAGATCGAAAACCAAATGTCGTTTGCTTTCTGTATGATTGCTATGCAGTCGTGGTGTCTGTCCAAAGTGGCTCTGGCGACTTGGATACATGTAGGGTTGAATGTTGTAGAAGACTGTGTGTCTCTCGGAGCGGCTCGATAGACGTGAGTCAGTAGTGATAGTCGGAGAACCTCGTCAGAGACGGCGTAGAAGTCCATAAGATGTTCTTCGGTATTTTCCTCCACAGTCTTGAGCCATTGATTCTGCACGTTTCGTCAGTCCTCGCATCTTCACAAGAAGGTGCAATCCACGGTTTGAATCGTACTTTTGTCCTTTCTGTCTCTTGCGCGATGTCGTACAAACTGGATGCTAGGGAACCAACTCTTGATCTTCTGACTTGCTCGGGCTGAGTTGCTGCCGCAGGGGAATAGAGCATCTCGTATATGTCACCTTGGCATCTCGCAGTCTTGACCCATAGGGCGAAAAAGGCAAAGACAGGTTCCTGGTCAGTGCTTGATGCAGAGGGAGGAATGGCCGTAACATCCCAATCTTGGATAGTTGAAGCTCTGCCCAAGCGCAAAGAGAGGCTTTTGTCCAAGTAGTAAGTCGTCCAGAAAAGGAATCGCGTGTATTTCGAATTTGTTACTACCCGGTCATGAGAAGTTACTGTCCTGTGATACCCTAATGTCTGGCATAAAGCAGAAGCTTTGGAAGCCAAGGACCAGCACAACGAGGCTGTCGAGAACTCGATGGCATAATACGCCTGAATTTCTGTTAGATGCCAGTCCATCTGCTCAAGAAGAAAAGGAAGATTATACTCCAAAAATGAGGGCGGCAATCACACTTGGCGATTCTGGTAGATGTAGCGGTAGTTCGGCCAATCCGGTTTCGAGATTGTTTCGGCATAGACGAGCGTATGCAAGGCATTGTTCTTTCTCACTTTGCGGAGTCTGAGCCGTCAAGGCATGGTCCCAGAATAACGAGAACAAGCCGGCGTTAACGCTGATACAATCATAGGGAGATACAGGTTCCGAGAAATAGACCTGGAGACAAAGATCACTGAAAGACTGCATCAAGATATAGCCGTATACCCAACCAGAACCTGCTAGTCGCTGAGCTTGTTATAATTCTGTTAGTCGCCAGCATTTTTGGAAGCAGTGGTCACGCATCATCATGCTTACCTTGTGCAGCGCGAATCAAATTTGCAGCATCTTGAATGGGCGGTAGTTTGAACTTCTTCTGGCCTCGAGTCTCTGACGGGTCTGCATTTGGTAGTGCCACCTCGGTCGCTGACGATGTATCCTGGGGAGTACTCGCTATATCTGCTAGATCGGTCAAAGTTCTTTGGATATCGCCATCGGGCTGCTGAACTCCAACAAAACCCTGTAAGAGTTGGTTGACGAAAACGGAGTGGGCGGACAAGGAAGACGACCCTTCCACCACTGCAGCATTTTCAGAGTTCGAGGGGAGTGCCCGGCGTACTGGAGAGGGATGTGCCGGAGGAGGAACCGGCACATCATCATGAGTGTTGCCTGGAGCGGACACATGCGTTGAGAGATTTCGCAATAGCCCGACAACTTCCTCCAGCCGGCTATCAATAAGGTCGATCTTCTTTTCGCTAAGGCGGCGCATTTAAGTCAGACTATCGCTCAGCTGGATCTGATTTGTAGACAAGGGAGGAGAGGTTCAAAGCCGCGAGGTGCAACTTACTATTGCGGAGTAATCAACACTCTTGAGCGTTTCTCTCTTGGCTTGATACCTGGATGGACGCATTCAATGTCGGCACGTCGACACTGGACACAGGGAGACTTCCTATCGCAACGTATCTGCAACAACCTGTCAACACAGGATAGAGGATATCCCGCGCCCCAATGGAACCGGACTACATGCGCTACAACAAGACAAAGAGGTAACGCACCTTGCGGGACCTGCATGCTTCGCACTATTGTAATGTTAGTACGGGTCAGACAAGTGTTAGCAGTCATTAATCGCCCCAGAAGAGTAACGCACTGCACCGCGGCTGAGACTGGAAAGACCTGGGACCTGGCTCGAAATTGCGCCCGGGGATTCGGGTGTCTGATCTCGGCTTATCGGAGGATTCTGTATGTTATACATGGCTCAGGATTTCTGCTACACAATTGCCCTGGCAAATGAGCGGGACAGTGATGGCAGTAGGGCAAGACTAGACAGACAAGCAAGCTCGTGGTGCGCTGACTGAGACTTGAGACTTGAGACTTGAGACCAGAGAGGCCGTGAGTTGGAACGTCCGAGTCCGAGAACTTCGTCAGGACGTTTGGATCGGTTTTCAGAGTGTCTTCAGTTCGTGTGCGATACAAGCATCCGAGCGTGTGGGCGTGCCACAACGTTGACGTGCCATTGTAGCGTTCGGGGAGACACCGGGTTTTGAATCCCGAGATTCTACGCTTCTTCCGGAGGCCGCAGGCCCCGGCCCGATGGGCGAAACTCAAGTTTGACTTCCATCAAAACAAACGCCAAATGAACTTTTGCAATTCTGATCGCGCACTTACGAAGGCAACCGACTTAGTAGCAAGATCATGCAACGCTATATGTCTTGGCCAGTAAATTCGTCCATCATGAAGAAAGGTAGCGTTCGACTCTATCCCATGGCTATATTCTGGTCTGTGGGTATGTCCACCGCAGTCATCATGGAAGGATACGCAGTCATGCTGCTATCCAGCTTCTATGCTCTTCCACAATTCAATCGCAAATACGGTCAACAACAACCAGATGGAACCTTTGTGGTCCCAGCATCATGGAAATCTGGCCTTTCCAACGGTACTCTGTGTGGAGAGATCCTCGGGCTCTTTCTCACTGGTATCTTCCAAGATCGATATGGCTATCGCAAGACTATTTGTGCTGCGCTGTTGATGGTTACTGGCTTTATATTCATACTCTTCGTTGCGAATGGCGTCGAAATGCTGCTCGTAGGAGAGATACTGTGCGGTATTCCCTGGGGAGCTTTCCAGACCATTACTACCGCTTACGCCTCCGAGATCTGTCCTGTCGCCCTTCGAGCATATCTGACCACGTACGTCAACCTCTGCTGGGTTATTGGCCAACTTGTAGTTTCTGGTGTGTTGAAAGGTGTGCTCGATCGTCAAGATCAATGGGCTTACCGAATTCCATTTGCTGTCCAATGGATTTGGCCAATTCCTCTGTTGGTCATATGCATCTTGGCCCCAGAGTCTCCTTGGTGGTATGTTCGACACGGCCAACTGGATCGAGCAAAAAAGAGCTTGGAGCGCCTGATGAGTCAATCCAACGACATGGCGGACCACACGGTTGCAATGATGCAACACACCGACCAGCTCGAGAAAGAGGCGTCATCCGGTACATCATACTTGGAATGCTTCAGACCTTCAAATATCCGACGCACGGAGATTGTGTGCTTCGTATGGCTGATCCAAATCATTTGTGGATCGCAGCTGATGGGCTATTCGACTGTGTTCTACGTCGCCGCCGGTCTGAACGAGAGAAACTCATTCACCATGTCCCTGATTCAGTACTCAATCGGGGCCATCGGTACTATACTCTCATGGTTCTTGATGTCTCGAGTAGGGCGACGGACGATATACTTGTATGGCTTGGCAATTCTCTTTGCTCTTCTCATGGTCATTGGATTCGTGTCCTTGGCGCCTCGCAGCGACAATGTAAACTGGACTATCGCAGCGATATTGTCAGTGTTCACCTTCATCTACGATCTGACTGTTGGCCCGGTCTGTTATTCGCTTGTGGCCGAGTTGTCATCGACGCGGCTCCGCGCCAAATCTGTGGTTCTGGCTCGGAACTTGTACAATATTGGCGGCATCGTGGTCAATGTCCTGATCAACTACCAATTGACTTCGACAGCATGGGATTGGGGAGCCAGGTCTGCATTCTTTTGGGGCGGCTCCTGCCTCTGTTGCGCGATTTGGACATTCTTCCGTCTACCAGAGCCGAGTGGAAGAACATACGCTGAGTTGGATATCCTCTTCGCAAACAACGTCCCTGCTCGCAAATTTGCCACTACCCAAGTCGACGTGGTTCGGGGAACCATAGTAGCGTAACACGAGGAGTACGGACGCAATGCAAAGGACACAGTGATAGTCTTTCTAGTCGAAGACGAATTTTAAGACGTCGCTTCTATTTCTTGTTCTGAAGCCTCGCATTGATCCGTGATATATGTTATCGGAAGTGGGTTGTGAGCGCTGCAGTAAGAGTGATCAAAAGCTTCGGCTACTCGTCTGCCCAAGGGCACTGCGAATTTGAGGTAGGAATTCGGAGTGAGCGACAGGAGCTGACACACAGCTCTGAGCCGATCCAAGTTTTGTGCCATGTCATGCATTGAACCCGTGATTGTCGTGGAACAATCCATAAGATCTGCTAGAGCATTCCCAACATCGTAGATCTTTTCAAACTATAATCAATCAGTCTGGGCGGCTTGTGGAAACAGAACATCACTCACAATGCCCAGTCCGTGGATCTCGATTGACTTGACAGATAAGGAAGCTGTCACGCACAACAAAGACGAGGCTAGGTCCTCAGGATAGTAGAATGATTTTGATCGTGACACCGCCGTACTCGAAAGCTCACTTTGCTGCAACGCAGCCGTCCAAGATACCAACTCAAGCCAGTGCTGCGTGACCACTATATCAGCCTTCTGGATTTCAGCCAAGGCGTCGCATTCTTGAGATAATTCAAGACGACCGTGTCTCCGTGCGAGACCCTGGTTGACTGAACCTTGCTGGCTCCAAACATCGAGAAATTCGACTTCGAGTTGGGAATAGACTCGGACAAGTTGACGAAATCCAACGTCAATTTCGCTTGTGTTTTCGTGCTCTTCGCCAGAAACACCTTGAGAAGGATCTAGAGGACGCAATAGAAGAACGGGCTTGTGTCTTGCTATCGCGAATGACCTTTCAGTGACGAACAAGATGTCATATATTCGCCGACTGTAGAGAGCGTCTGCCGAGTTCATGCCATCGTAATATTCACTCTTATGAAGTCCAAGTGCCTGAGCTAAGGTGATGGCTTCGCGCAGATAGAACCAAGTGTGGTGACTGTCGTGCAATTCGAAATAAGCGATGGAGATGAAGAAGGAAGCGAGAAGTGTCGAGACCGAGCTATCGAGAACGAAGTCGTACTCTGATCGAACAGAAAGGCTTTTTGCGATGCAGAAACGCGCGACCGTGTCCCATTGCCTATTGCCGATGATGGACTCGCTCCGACCGCATAGAAATGTGACAACCAGAGCCGAGATGGCAAGTAACATGCTGCGCTCATTGGATCCAAGTGGTCCATCGAGCCATTGCGCAAGCATAGAAGACTTGAACAAAGGCATGATTGGATAGAGATCATCGAAGTAGACCGTTAGACATTGTCTCATTAAACTGAGCAGTTCTTGCGAAGACAAGAGATCCCGATTGACTTCAGGAGTCACATCGTAGCGCTCACTCGAACGTGTCTGTTCTTCTCTCAGGGCCACTATCTTTTTCCCGTTGCCGTATTTCGGGCCGCGTGGTCTGCAGATGTATGCCCGGTGGCAGTCGAGCCGGCTGCGTCGACAAGAAATGCAGGGTGTAAGCCCGTCGCACCGAACCCGACGCTGTCGACACTGGTCGCAAGTTATTCGCGTGGAAGACATATGTAAGTTGTAAGGTGCTGAGTAAAGTAGCAAGTGGAGAAAGCAGGGTATAGAGCGCCGTTGATCGCCCAAGGCCTTAGCGGGCCGTCACGTGCTATATAAGCCGCACCCCACGACGTCAATTACCTATTCCGATATTATCCCTAGACTCACATTGCTATGCTAAAAGTTATAGAAAGCTAGCATCTCATCAATTCATTAGGTTTTTACGGAGACGGATAGTTAAGAAGATCTGAATGGTACTGTCTCATTTCATACATGTACGATTTTCTTCCGATCTTGCGGAAACTGCACACAGAGCTTTCTAAAGTACGATGGTTGCAACAGAAGAAAGAGTAAGAATCTAAATGTTCTGAGCCTCACACATTCCGGTATAAATACCACCCCTTGCGACAAGCTCCGAGTGAGATCCAGCTTCGACTATCTTGCCGCCGTAAAACACAAAGATCCGATTTGCATTTGTCACGGTTGACAATCGGTGAGCTACTGCGATGGTGATTCGGGAATTCTTGGAAGCCGCTTCCATCAGCGCGGCCTGCACGATTCGCTCCGAGCCGGTGTCTAGAGCGCTTGTTGCCTCATCCAAGAGCAAAACTCTAGGGTCGCGGATCAGTGCTCGAGCGATTGCGATGCGTTGGCGTTGTCCACCAGAGAGTTGTGCGCCGCCTGTCCCGCAAGGGGTGTTGAGACCTTCGGGGAGAGAGGAGATGAATTCCCAGGCATTGGCTGCGAGACAGGCTTGTTTGATCATCTCATCATCGACTTCTTCGCCATCTTGATCGATACCCATGGAAATGTTGTCGCGGATGCTGCCGGGGAAAAGAGTAGGTTCCTGCTGCACCAGAGAAACCGCACGGCGATATACTCGCGGGTTGAGGTCTGCGAGATGATGACCGCCGTCTATGATGATTTGCCCGCTTGTCGGGTCGTAGAATCGCTCGAGGAGTGATATCATGGTGCTCTTGCCGCAACCCGAAGCACCCACGAATGCGACGAACTCTCCTGGGTTGATCGTCAACGACACTCCTTTAAGTACACGTGTATCCGGCGCCAGAGGATATGCGAATTGGACATTGTCAAAGTCATATGACGTGCAGCCATTCAGTGGCACTAAATCCTTGTTTTGATCGGTCTCTCGAACGGTGGGCTTGATATCGCACAGCCAGAAGAAGTAGTTGGCAGCGGCATTTGCCTTTGTGAAACCTAGATAACGTCAGTTTCCGCTGAAAGATGTATGACGAGACGAAAAGCTGAGACTTACTGCTCGCAAAAGTCAACGTGGTTGCACAACCCTGACCGGAGAAATAAACAGCCATGAAGGACACGATGAATTGATAAAAGTCGATATCGCCTGCAGCGATCAATTTGGAGCCCCACCTATAGATCATATTAGAATAAAAGTCGCTGGTGAGATTGGAAAAGAAAAACTTACCAGAAGCCTAGAGCCAAGACGAAGAATTCAATCGATTGCGTAAATGCAAAGAACATCATCATCGACAGAAGTGAAGTTCGAGATCCGGATATAGCAGCATCGAGCTCGTTCGTATAGCGCAGCAAAACATCTTCCTCGATGGCGAGAGAAGAGACTGTCCGGATGGCTGTAATGCTTTCGGATGCGATAGAAGCGCTTTTGGAAAACTTTGCATCGATATCAGAGTCCATCTTCGTCTCGACTCTGACACGAATGACGCCTCCAAGAATCATTGGAGGTATCCCTGCGAAGACACCCACGAGGCCAAGCTTCCATGACACGGCAATAGAGAGGATGGAGCAGACGATGATGGTGACGATTGAGAGCATGATTATGGTGATGTTGAATCCCATCAACTCGAACAGAGATTGCGCGTCAGAATCGAGTCGGCTGGTCAGAGATCCAATGGTATTCTCGGGTCGATCGAAGAAGCGTAAATTCTGTCTCAAATAAGCAGCAAAAGTTCGTTTGCGGATGTCGTGGCCGTATGCCTAGAGTAACATTAGTGCCCGCAGAAGACATCCGTGACACACGAGCTTCATCGTACCTGCGCGATATGATTGCTGACCCAACCCATGGCCATGTAAACGAACAAGAGACAAATCGCCATGATGAAGAACATCAAAGCATAGAAATTGCCCCGACTTTGGTCCAGCTCAGGGTCGAACACATCCATGACGTTGCCTAAAAGCAGAGCTTGACCGGGGTACACACCAGCTGATTCCGTTAGTTCCTGGAAACAAATTGCAATGGCTGCACTCTAACACACCTCCTAGGACGCTGGTGATTAAGGCAAGGATATACCACCACTTCAGATCTGGAGTAGCTCGCACAAGTTTGCTAGCGGTAGACAGGATCCCCATCTTTGAGGCCCGTCCGTAGTCTTCTCGTTCTCTGAGCAGAGCCAGCTTTTCTTGCGTGAATGTGTCATGTCGACTGAATGTCTGACTCTTCTCGAGAGCCAAATCGCCTGGCTTTTCTTCCCCATCGCAAGCTTCATAGTCACTTCCTCGGTCGTAAGTTGACAGATTCTGAGCCCGTACCAGAGTTGCATAAGCGCCGCCGCGAGCGACTAACTCGCCATGTGGGCCTTGCTCGATGATTTTGCCTTGCTTCATGACCACGATGTTGTCGGCAGCCTGGATGGTCTTCAGCTTGTGAGCGACAACAATGGTCGTACGGCCTTCAGATGCCTTATCGAGGGCTTTCTGGACAATAGCCTCCGCTTGAGGGTCAAGAGCACTGGTGGCCTCGTCGAGTAAAAGAATCCTGGGTTGAGAGACGATACTTCGAGCAATGGCAATACGCTGTTTTTGGCCACCAGAGAGTAGACCTCCCCTTTCACCAATGCGCGTCTCATATCTTTGTGGGAGTGCCTCAATAAAGTCGTGGGCGTATGCCGTCTGAGCGGCATCCTTGACTCTTGCTAGTCGTTCATCTCGAGGGAGATGTTCCCACGGCGTACCAACAAGGCCATTGCAGATGTTTTCGAATACGGTGCCGTTGAACAACACAGGTTCCTGTGAGGATTTGATCAGCAAACTCCAGATCGTCCGTGCTATTTCTCGACCGCACCTGTTGTACTAATCTCATGTTGGTGCGGAGCCAACGCAAATTGAGATTTTGCAGCGTTGCACCATCCAGAGTGATCTCTCCATAGCTTGGATTGTACCACCTTTCGAGCAACCCAATGATTGTACTCTTGCCAGAGCCACTAGCTCCCTGAGAATCATGTGAGAAAAGTATATCCGAATTATCACATGGGGGTACTCACCACAAGTGCTGTGACTTTTCCAGCAGGCACGTGTAAGCTGAATCCATCCAAGACAGGATTGTTCGGTCGAGTTGGATAGCTAAAAGTCACATCCTTGATGTCGATTGACCCATCAAGATAGGCGGGCTTCTCTCCAGAGAGGTCGAAAGGATCTATCCTTGACGGTCTGTCGATGAGTTCGAAGAGTTCGGCAGCGGCTGATGCTGCTCTGGTGAACGTGACCATGTTGGGAGCAATGGAGTTCAACATAGCTGATGCGATGACAACAGAAAATAGCACACTAGAAGATTGTTAGCGCGCACCGTATGCAGGAGCATTGCGACTGCAGAAACTCACGTGAACACGGTACCAATACCATCCACCTCTCCGCGTGCAATCATGGCAATTCCTTGCCAAAACGCAAGACCCATCCCGGCAAACATGACGAAATATTCCCCGGCAAACAGGAGGCCGTACAGGACGTCTTTCTTCCGACCGAGAGTGCGCGCTTGTTCAAGATACACCGAGTATCGGTCGACAATCCTTGGACCGAGGCTGAAGGCGTTGATTGCTCGTATATTTCCCAACGAGGACTCAGCAAATGCACCCGCTTGAGCATATATCTTTAGTATGTCCGTTTCAATGCCTGCATCGATACCTCCGGCGGTACCGACCATAAGGATCAAAGCGGGTACAATACAGATCAAGATAAGTGTGAGCTTCCATTGAGTGACGAAAGCGATGATGAATGCAGCGATCAGGGTCGCTGTAGCCTGTATCATCTGACCCAGTTTCTCGGAGGTGCCAGATTGGATGAGGCGGCCGTTGGATGTTGCTTGCATGGAGATTGATCCGGCAAATCCATGATCGAAAAAACTGATATCTTGACGTAGTGCAGAACGCATGTAATCGTGGCGCATATTGCGACCCAATTTGAGAGCCGTATATGTCATTGTGGTCGAATAGATGTAGATGCAGCCAAAGCGAGCAATCCCGATGTATACAAAGTATAGTCTGACATTGATTAGCGGACTCGTTGTGAACGCAGTCTTCATGAAGCTCAGGCATACGATTGCTTGGAGACCAAAGACATGAAATCCGCTGGGACATCTTGTCCTGAGCTGAATCCACTCAGCAGCGTAATGAAGTTGCCAAGTACGAGATTTACTAGCGCGAGAGCGACTCCAGACCCACAAGCAGCGATCAGGGCGATTGCTTGTAAGCACCACACGGTCGGCGTCCCATAGAAAAAGATGCGCTGTTTCCACAGTCAGTGATAGATGTCCTATCGTGTTGCTTGCGGCTGGAACCAACCGTGAACGCTCTCGTTGCGGACATCTGTTTAGGTACTGCTTCGCCATTGATCGACTCTATAGCAGAGAGCGGAGAGCCAGGGTTCAACCCCAGATTGGCGTTTTCGGGCACCTTCTCACCCATCGAGCGTGATATGTTTTGTAGTGTTGACAATAATTTCTCGTGAGAGCGAGTAAGTCGAGATTTTAGGCGGTATTACTTGGTGTTGTTTCTTCCTCTCTTGTGACTGGAACGAAATTCGGTTGGATTTTGCGAAGAATAAAAGCAAGCTCTCGTCGATGAAATATATGTGATCAAGTAAGAGGCATGATGTGAGGCTGCGGAGGCCGAAGGCTTGCAGGAAGCCCATGCTCCCCTCTGCCTCAACGGCGTCCCCAACGGCATCTTTCATGATCGAGGGAGCAGCATGACTCCTCGAGTCTTCCAGCAAGACATATTTAACAACTTTATCTTTTGCGCAACAACAAATGGACATAAAGATCTAATAACTGGTTATAAAGTGAAGTAACCTATTAGCTTTCTAATAATATAGGTTTAAGATGATATAATCCTCTATTTCTATAGTAAATATAAAATCTATCGAGCTTTTTGGAATATCGTTTTCCATAATATTTTACCTAGAAGAAAAAAGAAGAAGAATTCTCAAATCATCAAATTTTAATAATGCTATTAAATTAAGTAACAACGTATTCTAGTAGTACTTTCTTATGCTTAAAACATACATCAAAGTATTAATGACTTAGTTATAGCAGATTTATGTGTTTAAATATAATGTATATAGAGATATAAAGGCGTTTAGCAGAAGTAGTAGCTATATTAACTATACTAGCCTATCTGTACGTTTTTACCTTTTGAAAATTATATAGAAAGAATCTAGTAGGCAATAGCTATCTACAAGTATACACATATCTCTTAAGTCTATGCCGTTGTTAAGTTATTCCACTTTCTATTTAAAATCTTGCTGGATTTTGTCGAAGTTTTGGGTCAGTCAAAGCCGGAAATCCGTTTTGAAAATCCCGATAGTCTTGAATACAAGAATATGATCGTACCCCGCGGGGTCAAACGCCATGCTAGTGGGGATGTCTCCGGACTTTCGTAGCACAAGACATTGGCTCTTGACGATTTGTAGTTACTCGGTGAATTGTTCGCTCGGCCAACGTCTGCTCATGTGTAAGGCTGTTGCTCGGGTTAGGAGTGTAGACTTCTCTAGCGGCGAATCCCACTCGCTGAATTGCTCGTAGTATAACCCGCCGTTGCTCGGCTAGGAGACATAAAGTTTCTCTAGCGGCGAATTCTCTCGCTGAATTGCTCGCAGCATTACTTGCTGAATTACTCGCAGTACAATCCGCTGAATCCTTCGCAAGATCAGATGATCACGGTCATGGCCATCGCGAGTAGCGCTGCAGTTGTCGGTGATTTGGTCGCTGGTCAATTTGCTCAAACTATGCCTGCGGGAGATTCTCACACTCCTGCCAATACAACCGGCCAGTAGGTGTTGTTCTTAAGGACCACCGCAGCCACACTTGAGACTTCATTCGTATCTTCCGCCTCACAGCTACATGGATTTTCACACCAGACCGCAAGCTAAGCCCGAGGCGATCGTTTCCGGCCCCAATCATCGCTTTACCATCCTGAGCGACCGCCTGATCCGATATGAATGGGCCCACGATGGCCAGTTCGAGGACAGAGCGTCCACATTTGCAATAAATCGCCAATTCGAAATTCCGGATTTCAGCGTCGTCGATGGCGAACTAGAGCTTGAGATCATCACCGATCATTTCCACTTGATTTACGACAAGAAGCGCTTTTCGCCCGCCGGATTCGTCGTCAACTTCGGCTTTCGACACACGCTTTGGGGCGCGCCGTGGAGATATGGAGAAGTTGAAGAGTTGAATCTTGGTGGAACAGCCCGCACGTTGGACTTGTGCGATGGACGCTGCGACATGGGACCGGGCGTGATCTCCAAAGCAGGATATGCCTCACTCGACGACTCGAGCTCGATGTTGTTTGATGGAGGATTCGTGGCTGGTAGACGACCTGGAGATCGAGTGGACGGCTATCTTTTCTGTTACGGTCATGACTACAAAGCCGCGATCAAGGCTTTCTATGAGCTGTCTGGAAAACAGCCCAAGCTACCTCGATACTCACTTGGCAACTGGTGGAGCAGATACTATGCCTACCATCAAGACGAATACATCCAGCTGATGGATGAATTTCGAACCCGCGACATACCACTGTCTGTTGCAGTCGTGGACATGGACTGGCATCTCGTATCTGACAAGCGAGTACCTCACTCGGGTTGGGGAGGCTACACTTGGGACGACAAGTTGTTTCCAGACCCGAAGAGATTTCGCCGAGCTTTGCATGAACGTAATCTCAAGGTAACTCTAAATGACCATCCACATAACGGGGTGCATTCCCACGAAGACAGCTATGAGGAAATGGCTCTGGCCCTCGACATCGACACGCGCGACAGAAAGCCCATCTTGTTCGACCCTGCCAATGCCGCATTCATGAAAGCGTATCTCGAGATATTACATCGCAACATCGAAAAAGTGGCCTGTGACTTTTGGTGGATAGACTGGCAACAGGGTTCTTATTCCAAACTCCCCGGACTGGACCCTCTATGGCTTTTGAACCATTTCCACTATCTCGACAATGGACGTGATAAGGAAACCATTCCGCTGATATTTTCGCGCTACGCTGGACCTGGCAGTCATCGCTACCCAGTGGGCTTCTCGGGAGACACGGTTGTGACTTGGGCGTCGCTGGCATTTCAACCCGAATTTACTGCTACGGCCAGTAACGTCGGCTATGGCTGGTGGAGCCACGACATCGGCGGCCACATCTTTGGAGGTCGTGACGATGAGCTCGTGACGCGTTGGGTGCAGCTGGGTGTCTTCTCCCCGATATTCCGCCTGCATTCTTCAGATTCCAAGTGGAACTCGAAAGAGCCATGGTTGTATCGCTCCGAATGTGGCAAAGTGATGTCGGAGTTCATGAGACTCAGACATCGTATGGTGCCGTTCCTATACACGCAAAACGTGTTGGGTTCCGAGCAAGACGAACCTCTGGTGCAGCCCATGTACTGGAGCCATCCCGACATGGAAGCCGCCTATGAGTTCCAAAATCAGTATACGTTTGGCCCTTCGCTGCTCGTCGCACCGATCGTGCAGCCCAGAAACCCCGTGACGAATCTCGCAGCGGTAAAAGCTTGGTTACCTCCAGGAAAACGCTACGTCGATGTCTTTACAGGCACTGTTTACGATGGTGATCGCGAAATCGTCTTCTACAGACGACTGAGCGAATATCCCGTTCTGGCGCCCGAGGGATCAATCACCGTTCTGGACGAAGCGGCCGCTCCTGCAAACGGCTGTGCGGACCCAGACGCCTTCGAAGCCATCGTGGTTGTCGGCCAGGATGCCAAGAGCAGCAACATCGAAAGCGTGGCCGACGACGACGACACCAACACCCGCTTTTCGAGCTCGTCGACGACTTGTCAGAGGGAAACCGTCATCAGATTCGACCAAGCCACGGGAACACTCATCGCCGAACTCAACGACGCACGCTCTTGGAACTTTACATTCTTGTCTCTGGACTCTATCCCATCTGATTTACGCATCAGTGACGACGGGGTCGATATCACTTCAACGGCCACAGTCACACTGGAACCTCTCTTCGAATCACAAACGCAAAGTCTACGCATCTCCTGCAGTTTCCCTACCTCTACTCCTGCAAAGCACAACCTTACTATAACCCTCGGCCCTGACCCGCAACTTGGCGTTGTCGACCCACAACCCAGGTTGGAGCAAATGATCATGGACTTTCAAATTGATTTCGCCATCAAGGATCGTCTGTGGGATGCCATCAAGAAGATGAGGGAGAAGGGGTTAAGTTCTTGTCTTGGGACATTGATGGCGTTTGGATTGAAGGAGGGTATCGTAGAGCCTGTTCTTGAGATGCTGGTCGCCGATCGAAGGTTGTTCCTCTCTGCATAAGATAAACAACTCTGCCCCGAACCAATATGTAGTGTGCAATAGAAAGAAGCATTAGCTACTTTTCTTGGTCTGGACACATGCGCGTGAGTTCAAGCATGATATCAAATATAGAACAATACCAAACCTAGTCATGGTGGGATGGCAAGACGTATTGGTGGATAAGAATTCCTTAGAAGCCACAGTCATGATGTGTATCGGTGATTGATTGAAAATGATGGAATTGATAACAAATACGAAAATGTGCGTCTATGCTAGGTATGCATAAACGAGGGGATATTGGGCCATGCTTCTGAACCTTCTTCCTTCTCATTCCTCAAACGACTTGCATGGTGGACTTCGCCTCCAGGACTTCCAGTAATATAACTTGGAGCCTCCTTTGTCGAAGCTTTTGCACTTAGTGAAGTCCTGCTCTCGTGATTGCTTTCCGCTCTCTTCGTTGTGCAGCCAGCGATCAGGAAATTTGCTCACAACTGTTGCGCAGCAAGTTGTACGTCTCGGCAGGGGCCATTGTCAATTTCCTCTGAATCATCGGACTCTGGCAGAGCGGGGAATTCCTCCAGCTCCTCTATTTCTGCCAGATGATCATATAGTTCGGACGTTGTATGCGGCTTCTATCCTTGCATAACACTGCTGAGAGCAGCCTGGGCATCGGGACCAAGCTTCTCAGTGACAGAAGCTGCGATGCGTCCACCGGTCTTCTGGTCAGCTTCGCGCAGGTATAGGCCAACCCATTGCTTGACGTCCTGAACCTCAGGGAAGGGATCCTTGGGTACAGGCTTGCAGGTGTTGAGAGCTGTGAAACCAACACCGAAACCAACGTCCTCGACGTCACGGTCTTCGATCATCAAATCATCGGCAGATTGCGGAAGCGGAGGGTTGATGAGAAGCTTGAGAAGTGCTTCGCATGTGAAGCCCCAGCCCTTCTTACCGTAACGGTCAACAAAGGCCTGGCTGTTAGCGAGGGTGTGAGTGAGCGAAACGACAGCAGTCTTGCGGTCGAAAGGACGCGACAGCTTTTGTGTGTCGGGCAGGATGATTTGGGTGTAGATGGGAGTGAAGACGTTGTTCTGGATCTGGTCGGTGATTTGAATGAAAAGATCGGGACCGAGACCCTTGTCGTCTCGTGCTGAAAAGAAGTGATAAAAGCGCACGAATCTGATGGTGAAGTTTTCCGTCTTTGAGCCGGACAGACGGGTCATGAGCAGCTGAACGATAGTGGTGAAGTAGTTCTGCAAAGCTGCGACAGGAATGTTGCCACAGATGGCCTCGAGTAGGTCGAATCCAAGCGACTCGTTTGCCTTCGAAGAGATAAGCTTCTGGAAGATGACCAAAATGGGCTCAATCTGGTTGTTGGCAACGATCTGCTCGGCAGCGCGAGGAATCATGGAGGAAAGGAGACGGACAAGTGCGGGAACGTTGCCGCGAGAGTTGTACATGTCCAGAGTGAGGATGGGACCGAGCAAGCTCTGGTAGTAGCTGGGCAAAGAACCTGAAGGGTTTGCTTCGAGAAGTGCGGCAAAAACTTGGAAGACGTAAGGCTGGAACTCTTGAACGTCGTTGGCGAGAATTTCGGCAAAAGGTTCGTAAAGAGCAGCCTCAAGCTTGGCTGATTGTGTGGGAGCAGCGAAGCGGACAACAGCACCGATGCTCTCGAAGTGGTAGTAGTAGAAGCGAGGGTTGCTGGGATTGTGGCGGATGACCTTGACAATGTTGATGAGGTTGGTGAGAACCATGTCGAGGATGGGCAAGAGACCCTCACGAATGACAATCAAGACACGCATCACACACTTGATCAAAAACTCGTTCTCCTGGATCTTCTCAGCCTTGGAATCCTTCGTGATGAGAATGAACAGATGTTGAAGGAGATCCTTGCTGAAAGCCTGAAGGGTGTCTCTAGGAATGATGGGCTGACGCTTGTCATCAGTCATGTAAAGAACGCGCTCAACAGCGATGGCAGCGTAAGAGTGGACAACGTAGTTCTGGTCGCCAAGGCATTGTACCAGCAGAGGGAAGGCGGCTTGCCATTGGTCCTGAGTGAGCTGACTGCGGAAGAGGTAGAGATACTTGATGGCGTCGACCTTGAGGATAGACTCAGTCTCGGCGGATGTAAGGTCGACAGCAATGTTCTTTTGGAAGAAGTCAATAACATCAACGTTCGTGTTTGTCGTCTGAACACCACGAGCAGCGGTGGGTACGCCCTTGGCAGCGATCGAGGTGAAGAGATAGACGGCAGTGTCCTTTGACTTCCAGTTGGCGCTCTTGTCCTTTTCGTAGTCGGCCAGGTAGTGCGAGATGTACTGTGAGACGACGTCGGTGACGAGCTTCTCGAACTGTTCAACCAGCTGGCGGAGGAAGTCGGTGGCTGCTCTTCTACGAGTGTCGCTGTCGGATCCTTCCAGATCTCTGCGGATGAATTCGATGGGCTCGTCCTCGAACATCTCGACATCCGACTCGCGCAACGACAGGTTGGGGAGAATGACCTTCTCGACGACCTGACCAAGAATAGCCTGGTCGTTGAAGCTCTGGGCATATTGGTTGATCTTGGTGACCGAGGTCAAGAACTGCAGGGCCTTGCTGACAAGGATGTCGTACTTGGTCTCGGGACCGATGGCTGTGAGGAGGGTCCACGAGCTCTCGACGAACTGGCCCAGGTATGATCCGAAAGCATCCTCGTACTTCTGGACGTACAGGATCAGCGCTTCGAAGATGGCAGCCTTGTTGTATTCCAAAAGACCAGCCTCTGACTCGTCGTCGGTGTGAAGGAGGGGGTTGTCGTAGCTCAGGTACTTCAAAAGCAGAGCGCTGATGGAGGCGAGGTTGTCTTCGAAGACCGGAGGCAGATCTTGGCAGGAAAGGTCGTTGAACAGCTTGATGCTGAGGTTGAGGGTGGTGAAGTGCTGGGCGAGCAACTCCTTGTTGTTTTGGTTTGCGGTAATCTGCTGATCTGTGCTCTTTACTCGTGCGTCAGTACGTGTGCCTGCAACGGTGAGGGAGGGTGTCTCTTACCTGCAAAAGGGTGAGGTAGGGTTCGCAGAACTTGGACAAGACGTGGTTGATCTCAGTGAAGAGGTCGTCTGTGCGGAAAAGAGGACGCCAGCGGCGGAAGATGGAGTGTGCGACTTGCAAGACACCGTTGTTGACCTTGGGGTTGTCGGGGGTGAAGCGCGAGACGAGGTCGTCGACCAGAGTGTCCCAGCGCTCCCAGAAGTCCGAGTCGGCAATGACGCTGATGGCCTCTCCAAGCTGAGTCTGGATGGTCGAAGGCACAGAGATCATGAGGCCGATAACCTCACGCTTGATAGCAGTCACCTCATCCTGAGGGAGCTTGTAGTTTCCATCTTCGTCGGTCCAGCTGCGGCGGATGAAATTCTTGAAGAAGAGAGCGGCCGACAACCGTGTTGTGTTGGGATATGATTCTGATGCGACAATCTGAAGGAGAGCAAGGGAAAATTGAGGCTTCGCTTCTTCCTGGCGAATGGCCTGTTCGGCTGTTGCATCTCGTCAGTACCATGACGCTGCTGTATGGTTTTACGAGAAACATACCTTGCTTGTTCTGGCGGGGATCAAGACTGGCCTGGAGCAGGTTGGCGATCGTTGATAGATCGGCCGACATGATGAAGATGGTCGAAGAACCAAAGGAAAGGAATAAGTGCGCCGAGAATGGTGGATGCAGCGAGCAGGCGATCAAAAGTTTCCGAACTGCTTGTATAAACAGAAAGCTCGGACCGACCCCCGCAAACCTCCGTCTTCCATCTAATCAGTTTGATCAGTTCATCAACGAACTTGCATCGAAGAACGAACCATGTCAACGGTGATTCAAGTGAGAGCAGCAGACTGGACACGGGTCCTGAGGCAAGTGAAAGAAGACTCAGATGATCGTTCAGTATGCTTCGCATCTGCATTGCTCGAGCAGAGGCTTGCCAAGCAAAATGTCCGGAGCGGAACGAGTCACTTCTATCATACATCAGATGATTGAGTAGCGATTGTAAAAGGAATGAAGGAATCGGGACAGTCTTGCCAGATCTTGATTGATATTCACTATGCTATAAGGATGTATTATTGTTTGGTGATGAGATTGGGTCAGGAGAGCCATCTCAAGTTGAGAACACGCTCGGACAGAAAAGCTTTGCAAACAACAGTACCAGAGGATCGCAGAACAAAGCAACATGTCTGGCAATTGTACACTTAGAGTTGTAGACAGTGATTGGGCCGGTCTTTAGAAGTTTGATGACGAGCCAGTGGTTAGAGGTCGGGTCAAGAGCGAAGACGACGCCGGCCTTGGTGACGGTGAGTTGGCAGCCTTGGGAGGTTATTGACAGGTACAATCATCTTGCGCTTCGACTCTGCGCAATTATGGCCAGTCCTTACAGACCATATGCATTATTCAATTGAAACTAGATCAAAATCGACCATGCCGTCGAATGGTGATGGCAAAAGACGAAGTAAATGATGCTGGCAAGTAAGCACGGAAAGATCCGGGCGAATCATAGAGCGCGAGTTAGTACAGAGTCGCGGATTCTTGACGCCTCTTGGGAGACGATTACCACCGCCGTCCTTGACTCTCCACTCCATACCCACCCCCTCCGGCCATACACAACATGATGCGCCAACAGCTTTTGCGCAGTCTGCCGCGCTCGCAGAGGCTGGCCTCAGTCAATGCCACCCGCGCATTCACCTCATCCGCTCCTCGCCCGGCTGAGGTCGAGCTCACAATCGGTACGCCCTTGACTGAATACGCCCAGCCAATTCAACATCACTAACATGTGAATACAGATGGCAAGAAGGTCTCAATAGAGGGTATGCCTCCACTTACCACCACCCTATACCGGTCTCCTCTCTGACACACCTCACAGCCGGCTCCGCCCTCATCCAGGCCTGCGAAAAGGCCGGCTCCACCGTCCCCCGCTACTGCTACCACGAGAAGCTCATGATCGCCGGTAACTGTCGTATGTGTCTCGTCGAAGTCGAGCGCGCCCCCAAGCCCGTCGCCTCTTGCGCATGGCCCGTCCAGCCCGGTATGGTCGTCAAGACCGACTCCCCCCTCGTCCACAAGGCCCGTGAGGGTGTCATGGAATTCTTGCTCGCCAACCACCCTCTGGATTGCCCTATTTGCGATCAGGGTGGCGAGTGCGATCTCCAGGACCAGAGCATGAGATACGGTGCTGATCGTGGTCGCTTCCACGAGCTTGGTGGCAAGCGTGCCGTCGAGGACAAGAACATTGGTCCTCTCGTCAAGGTGCGCCGCCATGGCTGTCCTTTTCTCTTTAAGCATATGACATACTGACAATCTCAGACTTCAATGAACCGCTGCATTCACTGCACTCGTTGCATCCGTTTCGCCAACGACGTCGCCGGTGCCCCCGAGCTTGGTTCTACCGGCCGTGGTAACGACATGCAAATCGGCACATACCTCGAGACCGCCCTCGACACCGAGATGTCTGGAAACGTTATCGATCTCTGCCCCGTTGGAGCCCTCACTTCCAAGCCCTACGCTTTCCGCGCCCGTCCCTGGGAACTCAAGCACACCGAGACTGTTGATGTTATGGACGCTCTTGGTTCCAACATCCGTGTCGACAGCAGAGGTCTCCAGGTCATGCGTGTCCTTCCCCGTCTGAACGACGATGTCAACGAGGAGTGGATTGACGACAGATCTCGTTTCTCGTGCGACGGTCTCAGCACCCAGCGCCTCACCACTCCCCTCCTCCGCGAGGGCTCCACCTTCAAGCCTGCCACCTGGGAGAACGTTTTGGTTGAGATTTCCGAGAAGTTCAAGCAGCTCCAGCCCAAGGGTGATGAGTTCAAGATTATCGCTGGTCACACTATGGACACTGAATCGCTTGTCGCCGCAAAGGACCTCGCCAACCGTCTCGGATCCGAGAACCTTGCACTTGACCAACCTCAGGGTGACTCTCCTCTGGCCCACGGTATTGATGTTCGCGCCAACTACACTTTCAACTCCAAGATTATTGGCGTTGAAGAGGCCGATGCCATTCTTCTTGTCGGAACAAACCCTCGTCACGAAGCCGCTGTCCTGAACGCCCGTATCCGCAAGCAATGGATCCGCTCTGATCTCGAGGTCGGTCTCGTTGGTGAGGACTTCGAGTCAACCTTTGAGTACGAGAACCTCGGTGCCGATGCCAACGCCCTCAAGTCTGCTCTTTCTGGACCTTTCGCCGAGAAGCTCAAGAACGCCGAGCGCCCCATGATCATTGTTGGTTCCGCTGTCGCTGAGCACCCTGACGCCAAGGCCATGTTCGAGACCGTCGGCAAGTTCATCGAGGAGAACAAGGCCAACTTCGCAACCAAGGAGTGGAACGGTTACAACGTTCTGCAGCGTGCTGCTGCCCGTACCGGTGCCTACGAGATCGGCTGGGGTGTCAGCAACCCTGCCACCACCCAGGTCACACCTAAGATGATCTGGCTTCTCGGTGCCGACGAGATCGACGCCGCCGCCATTCCCAAGGATGCCTTCGTTGTCTACCAGGGCTCTCACGGTGACAAGGGAGCTCAGCTCGCCGACGTCATCCTTCCTGGTGCCACCTACACCGAAAAGAGCGGAACCTATGTCAACACTGAGGGTCGTACACAGATGGGCCGCGCCGCAACAGGTACCTACGGTGCTGCTCGCGAGGACTGGAAGATCCTCCGTGCCGTTTCCGAGGCCTTGAACGTCACTCTCCCCTACGACGACATTGAGATGCTCCGCGACCGCATGAACGAGATCTCGCCCGCCCTCTCCGCCTACGATGTTGCTGAGCCTACTTCGCAAGAAGTTGGCGCTCTTTCCAAGGTGCAGCTTGTCGAGGCCAACCACGGCGCCAAGATCACCGGCACCGCCCTCAAGAAGCCCATCGCCGACTTCTTCTTCACCAACGCCATTTCAAGATCCTCGCCCACCATGGCCCGTTGCTCAGCATCAAAGGCCCAAGGCAACGCCAAGACCAACTTCATGGCTCCTGGTGAGCCCAACCCTCAAGTGCACTACGGCCCCAATGCTGTCGCCAGCGCATAAACGACTACCCAGTTTGTTGTAGATAATAATCATACAAGACGGAGCTCTTACGAAAAAATGCCGAGTCCGGAGTGGTAGACATGAAGTTTTTGGAGAAGGCATATACCCGAGAATCTGAGCATATACCTGGAGAGAAGAAAGAAGAGCAGCAGGAGGATTCTCTGCATAGAGGAAAGACGAAAGGGGGAGTTTCTCCAAACATTGCCCCTCAAATACCGGCGAACATGGGCGTTCACACAACTTATTTGACATGCTTCTCTCTTTTTCGTTTGTTTTCTTGTTTAGCATAGTCGCGGTCATGGAAATGTTGTACATATTATAACTTCTTTTATTTTCTACGAGATTTGCAGTCTGACTTGACATTTAAATGCTGAAACCTGTAGGCTGCTCATGCCGTAAGTAAACCTTGCCCTTTCGACTAAAAGGTCAGGCAGATGATCACGCTTCTGCCATTGTACAGATATACTTTTTAGTCAAGAAGCTGTCATGTTTCACGAGCAGGCGGTCAGGTTGAAGCTGGACATGTGACCTAGTTTCATATCCAAGATGTCCCCTTTTCCCAGGTCTTGGGAGATGGGGAGATGGCGTTGGCGTACGCACGGGGCAAGGACCTGCTGTTCTTTCTTGCGGAGGCCCAGGGTATGATTGCATCGTGGACATTGATGGTTTTGGTTTTCTTGCCTCTTTTGATATGACAATGAGGTTCGCAGTTAGAAATTGAGAGAATGCAAAGTATTCTGGATGCTATTGAATTATGCAGAGAGATATGGTAGAACTGTCTGCGGTCGGATAATCAGGCAGGTCGCAAGCCGGTGATCGACAATCGTCAGGTTCAAGGGGACAAAACAAGCCGCGCATGCGAAGGATGATTGGGGAGAAAAGGGACTGGCCCTCTCTCTTTTTTCCCGACGGCATCACAGCACATACGTCTTCTCTTACCGCCATTTCCAGCCTCTTGTTCTCTCGCTTCTGGCATCCTCCAATTCAACCATCGTGACCTGCAGCAGTGGAGCAAGGTTTTCTGGTGATCTGAGCGGACGGTCAGCTTTACGACGTCATTGGTCCCTTATCTGGCGAGTTCTTGAGCAAGTGCGCCGATTCCCCGTGTTGGTTGAGCAAGGTCCTTGGTCGCTATCTATCGAGTGGGAAGTTGAAGCTATCGAGCAAGGTGTTGTGATATCCGCACGTGTTGTCTCTTTTTCCGTCTACCGCCCTTTCTGAAATCTTCTTCCTGCCTCCATCCCAGGCAGGAGGTCGACACCGCCGCCAACATTCCTCAAGAACGCAAGCCCGCGAATATCCCCTTGCACACTCTTTCATCATCATCACGGCACCTGCGCACCACCAGCAGCGTCTCATCGTTTGACGAGAAGCGATACTCAGACCGCAGTGGTCACCGGCGCTCGTCGGAATCTGCCCACAGCGACTTCAGTCTCTGGAGCGACACGGGTGACCTGGTCGATCAGTTTGACAACGAAGACGACCCCCTTCGCGGTGCTCTAGGCCATCAGCAACACCTCAGTCCGAGTAGTCGTCGTAAGAACAACAACAAGCACGTTCGCTACCAAAGCGGTACCAAAGAAGGCGCCCTCAACAAGAACGACATCCCCATCCCCAATCCCCCACCGCGCCACATCTCCCAAGCCGAACGCATCCTCGTCCGCATCATGGCTCCCAATGATGGCCCCTCGCGCATGCATGGCCTCCATGGCAAGAAGCTTGTATACTTCACCTCCGTCTTTGTCTCGCTAGGTGTTTTCCTGTTCGGTTATGACCAAGGTGTCATGAGCGGTATCATCACCGGCAACTACTTTAAAAACTACTTCAACCAACCTACAAGAGCAGAGATTGGTACAATGGTTGCTATCCTCGAGGTTGGAGCTTTCGTATCTTCCTTGGGTGTGGGACGTATTGGTGATATCCTCGGTCGTCGCCTCACCATCCTTTACGGAGCCGTCATTTTCGTCATTGGCGGTGCTTTCCAGGCCTTCGCTACTGGTATGCCCATGATGATCCTCGGGCGTATCCTTGCTGGTCTGGGTGTTGGTGCTCTTTCGACCATTGTGCCTGTTTACCAGTCGGAGATTTCTCCACCGCACAATCGCGGAAAGCTGGCTTGTATCGAATTCACCGGTAACATTGTTGGCTATGCCTCGAGTGTCTGGGTTGACTACTTCTGCTCCTTTATTCCTAGCGACTGGAGTTGGAGACTTCCTCTCTTCATGCAGTGTGTTATGGGCTCTTTACTGATTGTAGGCTCTTTCTTGATCTGCGAATCCCCCAGGTATGCCTTGCCCTTTGCAACATTCCATTTCCAATACTGACAATCTTGCACAGATGGCTCCTCGACAACGACCACGACGAAGAAGGCATTGTCGTGATTGCCAACCTCTACGGCAAGGGTGACATCCACAACCCAAAGGCGCGTGACGAATACCGCGAGATCAAGATGAATGTGCTGCTACAGCGTCAGGAAGGCGAGCGCAGCTACAAGGACATGTTCAAGCGCTACTACAAGCGTGTCTTTATCGCCATGTCTGCCCAAGCTCTTGCACAACTCAACGGCATCAACGTCATTTCATACTACGCTCCCCTGGTCTTTGAGCAAGCTGGATGGGTTGGCCGTGATGCTATTCTCATGACTGGTATCAACGGAATCACCTACCTGCTTTCCACTATACCACCATGGTACCTTGTAGATCGTCTTGGTCGCCGCCCCATCCTCATGTGGGGTGCTGCCGCCATGATCGTCTCACTCTCGGCAATCTCGTACTTCATGTACATCGACATCCACCTGACACCGCGCATGGTTGTTATTTTCGTCATGCTTTACAATGCTGCCTTTGGTGCTTCATGGGGACCTATTCCCTGGCTCTACCCTCCAGAGATTCTTCCTCTCAGCATCCGTGCCAAGGGTGCCTCGCTGTCTACTGCATCCAACTGGGCGTTCAACTGGCTGGTCGGTGAACTCACTCCAGTGCTCCAAGAACTTATCCAGTGGCGTCTGTACCTTGTACATGCTTTCTTCTGTGCAGTATCACTTGTTGTAGTGTTCTTCTGCTTCCCTGAGACGCACGTAACACCTCTCTATTGCTTTGAATACATCAGCTAACATGTTCGCAGTGCAAATGTTCGATTGGAAGATATGAACAGCATTTTCGGAGATGCTTCGACAATCGCCCCATCACCTGCGACACTCGCCGAAGCTGAGAGCTTGTTCAGCAGAAGTCCAGCACCTTCGTTACATCTCGACCGCGATGTCGATGCGCCTCAAGACTCGAACATTCCTGATCTCGACATTGACCCTCCTTCCGTCGACGTGCAAAATGGCAAGCCCATGTACAGCAAGGACGGCGACTCTGAAGGTCTAGGCGGCTGGATCTCGAATCTAGTCAAGAAGGGCAAGGGAGATGGAGAATCATCTCATGCTGGAGGTAGTGGAAAATATAGACGGGTCGGACAAGATGATGTTTGAATGGATGTTGCACTGAGAGGCAGCAAGCATATTGTGGAGTTTTGTTGATGTTGAATCTATACTCTGTACAGATACAATTTATGATGGATATGTGTGAATTTGGAGTAGAAAATTTAGCTTGTAGATCGTGTATCCTCTATCTTCTGATTTCATTGGTTTTGTCGTGCTCGAAAGGCGATCATCAAGTGAGGAACAAAAGCTTTTTCATCCGACAATTGAATTACTTGACACGCGACCACCGACATCGACTGCAGACTCTCAGAATCACCACCGCTTCATACAATCGAGCGAGCTCAATGTTCTTGACCACCTTTGCTCCATTGCAATCTAGTAGTCGACCAATTGCGTGCGCAATCTCATTGGTAAATTCAAGCCAGGGTGCTCCCCTATACAGGAAAATGCCAAAAATAGATTCCAAACGCTTGTTGCAAGCCTCCCAAGCCTCACAGAACAAGAAGGTTCACCGAGATCTTGGCTCGCTTTGCCCGGCAAGTCCGTAGTCCGGCGGCGGGCGGCTAGACCGTTCATCTCACACGCCGCAGACACGCGCGCATGGTCAGTCGCGACTGACATTCTTCTAAGATTTGAGCCTACCCAGCTTATGTGGATGAGATGAGCTGAGCATAGGGCTGTGTGATTTCTCCCTTCTTTTGTCGCGATTGTCCAGCCGCTTGTTCTACACGCTCTCTCTCTTTTCGAAGCCGTCTTTTCTTTTTTCTCACTGCAGTCGTCATCACGCACCTATATTTCCCCAGATTCTTTATAGCCGTTGCATCCGGAAGCGGGTGTGATTGCGATTACACACATCATCTTTTCTTGTCTTGTCTTGGGAAGGGAGAGAAGAAGTAGCCGGTCTCTGTCCGCGCGGCCTATCTACCTGTTCGACTGAGCTGCCGTCGTCGCATTTTCCTCTCTATTGCGCTTTTTGGATATATACTTGGATTGGATCTAATCTTCGGTCGCCACTTCTGGGATACCTCGAGTAATCACTTTTCTGGATCTTGCGCGTTCCGAGGACGAGGACGACGACGATTCCCAGCAGCGCATACTTGCATTCGAGGAAGAGGAAGCAAGGAAGACAAAATGTCGCAATCACAATCCCAATCCTTTCCCTCCGCTCTCCTCGTAAGTCCCCCCTTCCGTCCCCCTTCTCCCACCACTTCACTCACTAACCTCTTCTTCAACACACAGACCCTCCTCCTCCCGTTCTCAATATCCCTCTTCCTATACCTCAGCATAACACACCTACTCATCCCCCTCTGGCGCTCTCAATCCCCCAACATACCACTCGACACCGTTTCCGAAATCGCAAGGAGGGCCAAAAGTCAAGTGAAGGAAAGAGTTGGTAGATTGGTGGGAAGGTTTAGGAAGAGGGAGGAGTGGGATGAAGATGACGGGGAGGAAGAGGATGAGGGGAATGGAATGTTGAATTATGAGGAGGATAGGGGGAGGTTGTGGAGGGGGAGTGTGCCGCCGCCTGGGAGGAGTGATAGTCCTGTTTGAGAGGTGAAATCAAGAGATGGGTACGAGTGAAGGAAGATGATGGGGAAAGCGTGCTGGATCGCGCTGGTCTACAGGATGGAAAGCTCTCAAGCTCACCCGACACCTCAAGGCCGTTTGGGAGAATACAAGGACGACCTCATGGCGCCGAAGATGCTAGACACAGCTCTGGTTGCGCTCGAGACTGCTTGAAAAGCGCTACAAGTTGTCCACTTGCACTCCAGATGCCATCGGATTAGAAAGAGCGCCGAGTCACGATACTGCATACTGAGCTGCATACTGAGCTCACGAGCTTCCTAGCTTCCAGCATCTTGTATGCTCCGCTACAGGTACGCATACAACACATGCATATATTAGGGCATAGCTTACATCTTACAATGATGCATACATACCTTTTCTCATTCCATCGCAATCATGCTCTGTCTACACGATCTCTCATCTTCCTATGCAAAACATGCAACATTTTGCACGTAACCGAAAAATAATCGATGACGTGATTGTCTACTTGCGTGAAACCAACCCTCCATCGAGCTTCCATTTTCTATGATCAAAGATTGTCTTATCGTGTTTCTTTCGTATGCAAACCGTTACAGATCAACAAGAATAGCCACAACTGCCTTTGGATCAAAATAGGCAAAAGTCATACGACGAGATCGTCATCGAAAGAAGTCGATCAAAAGGTCGAGAAGTCTATCCCAACGTGCGCATTGCCCAACAGCCACGCACAGAAAAGCTAGACCGGACCCTTGTTTTTTCGCTTACTTTGCTTGCTTGCACCCGTCGGAACCGGGTGCGTTTTCTCACCGATTGTTTGGTGGTAGTAAGGAAGGAAGGAATGGGTAAAAGATCTACTGGCTTATCTGTACTCTTTTCTTTTATTTTTCTTGCTTCGGTTTGTGGCGAGAACTTGATAGAAAGCCACATATGCGGTGATGATAGCCTTTTGAACATTCTGGGTTTCTCGTGTGCTTGTTTTGTAAAAGTTAGCCGAACACGCAGTTGAAGCATGTCAACACGCCGACGCATGCATGGAAGGAATAGAAAGATCGGAATAGACAAGGAGGGAAGTATCCTGTACTAAGGTAGGCTGACGTTTTGTCCTGCAGGGAGCATACCACATCTCGTAAGATTGCGGATCAGAAACACCATTGACATATCAATTCTTGCTGCCTGTTCTCGGACATGGCGAGATGATTGCAGGTTTGTAGGAGAGCATTTGCTCGTTCCGGAAACATAGGCAGCCGGATTGATTCTCTAGAAGGCGAGCGAGTGAGGGTTTAGACTTTGTCGCCGCCCTGGAATCGTTGGAAGCTCGGACGCGTCTCGGTCCTGCGGCATCAACATTGAACCAGATGATCGACGGTTGGATTTTCCCCATGTTGCCTTCACCCTTGTTTTGGGTCTTTTTCATGGGGTAGTCGTAGGCGTGAGGCGCGGATATTCCGGGCGTAAGAGCAGAGGGTGGATTGTTTTTAAAACATGGCTTGATCTTGGATCTTCATCTCCTTCCTCTCCCTTGCTTGCTGTTTGTATACGACTCATCCTCCACTTCCATTCATATCATGGACCGCCCTATCGCTCGCAGCAACATGATTAGCACCATTCCTGAGGACCACATTGACCATGACTACCAGACCGCCTGCAAAGCCAAGAGACGGCGTATCTCGAAGGTGTCGATGAGCCTGGGCAATATCGCCGCCGAAGACCTAAGAAGCGAAATCTCACAAAGCATCCGCAAGGAATTGTCACGACGACGAAGCAGTGTCATTGCTCCCGAACCACAACTCAAGTCCCGCCCGACAGAGACTGCCAACATCTTCACCGCCGAGAATACCGAATCAGCTGCCTCCAAGGCATTGAACAACTTTGACCTCTTCGAGCACATTTTGATGCAATTGCCTTGGTCAGGCGAGGAGGTTGAAATGCAACGACAGAGCATCCGCGCCATCATGAAGACTACGCGAACATGTCGCAGTTTCAAGGGCATGATCGATGCATCAGCTCGTCTGCAGAAGCGACTTTTCCTGGCTCGCGACTCGGAGCAAAAGAGACCTTGTTACTGTGGTCATCAAGAGGAGGATCATGTTTGCGGCGCAGAGACAAACCCCTTCATCGCACCGACACTGAAGAAACACATCCTACACAACTCCTTCTCGTGCGATCAACGACGACAGAAGCAACAGGCCGCAAGACAAGCAAGAGCGGATCAACAATCCCTCCGCAAACACCTTTCCAACACCAATCAATCACACGACGACTACTTCAGCCACCCAGTCATCTTCCGCGACCTCCAAGACAAGCAAAAGAAACACATGCTCGCCTTCAAAATCTCAGAGAACGACCCCTTTTACCTCCTCGGCGAGCGCTCTCCTCCCAATGCGAGTTGGCGCAGCATGTATTTCTCCAACCCTGCACCCACGCGCATTGAGCTGTATTACTGGAGTTATCTCATCCGCTGTGAATCACAAGATGGAAAACCCTTGACTGCTGGCTTCGTTTGGGACACCATTCACGAGACTTTGGAGGTCGCGAGACAGCGCAAGGCGCCTGGATATCAGTACGAGGGTGACGAGCCGTTGCTTGTGCTGTTGGGGTCTTGGGAGCAAGAGGACGGTGAGGGCAGACATGTTTACGATTGGTTGAACCAGAGGCATGAGGCTTGCGGCAGTCCTGCTTGTCGTTATGCGAAGGTCTGAGTGATGGGCAGCGACTTGAAAGTCATCTTTTTCCTGCGAGTTTTCTGTTCTTGTGAGCGTTCTAGCGTTGTTGTTGCGTAATGATTGTTTTCCTTTTGGTAAGCTTTAGACCTACATTCGAATAGATGAGTTTCTGATCATTCTGCGTACCTTCTGCTCTTGTATAAGTGCCTATTATGACCCGTGTTCTAGACTTTCGCAGTCCACGAGATCATCTGATTCAGTGTGACCCTGTCACCGGCGGTGTTCTGTCGTACGGAATCGCGTGGCCTTTTTGCCGTCCTCGCAGACACATTCACCTTTTGCACACTCATTTTCCTTCACCATTATCGTTACCCTTTTGCATCACCTGAACTCCTAGTCTCGCGGCAGGACCAAGAAATATCAATGCAGCAGAGCAATAAATCCATGCGACTCGGTTAGTCACGCCTTCACTTCAGCTGGAGCTGAAAGCGCAAACAACAAAAAAAGGCCGCGCGGGCGACCAATTGGAAAAATCGAAGCCTGATCCAGACCAATCAACTCGACTTGCCAATACACCACACTATCTTTTACCGCTTGCAGGTGTAGAAGCTCCGTGGAGTGTTCTGAATGCGGCTCTTGTCTTGACGTGCTTGACTCGATTTGAAGAGCTGAAAGCGTGGCAGGAGCAAGCTAGGCCTCTGCTTTTGTTGGAAGGACCCGATGGGTGTCGGTAATTTGGAGCCTTGGCACGCACGGACGAAGAATTCTCTGTAAAACTAGCGATATTTACATAGTTTACTTAATTCAACTGACGTAACCACAACACGGTTTCAACATGGTAGCTAAGCTCTATTAGCCTTTAAGAACACTAAATTCAGCTATATAGCGATTATTAGGCTCATTAAAGTTCTTAAAAAGCAAGGGTGTCAGTTCCTTTGCTTAATCCGGAAGGTAAATAGCGGTCTTAACTACCGCCGGTATAGACTCATTCTCTACACTTTCCCTTCCTCTCCTAATCCTTACTAAATCACGAAAGAATATTGCGCGCATAGAATCCCTTTATACTTTATAAGATTTTAACAAACATTTTTCTATCCTATTAACATAGCCGACTTAACCTCGACTACTTTCGATAGCGTACGTAAGCTCTAAGGAGCGTAGAACTATAAGGAATAGAAGACTATAGTAGTTAGCTGCCTCCTTAAGAAGAACTACTACGATGTTGTCAATAGCTTATACCCTAAGCCTAAACAACAGTTTAACGACAATAGTCTCCTTAAGACTAACGACTTAAAGAAGGAGCTCCGCAAGTAGAATAAGATAAATAACATAGCTAAGGGCATCCTTATCCGTATCGTCTTATTACCTATAGGCGTAGAAATACCCGCTAGAATAGCCGAAGAAACATAGCTCTATCTCGAAGAGACCTACAACATTATAGGACTTAATAAGACGATATCTACCTACTAGGTGCTCTACTAGTTCCGCCTAAAGAACTAAGGAGACGCTTCTATATAGTGTTAGAAGTTTAAACGTTTGCTATAAGATGTAGTAGATGCAGGTCACAAGTTTAATAGAAAGATAAGGGTTTCCTTGTTCATTTACCTTATAGAGGAGGCTAGTTTTATAAACTTTACCTACCTCTATAAGATAGCTATTCGTAAGGACGACTAGTTCCCTACCCTTAACGAGCTAATTACTAAGTTCATCGACGACTACGTATCTACCCGTAAGAACGGAGCTAGTCTCTTCTATAACTATTATAGCTATAGTAACCCTAATAGCAACTAAGACGGCAACCACGACGGTAACTGCGAGAAGAAGAAATACGACTACTATAAGCGACCTAGTTATGTTAAGAACGACTACTAGAAGTTGCACCCTAAGAAGTAACCTAAGCGTAATACTAAGAAGGATAATAGGCCTCCTCCTACTACACCTAAATTAGCTAGATATTATAGTCTTAACCTAATAAGCATCTACGACGATGCTCTAGCCTTCTTACTTAGCTATCGCTACCTCTACGATAAGCAGAACGCATAGGTATACGATACCGGAGCTACTAAGCATGTCTATAAGGACCGCGAGTTATTTATCTAGCTCGACGAGTCCTACTCCTTAGCTATTAGAATCGGCGAAGGAGAAACTACTATTATAGGAGTTAGCACTGTTTCTATTACCCTTTAAGGTATTAATGGTTCCCTTAAGGTTACCCTATCCGATGTTCTCTACGCTCCTAACTACGTCGCTAATATTCTCTTCGAAGGAGTAGTAAAGGCTAGATCTAGTATGTTTTATTATAGTAAAAAGGAAGCTATATACGACGACGATAAACGACCTCTCGCTCGCTACTATATCTTCTTTAGTCTTCCTCATTTGTTAGCTATTAAGGATACAGTTCTTACGGCTACTACTACTACTACCTTAACTTTACTATCTAACCTTACTCTACTCTCTAGAACACCTAATATCTAGTATAAGAGACTTAGCTATATTCCTATAAATAAGCTTAGCTCCGTCGCTAACTTAGTCGGAGGCATATAGCTAACTAGTAATGTTAGCCGAGCTTACGACATCTATAACTATAATCTATGCCTTCGTAGTAAGGCTAAGCGAAAGGTTAGTCGTAAGGTCTAGCATCGCTCGACTTAACCCTTTAAGAAGATCTATCTTAATACCGTTAGTGTTACGTAGACTAGGTTTAATAGTAAGAAATTAGGTATAATCATTATAGAGGACTCGTCTCGTACTCGCTAGAGTTTCTAATTAGCTACTAAGACCTTCTTTAAAATGCTCGAAGAGTTCCTACATCTAATTTACAATTAAATAGGCCTTACGGTTAAGGTTATCTAGACTAATAATGGTACTAAATTCGGTGGCAGTAAGCTTACTAACTTCTGCTCCCTTAATAGCATTTACTATAAGCCTAGCGCTCCGTACACCTAGCATTAGAACGGTATATTAGAAGCTACTATCTATGTTATTAACGACATCGCTAGATACCTTATGCTAGAGGCCGGACTACCTCCCGAGTTCTAGCCGTATGCCTAGTAGACTATAGTTTATCTTACTAACTGCCGTCCTTCTAAGACCTCTTAGGGAGTGTTACCTACTTAACTTCTAACACGTCTTCTCGGTTATAAAGAGAAGCCGTCGGTAGACTATCTTAGAGTCTAGGGGTACGTAGCTTACGTCTAGACTCCTCCTTAAAAGAGAGTAATAGGCGACAAGTATAGTCCTCGATCTAAACGTAGTTTCCTTGTCGGCTACGACGGTATATCTATCTAGGAGATCTAGCTACCCTCTACTAATAAGGTTGTTCGAAGCAGCTTAGTTACCTTCGTAGAAGATGTAAAATACGGTATATCTAAGGAGCAGAGACGAGCTCTTAACTCCTAGTACGCCTAACTCCTATCGCCGGATCCCTATGTCTACGACGACTTAGATACTAACGATAACTAGGAGCCTAATGCCTAGTCTTAATACCCTACACCTCGCTTAATACTAGAGCTCCTATCTGTTTCTTAGCTTCCTTAACTAGGGGGTAACAATAATAATGCGTTTAAGCAACCTAATAGTATAAACACGTAGCTAGTTAACTAGCGCTACGAGGATGAGTTCTAAGAGACTAATGAGACTAATGAGTTCTAAGACTTTAAAGGCGACTCGCTTAAAGTTAGTAGAAACACACTTCTTAATAACTAGTTAATAGCATCTATAGTTAATTATCTATCTTTGCTTCCTCGACTAGGTTTACCCTTACTACTTAGAGATTATCCTAATCTTAACCTTATACACCGCCATGACCCTTAGAAGTTTACTAAAGTCTTCTACTTCGCCATGTATAAGGCTATTAACTTATTAGACCGCTTCTTAGAGTCTAAACCGCATAACTTTAAGGAAGTAATGCGCTCTGTCGACGCACCTTATTAGAAGATAGCTTTTAATCTCGAAGTTAATACCTACATTAAGACAGGCACCTAGATCATTAAGAGACTCCTACCTAGCGCTATTTGCCTTCCTAGCACTTAGGTCTATAAAGTTAAGAGAGATAAGGACGGCAACGTTACTCGCTATAAGGCTAGATAGTGTATTCGAGGTAACTTATAGAAGATCGACCTCGCGTACGATAAGACCTTTACCGTAGTAGTTAAAACTAGTTCCTAGAGACTAATCCTTATATTTGTTACAGTTAACGACTAGGAGTGCTTATAGGCAAATGTAGTAAACGCCTTCCTTAATGCTAGTATAGCCCTTCGCGCTAGCGGCTAGAAGGTCTACGTCTAACAACCTTAAGGTTATTATAAGGGCGATAAGGACATAGTCTACGAGCTCCTTAATGCTCTATATAGCATAAAGGAATCGCCTCTACTCTAGTATCTTACCCTCCTTAAGATCCTTAAGAAGCTTAGTTTTAAACCTCTAATCTAGGATAAATGCGTCTTTACCCGTAGCACTAGTAAGAATATAGTAATAATTATAGTCTACGTTAACGACTTCGTAGTAGCAGCACCTACTAAGTAGTAGGCTTAGGCAGTTCTAACTAAACTAACTAGCTACTTCTAGCTTAAGGAGCTCGGCGATATCTACTACTTCCTTAGATGCCGTATTATACGCAACCGCGAGAAGCGTACTATCTATATTACGTAGGACGCATATATTAAGAAGACAGTTAAGTCCTATAGCTTCGAAGGAGCAGCAACTCTATTAACCCCTCTACCCTCTAAGAAGTTGTCTAAATTTACCGGCACCGCTAGTAAGGGTAAGCTTAAGAGGTATTAAGCACTAGTCGGATCATTAATGTAGCCTATAACTTAGACCCGTCCCGATATTTGCTACTTAGTAGGTCTCCTCTATCGCTTCCTCGCTAACCCTAGTAATAAGCATATTAAAGCTACTAAACACTACCTAAGATACCTATCTAGTACTCGTAATTATGCGCTCTCGTACATTGCTAACCCTAAGGGTTTAAGTAAGGAAGAATTTAGAGGTGCTACTAGTAGTGCTAACCTAATAGGATATACCGACGCATTATTTAGTAATTACCCTAATACTCGTCGCTTAAGTAGTAGTTTCGTCTTTATAGTCTATAGAGGACTAGTCTCCTTTAAGGTAGGAAGACAACTATATGTTACTACTTCTACTATAGAGGTAGAGTACGCCGCTCTATCCTACGCTGCTCGTAAAGCTATCTACCTACGTAGGATTGCTACTAAGCTCGGGTTTACTATTGCTAGTCCTACAATCATCTACGAAGATAACTCGCTAGCTATCGACATAACGAAGAAGGAGACTAATAATAGCGACCGTACGAAGCATATCGACATCGCCTTCTATTATACTAGAGAATAGATTAAGAATAAGCTTATCGAAGTTAAGTAGATCCCTACTGCTAATTAGGTCGCCGATAGCCTTACTAAGTCCCTTACCGCTAAGAACTACCTTAAGTTCTATCGCTAACTTAACCTCGTAGTTGTTTATAATGTAGGTTAGCCTAGTAAGACTCTAATTAAGTAGCTCTAAAAGAGGAGGAATAAATAAGACAAACACATTAATAGTTAATGCTCTAGTTATTATTACAGATTTAAGCTTTTTAGAGCTCTAGCGAAGCGCTGCTAAAACGCGCCTAAACTCTATCTACTTATCGACTAAATCTCTACCACCTTTAGTCTAAATTAATTGGTTCTTTTCCTAACGTATATAGAGAACAATTATCTAGCTTCCTATAGAAGGGTTAGCTTATACTAATGATAGTAGTTAAGCTAGGGGGTGTGTTAGAAGGACCCGATAGGTGTCGGTAATTTGGAGCCTTGGCACGCACGGACGAAGAATTCTCTGTAAAACCAGCGATATTTACATAGTTTACTCAATTTAACTGACGTAACCACAACACGGTTTCAACAGCTTTCCTTAGCCAGCCTTAGCCAAGAAAACGGCATCTCCGAACCTTATAACGGCCGGGGCTTCAGCGAAACGGTCAACCTCAATCTTGCACTTTGTTTTCTCCTTTTCTGTCCACTCACACCTACCAACACATACATCTCCTTTGATGTGGCGTTTTGCGGCTCCTTCACCCCCTGCTATTCTACGATCTAGGTATCTTATGGATCATGCTTAAACATCTAGCATACCTGTGGCTTGACTCGATAGTCTGGTAATGTGTGTGTACTTGCGCATATGACCGAAGCTGAGGGTGAAGGATGGTCGCTGAAAGTCAGCTGTGAGACACCGCTACAACCGCTGCAATCCCACCCAGCAAGAACCGCCCGTTTTGAACGGTGGGATCAATACACTCTGTGTGCATGTAGGTACGAGGGTATGAATATTAAACAAACGTTGTCCCTGGATCTCTTTTTCTGTAGGTCGGAGATTTTTCTTGCTCTTTCGTTCTTTCTTACTCGGCGCATACATTCGTTTCTACTACAGTCATTCTTTTTTTTATACTGCAGAAAGAAATGCCTTCTTCAAGGCGCGTTGGGGCTGCTGGCCTTTTGGTCGCTTTGCTTCCTGTAACAGTATCTGCTGTTTCTTACAACTACACCTTGCAAGACACATATGCGGGAGCCAACTTCTATGACGGCTTCAACTTCTTTACAGACCCAGATCCGACACATGGTTTTGTTGAATACGTGGACAAGACTACAGCTATGAACAGTGGTATCCTCGGGTTTGGACAAGGAACTGCCAAGTGGGGCGTCGACGACACAAATGTCCTTTACGCCAACTCGACTGGACGTCAATCGGTTCGTCTTGAGGGAAATGTAAACTACAACCATGGTCTCTTCCTTGCGGACATCAAGCACATGCCTGGCTCCATCTGTGGCGTTTGGCCTGCTTTCTGGACTCTTGGCGACTCGAATTGGCCCGCTCATGGAGAAATGGATATCATTGAAGGTGTCAACACGTTCACCACCAACCAGATCGCAGCTCACACTGCTCCCAACTGCACCATGACCTTCCAAGACCAAAGTGGTTGGGTGAACGGTCGCGACTGCGCCGTCAGCACTGGAGGAGCCGCAGGTTGCGCCACAGGCACCAACGATCAAACCGGTTATGGCGATGGCTTCAATGCAAATGGCGGTGGTGTCTACGCCATGCAATGGACTTCCGAGTTCATGAAAGTCTGGTTCTTCCCTCGCAATGGCATTCCTGCATCCATCACCTCTGGTTCTCCTTCGCCTGCCCTTGATTTCGGCACCCCTGTCGGCAACTTCGACGGTGGATCTTGCGATATTGATTCGCATTTTATCAACCACAGAATGATTTTTGACACCACTTTCTGCGGTGATTGGGCTGGTAGTGTGTATGATCAGACTACCTGTCCTATGGCGTCTGGTGGAGCCAGTGGCTGTGTCAACTATGTTGCCCAGAACCCCAAGGCCTTCTCCGAGGCGTACTGGGAGGTCAACTATATCAAGGTGTTTTCGGAGACTGTTATTGCTTCGCCTTCATCGAGTTCGTCATCTTCGTCGTCGGTGAGCTCGACATCTAGCTCTTCGTCTTCTTCAAGCTCTTCGGTCTCTTCGGTCTCTTCGACATCATCGACATTCTCGAGCTCTTCATCTTCTACCAGCTCGTCGAAATCGTCATCCACCAGTGTTTTCCCATCTTCTACAAGCAGCGCTCGTTCATCGTCGAATTCTGTTTCATCGATTTTGTCGAGTAGCGTTCGCCCGAGCTCGACTTCGACTTCGACCTCCAGCAGCAGCATCAAACCATCGACTTCGACATCAGCATCGTCAAGCAGCGTCCGCGCCAGCTCATCATCCTCGTCAATCAAGCCTACCACGAGCTCGTCTAGTGTGAAGCCTACTACCAGCTCATCAAGTATCAAGCCCACAACCAGCTCATCAAGCACCAAACCAGCATCAACTTCATCAACCAAGCCCATCTCGACCTCTTCGACCGTAAAACCGTCTTCAACATCATCTACCAAGCCTGTCTCGACTTCCTCGACCGTCAAGCCGACCACTAGCTCCAGTACCATCAAGCCCTCCACTTTATCAAAAGCTCCCACCACATCTTCTACGTCCAGCCGCAAGACCAGCACTTCAAGTTTCAGCGTCAAGACTGTGGTTACGTTGAGTACGAAGAAAGCTGGTGTTAGCGTTAGAAGTGTTTCGAGCAGTAGTGTGAAGAAGGTTTCTTCGACGAGTAGTAGCAAGAAAGTCACTTCGACGAGCAGCAGCAAGAAAGTTACTTCAACGAGCAGCAGCAAGAAGGTCACATCAACCAGCAGCTCAAAGAAGGTGTCTTCTACGAGCAGTGCGAAGAAAGCGACATCGACCAGCAGCACGAAGAAAGCGACATCGACCAGCAGCACGAAGAAAGCGACATCGACTAGCAGCACGAAGAAAGCGACATCCACCAGCAGCAGCAAAAAGGTCACTTCGACAAGCACGAAAAAAACCAGCACCTTCTCATCGACCAAGAAACCCAGCTCCACGATGAAAACCAGCACAATCAAAACAACGAGTACAAAGCGCATCTAGAGTGTCATTTTTTCGTACCTTTACTTCATCTCATCTGGACATGAGTTTCTTTTTACGGCCTTTTTGTCTTCTCTTGCATATGCATGGTATTCGTAGAGTCCTTAATATATTTATACTATATCTTAGTCTTCTATTCTTGTTCATTGCCTTTCTTTTACTACTACTATGTTAGTTAGTAGCTTCACTTATCTCCACTACTTATATCTTTATAGACATAAAATTCGTACTTTATAATTTATATTATTTTGTTATAAGATCCTTTTCTCCAACTCCGACCATTTGTAGCCATCGAAATATACTTCGATATCCCTCTGTTCCAGTAAATCTATAAATATCCGCGTATGATCACATTCGAGAGGGTAATCTTGTCGACGGCGAAATTCTGGAGCAAAGGCATGATGTTCATAATCTTCGGTATAGAGCCAGAGTTCGTACAGATTAGGGAATCGACCTGGTGTGGCAAGTCCTGACAGCAAGATGAAAAGTTCCTTTGCATTTTCAGAAGGTCGCTCTAGCAACAGGTTCGAATTTCCTTCTTCAGCAGCATCAGTGTCGTGGAACCAACAAAAGTTTTCACCGATACTGATATGGAGGGATTCCAAGGTATCTGGTAGCTGCGTTTCAATCGGCGGTGCAGTGTCGACGACACCTTGGAGGTCATGAAGTTCCAAATCTTCAGTCCAGATCTTGAGTAATCGTCGAGGAATCCTCAACCACTTGAGCTTCGAGAATGAGTGAAGAGCCCCCGTTTGATCAGGGATGATACAATCTGATTCGTAAACTTGCAAATCCAGCACTTGGATATTGTGTTTGAATGGTGATAGCGTGTTTATCATCTTGTCGCTCCTGACTGATGCATTTGGTACGGCGAAGGGACGTCCACTTTCACCATATGTTATGTCGAAGCGAAGAATTTGCAAGTCCGTGGGCCAGTTGAGGAGATTGATTAGTTCTTCGCTGATTGGACCGCAATTGATGAATTCTAGCTCCGTTACGTTTGATGTATTGGGTTGGCGACAGGTGTGAGGAACCACGCAGCATAAGCGTAACATGCAATCAAGCTGTACACGACGCAACGTCGGGATCTGAAAGAGCTTCAATAACGTCGAGAAACCGGGATCATCTGTTTCGTATTGGCATCCGCTAACGGGTATCCTTAAAGAAGTGATCCGATCCACATGGAAAGGGACAGTAGAATCCAATAGAGGTAGTCCGAGATGGAGTGAGTGGAGCTTGTGTGACTTTGACAAAAGGACAACCGTGTCTTTGACCATGTCGCTGAATTGCTGTTCAGCTTCTGACTCCGACTTTCCTGGGTAGGGCGTGGATCGCCACTCCATGCCATGTGTCCACTCGATACTGACGTCTTTTGTGACTTCACGATAGCCTTCCCAATTCGTGAGGCTTTGATGGAAGATTGTTATGTCTCGTATTCGCTGCAAGTCTGTCCTAGGGCAACACGAACGATTGATGGCGTCGCAGTAGATTAGTGTGCGATACATCCGTCTACGGGCTTGGGCCTGGAGTGTCCGGGATACCAGACATAGGGCTTTGAGGCTCTTCGTAGGAAGGTCTTCCAGGATGAGGGTCCAGATCTCGGGTGGTAGGGCGGAATGCATAGTTGCTTGACCAGTAACCATTGTTGTTGGAGCCGAGTTGTAGAGTGTGGGCCAAATTGAATAGATGATGAATCGCGCTTGTTGTTGGAGCGGAGTTGTAAAGGGTAGGCTAGAATTGAAAAGACAATTCCGCTTGTTGTTGGGGCCTGAAGTATTGAAGGATGTTCATCAGGCCTCCAATATGAAGCTGCCAAGAGCAGAGCAGACCCAGCATCCGTGATTGGTGGAAGCGGATACTTCGAAGGATTATTGAAGATGTTCTATGAATTGTATTGGTTTTCTGCAATTGATATTCCATGGCATATGTCTTGTGTCTCGGCATTGGCCAAGGTGCTGGTAATGATAATATCCAGTGCTAATGTTAACGAGTCAACCAACCCAGATATGGAGGCGAATAATGCTACCTGTTTCTAGCGCATCTCTGTCTGCGATTCGTGAGACAATAGTCAGGAAGCACAATTTCAGCAGTGACGGGATGCGTGGCAACGCCAGTGTCATTGTACGTGTTGTTCTCACACGACTCAAGAACGCGAAGTCGACGAAGAGCAATTGAGTCGACGCATTCATTGGTCAACTTTGTTTAGGTATCTTGGCCCTGGTGATTTCTCCTTACACCGTGATTCACTTAGCAATGCTATTGAGAAGTCCAACAGGAGGCCAATCTTCGTACTCAACTTCCGTTCTTCCGATCTCGCCGTCGAAGTGCATCTTGCCCTGAGACACATTACAAGCATCAAGAACTCGACTTGAGGGTCTGTATGGTTGCTGAAGGTCATCATATTCGTTGTCAGTAGCGATCTCAAGCACACGTTTGCCATTGCGTATGTTGAAATGCAAGCAATATGTTTGGGGATAGAATACAAGAGTGAAATTCTTGATACGAGGCATGTGTTGTGCGGCACTTCCAGCGCTTTTATACACTTTGTCGAGGTAGCTGATGAGGAATTTTGCGTCGCAGTGACGAACTTCGTGGGTTCCGTAGCCATATTAGAGGAAGTCGCCTGTGGGCGCGAAAGCCGCAAAACTCAAGTCAAGGACTTCAAGGCGGGGCCATGACGCCTGGGTGGTATCTTGTGAATCCAAGGGCCAAAAGAGTCCAGGGGAGATATACATTTCCTGGATTTTCAGGTGTCGTAGCTGCATGGAAATGCGATAGAGCGCCGAACAGATGCAGTCAGGCGACAACGTGATTTTCGGTGGATCATCCCTGAGATCTTCAACCCACTCCGAACTGTCGTAATTGAATTTCAGTTCTCGGACCTGCGGCGAAAGACGACCCAATCCATTTGCTACAGCCATGCGATGGTCCGCGTCAATGGCCGGAGTAAATACGGGATTGCCACGTTCACTTTCAAGCTCGACCTTCTGCGAATGTGAGCCCCCACAAGCCGAAAAACTCTCGCAGATGGCTGATACGGAGACGTGATTACGATCTAGTGGAATTCCTGGATATCTAATTCTGAAAGAGTGCTGGATCCAACAAGACTTGTTGTACTTCAGCTTCGATATACAGGCGCTTTGTCTGTCCATTGGACCGCCAGATAGTGGAAGAGCGCGTGCACTCCTCTCGAAAACGCTCGGTCGTTCTCTTTCTTTGCGAGTGTGTAGTACTGAAGACCTCTTGGGTCTATTTTGCAGAGCAGATGTGGTACTGCAACCAGATATGAGTTTTTTTCGGATGGCTGCTCGACGACCAAAGAGCTCTACTTAATAAGAAAAAAAAAATGTAAAGAAAGGAAGACGCAAAGGATGAAAGTTCGTCATGTCGAAAGGCGCAGATGGAGGGTCTGCGGCGCTGTACTACCTATTACTCATAGTGGAAGACACGAGACAACCTTGGTTCCAAGACAACACGCCAGTCATATTGACCGCGATTTAACTCAACGCAGCGTCATCCACTTCAGGCTCCAGTGATGAGAACCTTCTAAGAAAATCCACAATACATGCAATGGAAAAGGTGGAACAGCAGAATGACTGTCGCTTGGCCGCTGTGAATTGACGGTCAATGTCAGTACCACAGCGTTTACGAGCTCAGAACGGTATCTTGAGATATCCACCACTCTCCTCATAAGTTTCTGGGGGCGACTCGTCCGCTGGAACATGTAATGCATGACTAGATCCAGCTTGTCCAGTACCTTGTGGTTGTGCATTGTGGTTCTGATAGATTTTTGTCATATCTGGTGAGAAGGATATGACTCTTTCATCCATGATAGGGAACACAGATCTTGCACCGTTCGGATCAGTCGGACGATCCCAATGCGGTGTAGGCTCAGTCCTTCCAGCTGTTCGCTCATCTTCTCTGGGTGTCGTCAGAGATAGCCATCGATGAGTGGGTACCTTCACGTCAGTGTTTGATGACTGTAGGTCGGTTACATTTCTTGGTAGTACGTTGCGATCGTCATGTGATTGTGGTGCAGGAGCACCTGGATCACTAATGCTCAACGGAGTCAGCTTTGATCCGGTCGTACTGTAACTGGTCGGAAAGGATGCAGGGTCACCTGTATACATCCAGCTTATCAATCTCTCTTTCCAATGTCGGTATTCTAATAAGTGGCGACATCGTCTCTACCAGATTTGGATCTGGATCTTCCGTAGGTACACGAATCATCGGATGCGATTCCAAGATTTGCGGTAGGTCCAATGTAGAAAGAATGTGGCGTATACTAAGCGGCTGTCCATCAGGCGGCAGGGACTCATTTGGCCAGAGGTTCGCTGCCATTAGTCTTTGGCAAGCCTTTTGTATTCCAGAAATCAACCTGGCGCGTTCACTCTCGAGCCATTCCATATAGCTGCAAGATCTGATCAGAATCATGCAAAAGTCATTCTTAACGTCTGGCGTAGGTACCTTCGCGCAAAATTGCCATCCGAAAGTATTAGATCCCTTCCAGGATCGCGGGTGACATCTTCGTCATCACCTGCAAAGCCACATCGTGGGCATATCTTGACAGCCCGTTTTCTCTTGTTCGCAGACGAAGAAGGAAATCGATAAGGTGACGGATTCATCAATGTCGTTCGAGATATTGCAAGTGAGCCAACCTGATGGAAATCGAGCTCTGCTTATACACCTGGTGGAATTGTCGAGCAAAGAGGGGTAGACTCGTATCGGAAGCGTTGAGCATCGTTCGGAATAGACTGGACATGTTTTCGAATATCACAAGCGAGGTTCGTAGGAAACAAGAGTTCTGAAGGAGGTAAAGCTTAATTGAACAGGAGAAATTCTGCCGTTCCTTCCCGATATACGGGCGCAACCGGGAAAAATCCATGACATCGAGACCGAGGAGACGTACGTCACCGTAATGTGCCCATGTCGCTCCATGACCACTCGAGCAGAGAAGTGGCTTTCAAACACTTGCAAATTTGTGTATAGCTGGAAGTACAGCGCGATGCCGACATCTTGATTCCTCGATACATTCTCTGCAGCCTTGAGGCTCAAATTTGGAATCGACCGCAGCCCGGACCACCAGAGCGAAAACAATCATATCAGTCAAGCGCGTTCCAATACCTTGTAAGAGGGCTAACAATCTGTCAAAACTTCTTACGAAGTAGACCCAGGCATTGGCTCGCTGGTGGTGCCGTTCGACTCAAGGTATGCGCCGCCCCAAGCAACGAGGTTCTCGATGACGATTGTCTTCTGATCGAAGAACTTGCCGGGGACCTTCGGAACGTAGTAAGGAAATCCTGTCTTCATCTGCTCGAGCGCCGCCCAAGACTGTTCGCTGTTGACATCGTAGGAAGTATCAGAGAATGCGGTAGTGTTGATAGACGCATATAGTATGGGTGTTTGGTCGAAAGGAACGGATGCTTCTATCTTTGCGACTGTGACACCTGTGCCATCCATGATGGAAGAGTAGCCAACGGAAGCAAAGAGGGTGTATGCACCACTGTTGACCGCGTATGTACGGGCGGCCGCCTCATTCACCTCGACACTCTCCCAGTACAGAGCTTGAGAACCTTTGTAGTCGGGCATGTACGGAAAAGCGGCGATATGGACGTCTTCTCTCTGGACTTGCATGTTGAAGGTCATGGTTGGGTGGAAATGTCTGCAGGCGAGGTGTGTCAGTAAGAGAGAAAGCTATGAGACCATTGGGCAATACTTACTCCTAGCATTCAAGCAGACCCCATCTACCATACTCTGTGTCAAGTACTTTCAGTCCATCAACAGAGCCGTCACTCCACAAGGAGCGTTCGATGCCAGATGGTCTCAGCTTGTGGCGCAAGTGCAGAAGCTCGCCGTAAGGCGAGATAAGTGCTTGACCCATGTAGATGGACTGCGCTGTCTTCTCAGAGAATGCAAGGGCAACATAGACATGACTGTCTTTGGCAGCAGCAAGTAGACGCTTCCAATGTTCACTGCCGACTTCAAGTGAGTTATTGTAGTAATCCTCCGAGTGCTTTGCGATCCAGGCTTCATCAATTCCCTTGGGATACCTGTGGAATGATCAGCGACTCGAAACGACAAGTATGATCCGAACAAGCTTACCCAGGAAACCAAAGCTCTGGAAAGACGACGAGGTTTGCTCCACTCGAGGCCGCTTCAGCAATATGCCCAACACCGAGTTCGACTGTCTTGTTGATGTCGAAAGTCACATTGCTCCAATTCTTGTTGAACAGCGGCATTGGCCAGTTCGCAGGAGCGGAACGTACAAGTGCGACAGTGAGGTTGGCGAAGGACTGCTCCTGCGAGGTCGAGTTTGCCACCTTCGACAACACAGCCGCAGCTGATTGTCCAGCCAGTACTAAGATGGAGGTGTGAGTAAGACGCATCTTAGAGCTCGTCTTTAGATGAGTCTGGTGCAGATGGAGATGCAGTCCCCGATGGAACCAGAGGCAGCCTTCTTATGCATATCATGTCCTTGGATGTACCTAAGATCTTGCGCAACTATCCACCGACATCGTATCTAGCTGCTCCACTCATGATGAAGAGTGAAATAATGGTTGGATTGATATGAAGAGACTTGGCGGGTGCCCAGACTTCGGGTTTTGGACATTGCGCCTAACAGTGACGACCCGGGATGTGGGCTCTCGATTTTGAGCCCCATTGGGTCGATCAGGCCCGGCATATCAGAATCAGGCCGTCGGATCTTGATTCCGCAGCTCTGATAGACAAAAGCGCGTCGACTTGGCCCAACACGCCCAAGCTTTGTTGTCGGATGTTGGATCCGCAGCTCTGATAGGCATTGATGTCAATTCCGATTCTGGCAGAAAAAGAGTGCAAGTTCGACAGCTGCAGAGCTTCCGCCAATCGACCATTGCCTTCGACTTGTAAGAACAGCGAATCTCAATACCTCCAGGTAGTGACATATCAGCAGTCGAGAGCGGGCGGCCACGTCTCCAAATCGTCTTCCATTTTAAGGCAATCGGTGTCAAAGAGCATTATATCTTTCTCAACACATTCTAAACGTCGAGAGACCAAGAGACTGGATTTTTCAGAGTGAACTGTGTTTTTAAAAACGAAACGTCTCGCCATGTGTTTGTCGGTCTACCGACAGCTAGAAGACATAGAGGGTGGTCGTCATTTATATTAACCGTATATATATAGAACCAAACTTTATCGCACAAGATTCCTTCAGCTAACTTTCAAGCGTGAAGGACATATGGTGGCGGCATGTACTTTTGATGGGCTCTTGAAAGAAATTCGAGGACCCGTCTGCCATTGCGGATGCTGATCTCCAAGCTGCGATCCTTAGACATTGAGACTTTCATGCCCTTTATTCGTGGCATAGATTGGGCAGCACATCCGGCTTCGAACTTGTGTAGCGATAGACCGGATTTAGCAATGGTTCCCTAACGGTCAACCTAACAGAGGGTGTCTACATCTAATGGATTTCTAAGGATTAAAGAGCGGAAGACTCATAGTGGACTGAATTTGACGATGCTTGATTATGTGAGCATTCGACAAGGTAAAATATTGTGTAGCTAACGGAAGATGTGGGAGAAGGAACGGACAAAAGAATTTGCTTAATCTCACGACAAGCGACGTCAAGGATGACAGAGAGCTTTATGAGACTATCCTAGACTTCGCTCATTGGACCTGAGAAGAACCAATCATTGCAGATGCAAAACAGCGCAGACGCTTTACGGCGTGAATGACTAGGATTGCGAGAAGTTGCTTGCAGCTCTTTACAAGGACCACTATCATCTTGCTGGATAGTTTTGACAGCGTCACGACACATATGTCTGACAACGATGCTTTATCAAGAAGGAGATTTGCATGACCGACAAGTTCGGTTGTGCCCGCTCGAGAACCCCCACACTCTTGGCCAAGAGTTTTGGCCCCACAGCCTTGGTGGCTTACGCGAAAGCTTGCATCGAGAAAGCCGAGCCCGATCTTTTTGGCTTCCAACTCAACAAACGAGTGTTTGCAAGTCAGCTGTCTGATTCGGTCTTTGCGACGTCCGCGGACAGATTTTAGCGCATCCTTCTGGCGCAAACTGTGACCAAAGCAGAAGTTACATCCCAGGAGACTAGTTCTGGTCTTCGAAAGGCGCCATTCTTGTTCGCATTGTCAGGTAGGTCGATGTAAATGGAGTGGTTCTGTCAAACGATGCAAGGTGAACACTCGTTGAAATTGATGTCCGGGCAACGACCGTCCAGCATGTCCTGAGTACCGTTGCAACGTCTGATTTGTCTGCCCAATTAGTACGGAGCACGCAGAAAATGCTTATATAGTGACTTAGGCGCGCATCTTTCTAGCGTCCTGCTTTTCCATGCAGGTCCGCTTTAGACAATATGCGGTTCTGTGGCTATGGTATAGGCTTAATTTTGGTCTGGCTTGCATGCCCGTCCGTCGGAACCACGACTCGCAGCAGGAGTGCGTCATCGGCGGCCACTTTCTCAGCTGAAGCCACGGACATCTTGAGTACGGAAACGCGTGGGGCTATCACTTCCACTGTCAAAAGCACCACGAAGTCGATATCTTTCGTGAGCTTAGCATTGCATACAGATAGTGCAATCTCTAAAATCCGGCCATCAGCACATTCAGCTTGTCCTGCATCGTCGTCTGTAACAATGACTCCTCCAACATCAGTCAAGCTTTCTGGCAAAGTAAGATATGCTGGCGTCAACATTGGTAAGAGATTTCTGGAAGCACGTTCGTTTTTCTGCTAACAGCATTGCAGCTGGCTTTGACTTCGGCTGCTTACAGGATGGTTCGTGTCCTGTGAAGAGTTGTACAGAGTTCGTCAAGACATTTCCACAGAGGTCGCATTCGCTCACATTCTGTAGTCCAGGAGAAGAGGGAGCATACCAGATGCAGCATTTTGTACAAAAACAAGGACTTAACACATTTCGATTGCCTGTTGCCTGGCAATATCTCGTCAATGCAAAACTTGGTAATTACGCCCGAGCCCACACATACGATCATCGCTGACTAGATCAACAGGTGGAGAGCTCGACAGCATAAATTTTGCAAAGTATGACAAGCTAGTCCAGTCATGCCTGCAAGTTGCAGAGCTCTGTATAATCAGCATACACAACTACGGAAGATGGAATGGCAGCGTCATTGGTCAGAGCAGTGGCGTTGTCACAAATGCCGACTTCAACTCGCTCTGGTCTCAGCTGGCTACAAAATATGCCAATGAGCCCAAAGTGGCATTTGGTCTAATGAACGAGCCGCACAAACTATGTATCACCGATTGGGCAGCGACGATTCAGGATGCAGTCACGACCATCCGCAAGACTGGCGCGACGCAAAACCTTATCCTTCTGCCTGGAATTAATCACTCGTCAGCCGGAGCATTTCTGTACGATGGTTCGGCCACTGAACTCAGCACGGTGGTCAACCTTGATAAATCGACCAAAAACCTCATCTTCGACGTCCACATCTATCTCGACAAAGATGGGACTGGTAAGCACAGCGAGTGTACCACAAGTAACGCTTTGGTCTTCACTCGTCTAGCTACCTGGTTGCGAAAAGAAGGTCGACAGGCGTTCTTGAGTGAGACGGGCGGAGGGAACACCAATTCTTGTGTCAAGTATATGCGTGAACAGCTCCAGGTCCTGATGAACAATTCAGACGTTTACCTCGGTTGGACTGGCTGGGCTGCTGGTAAATTCTCGACGAGCTATGTTCTGAGCGAGACGCCATTTGGGAAAGCTGGAAACTATGTCGATCAATTATTGGTCAAGGAAGCAATTGCCGGAGTTTTTAACTCTGTTTGAACATTTTGTGTGCTTTTCAGGAATGGCAATTTGATTTTGATCCAGGCGAGAAATACAAACAAGCTTATTGCATACGTCTAGCCAGACCATAGCAGGAATCTATGAGCCAAAAGCAAGTTGAAAGCGTGCAAAAGGAGAAGAGGTATGCAGTTGTAGAAGTGCATGCCTAGAAGAATACGATAGGTGCAACCCCCGACCATGAACCCAGTAACGATGATCGTCCAGAAGGTGCACAGTATGCGCATATTTCGATATTTGTTGTTCTTGTGCGATTTGTTGTCGCCTGAAGGAGCCCAGGCAAGTCCGTTACCGAGGAGACGATCTTTGATAGCGTTGAGGTAGGCGTAAGATTGGATCACCATGATGTACTGGACATTCATTCCGTACGATGCTTTTGCCCACATCCTGAATGTCAAGAGTCCGTAGATCAGAGAAGGGACTGCAAAAGCCAGGTTGTAATACTTGAAGAATTCGGGTCTGAACCACAGGAGAAAGATACCAGGCACCGGTGAGATGAAGATACTGAGTGCCATGGCAGAGTAATACATCATTCCGCATAGATAGCACACCTTCTGGGTGAGGTTGAGGCTCGAAGTCCAGAATTCGGGGTTCGTCAGAAGGGTAGTGGATCCCATACACCAGCGCATCTGCTGAGAGAAGAATGCTCGTGGGTTGTCCGGACAGATACCACAGGCAAGGTTGATGGGAACATACGTGACCTTCCATCCTCTGTCAACTGCTCCGAATCCAGTGTGAACATCCTCAGAGAAACCGATCTCAGCAGTGCCGCCCACTTCTTCAAGGGCAGCACGACGGTAGACAGCATTGCTACCAACACAGATCGAAGCTCCCCAGCGATTTCGGTTCACTTGAACGACACGATAGAACAATTCCTGAACGGCACTTGCACCCTGTTCAACCCAAGTTTGTTCGTCAGAGACTCGGAAGAATTGAGGTGTCTGAACAATGCAAAGTTTGTCATCAGCAAGGTGATGAGGAATGGTCTCCAGGAGGAAGTCGGATCGGGGGCAGAAGTCGGCATCGTAGATGTTGAAAAAGTCGCCAGAGGTACGAGCGAAAGTCCATCTCAGATTTCCGGCTTTCTTCAAGCGTGGTCGATCATCGCGGCACATGTAGGTGAAGCCGTGACTCTCTGCGAGCTCCTTGACGCTATCCATAGCGCCATCATCCATGACGTAGACCTTGAGCTTTCCCTCTGGCCATTGAAGCCGCTGAACATGCTTGTAAGTGTTTTCCAAGATCTCAAGAGGCTCCTTGCAGCATGGCAGATAGATGTCGACAGTCGGGCAAGTCTCAGGTTCGATGGGATGCTCTTCGAGGATCTTCTTATGGTTCTCAAAGTCGAAGTCCTTACCGCAAAGACTGACTCCATACGAGATCATGAGGTAAATCTGGAGAAGACCGAAGAATACGCCGAACCAGGAGAAGATGACCGAAGAAATGACGAAAAGCCACATTCCAGCCGAAAGGCTGAGAAAGGAGATGACACCGAAGACATACAATCCAAGACGATTGGTCTTCAGATAAGAGTACTTCTCGACATCTGTTGGGCCGGTAGGTAGGAGTAAGGTCGGCTCAACCTTAGGACAATAAGTGCGATAGTAGGAGTCGCGCAGTCTTGTCCAGACGCTCGATTCTTCTTGGAACGCTGGGGAGGATTGAACATCATGCTCTTGCTTCTCAGGGTCACAAACTCTTGCTGCATGACTCTGAGCTTGTTCCTCGATGTCGTAAGCTTCTTTCTCGGGGTCTCTTGCGCCATTGGGAAACGCCGGCAAGGGGAGGGCGCTAGGAAGCTGAGAGGTATTTAGTACAAATTTGCAAAGATGATAGATGCCCACTGACTATCAGACCACGTTCGGGTTCAGCCTCGGCTACTTCGATTGTGTCGTAGATAGGGGCCTGCGGTGCGGCTCTTGTCGGCTTCTCAGGTATCACATCAACCATGCCAACAGTCTCTTGGAAGTCTTGATTAGAGGAACCAGGTGCTTCGTGCCTCACTACAGAGACTTGGTCTGTTTCTGCGGGGATATGAGCGGAATCCAGGTCCTCCGTTGATGCAATAGAAGACTCATCGAGGCCTGGAGAACTGCTCTGAGGTTGTATGAAGCTGTCATGCGCATCTGGCCTGTCTCTGGACACCAGGACTGGCCTCTGCTTTAGAAGCACTAGATCGTTCTTCGCACTCGGACGAAGGTAGACATGAAGTGGTCTTTTGATTGTTACATCTTGACCCATATCCTCGTTGATACTGTCCAAGCTTCCATTGGAGTCTTCGTGAACGACCTGACAGTCTTGTTAGCTCTCATTGGACTAGGACAAATAGAGCACGACTTACAATGTTATCCGGTCCACTGCGGGACTTGCTCCTTATAGGAAAGTCGCTTGGTGTTTGGGGGTATGAACTTGCAGGTGTACTGATGCCACTTCCTGGTGGGCTTGAATCGAAGTAAGAGCCGTCTATACTGTCGTGACTAGAGCATTTAGGCAGAGAAAAGTCTGACAGAGCTGGACTGGTGACATCCCTGCCCTTGATGTCAAGAAACAGACGATCCTGAGGAAGCTCTGTCGTCGCCATCGTCAGGAGCTTCAGGAATCAGAAGACTAGGATAGAGAGAGACAGCAACGAAAGTGTCCACAATCAAATGGTGGAGTGTTTGTAAAGAATGAACAACCAAGTAGCTGCTGCTCGTTGAAGATGGAAGGTGGGAGAAGAACTTATAGACCTTCGAGAGGTTCCTCTCTGTAAGAAAGACTCTTACCAACGATCCTGCCATTCTCGAATCTCAATCCTTCACAAAGAATGTCTTCCATAACGATTCTCGAACGGTCTTTTTCAGTCAGCTTGGACCCAACATCATGCAAGGTAGTCCGGTACTATCAGCCAACAGCTGAGGACCTTCAGGTGCTGATGAGGAATGCTTGAGAGCAGATAACAGGAAGCTGAAGCTCGTTTGGAGCTAATGCAGGATGCTTCCACGCAGACAGCGAATTGCCGAAGCCGACCTAGACTGTTATCTGAAAATGTGCTGAGAATGAACCGCTCGGTACAGGGTGATGCATGTGGAATTCACCGCGCAGAGTGCACCTTCTTCGAGACCCGCTGCCGGCGTAGGTTATGCAAGAAGCATGATCATCCCTCTAGACTGGCAGCCAACAATCTAGCAGCTGAAAGTCTACGCGACTCTTCGAGCACAACCTTCTATAGGTTCTTCTGGGAGCGCGATATCCAAACACGTCCATCACACGCCCAGCTGATGAAGGGGACCCGGGCAACCTGAACCGCACAAGAGCTTCCGGAGACTGTGTCCACAAGCCCAGAGCATTGAGCCTCGAACTTAGATTCGATCTCCAATCTTTGAGGACTTGATGTCTGAGGTGGCGAAAATTTGGGTGAGCTTGTATTATTGCTGGTGACGGAGGGCTAGATAATGTTCGCTACCTATGTGGCTGCTCTAGATTAGTGGAAAAGTCCCGATTCGGATTCCGGAGCCGCAATTTGATAGCGGACAACGAGGGATCTGCAGGTCGGATGCAGCAAGGTTGCAGCAAAATTCACCGATAGCTTCACAGTATGGTCATCTCCATGATTGGTCCCTCCACCTGCATGAAGTATGAATCGATTGCTCAAGCTGAGGTAAGGTCTGCGTTTATTCCGGATGGTGGCGTCTTTGCCCGGGGCTTTTCTGGGGCTGATAACCTTATCTCCAACGGAAAGCGGCACCGAGGAGCGAACAAACCTTAAACTGTACAATCTGTGAGATGAGCCATGGCGATGCCATGGCACAGTCAGTCCGAAAGGCTTATGATCACTTCGTCTGAGTTGTCTCCGAGGCGCTGTAAAGCTTGATTGCCAGCTACACTCACCCACCCATGTTAGCAGCGGCAACACCGACGTGCATCTCATCGCATTCTGATTGTCTAGTCGAGATGCATCGCAGAACGCCGACAAGGTCCACTTTGGCCTTGATCCGGGAAGTGGTGTGCCTTGTGCAAGACGAGCTGATGGTCGCTTCAGCGCAGCTGGTTTCTGGAGCTGAACAATCGTTCTGGGCGTTGTTGTCCGCGAGTCGACATTTCTGCAGGCTGCTCTGGAGACTTGCAGGATCACGCACTCAAGTCTGTAGGGTCGCGTCAATGATGCTGTGAAGCCGTATGACTATAAGTTGATCTTCGACGACCTCATGTCTGGTAAGTCACCATTCGTTTCTCAGACTCTCACCAACATCCAAAAACACCTTCTTTCGTTCTCCTTTTCGAACCATGTCTTCAAGCGGGTCTGCCAGCGATAGTTCAGGACAGTCCACTCCATCGAATCGCGATTCGACCCAAGACACACCTTACACAGATTACACTGCTAGTCCTGACTCCAACATCAAGACTGATTACTTCAGCAAACTCCACCGCACGATTTCTGCTCGACTTCCTGAGAGTCAGCATCCAGTCGTGAAGAATATCTGCTGTATCGGTGCAGGATACGTCGGTATGTGTCGGACTGATGCTCTTCGCAATTCAGCACTGACAGAGTATCTAGGAGGACCAACTGCTGCTATCATTGCATTGAAGAACCCAGACATTGTAGTCAACGTCGCTGATCTCAATGCTTCTCGAATCCGCAAATGGAACTCCAAGCACCTTCCTGTTCACGAACCAGGGTTGATTGATGTTGTTCGCGTGGCCCGTGACGGCACAAAGGGATCTTTGGCATCCGAAGAACGCCAGCCCAATTTGTTCTTCACGACTGATGTACAAAGATCTGTCGAACAAGCCGATATCATCTTGCTGAGTGTTAACACCCCTACGAAGACTTCAGGCATTGGTGCTGGATCTGCCACCAATCTCGTGGCCCTCGAAAGCGCGGTCGGCTCTGTTGCATTGTGGGCTAAGCCCGGTGCAATCATTGTTGAGAAAAGTACCGTCCCGTGCCGTACTGCCCAGATGGTTCGCGATACAGTAAGTCTTCCCATTGAATCTTTTTGCGTCACAGCTGCTAAACGTTACAGCTCGACATTCACCGTCCTGGCGTGCCATTCGAAGTACTCTCCAACCCTGAGTTTCTTGCAGAAGGCACTGCCATCAAGAATCTTTTGAACCCTGATCGAATCCTTATTGGCTCCATACAAACTAAAGAAGGTCTCGCTGCCGCTGCTGCTCTCAAGAGTGTCTACTCTGCCTGGATCATGAAGTCACGAATTCTCACGGTTAACCTTTGGTCTTCGGAACTGGCTAAGCTGGTAGCCAATGCAATGCTCGCGCAACGAATCAGTAGTATCAACAGTATCAGCGCTGTTTGCGAAGCCACTGGTGCCGACATCGATGAAATTGCCTTTACTGTAGGCCAAGATAGTCGCATTGGCCACAAATTTCTGCAAGCCGGTCTTGGATTTGGCGGATCTTGCTTCAAAAAAGACATTCTCAACCTGGTCTACATGGCAAACACTCTTAATCTTCCTGAAGTTGCCGAATACTGGATGCAGGTCCTTCGTATGAACGACTATCAGCGCAACAGGTTCGTCAGGACCGTCGTGAAGAAGATGAACTCATCTTTGATTGGCAAGAAGCTTGCCATTTTCGGATGGGCATTTAAGGAAGACACGAATGACTCTCGAGAGTCTCCAGCCATTGAAGTTGTCAAGGAGCTTCTGAGAGAGTCGCCGAAAGAACTTGTTATATATGATCCAGGTTGCAATCCTGCTGGCATCATCGACGAGATTCAGCAAATCATCGCTGCCCCCGACCAAGACCTACTATATCCTCATGGACCAATCAGAGTCGTTTCCGATGCCTTTGAAGCTTGTCAAGAAGCAAATGCAGTCCTACTTTTGACTCCCTGGGATCAATTCCGGTACCCTGCGGAAACTCAAAAGCCGGATGCCTTCTACGACCATGAAGCCGGCAAGGAAGGCATCAACAAGCAGATGGCCGGTGTGACTGCCAAGTTTGAAACGCTCGCCGCTGGTTGTTCAAAACAATTCGTGGAAGAGCTGCCGTGTGAGGATGATTGTCAAGATTGCTCGCTGGATCACAACGATCGATGCACGTCTCGCGCCAATGTTCCATGGAAGCGCATAGTAAAGATCATGAAGAAGCCTGGTCTGGTTTTCGACGCTCGCGGTCTTGTGGACGTTACTGCAATGGAGGACATTGGCTTCAAAGTGGAGGTCATTGGTAAAGTTAGCACGAGGTCGCCTCTTTATGGTGAGTTCAGATCCAACAGTTGATTGACCATGTGTTGACTAACTATTATCTTAGGCTACAACAATCTATGAATGTGTTTGGACTGAATTCTGGCGTTCATACAAGGTAAGGAAATTGGGAAGGGTCGGTTGGCGTTGTAATAGTGAGCAACTTTAGTTCTGAGGAGAATTGGATCATGTTCTACCAGTGTCTATTTGACGACCCATGATAATCAGTGAAATATTGGTATGAAAAGTTTATGCTGATGATCCCGCAAGAGAAGGAAAAAGTGGAGATGAGATGTGGATGAAACTACCTCAAAGTCTGAGATTCCAGGATACGCCGATTCGCTACTACCAACGAGCCCACGGGCGATCAAATCGATCTTACTCCCGACCTTCCAAATTCAGTGACTAGACAGACCTTTAGACCACCTGGAATCTTGTGATCGTTGAAAGAGGCGTAGTTCTTCGAAACGTTCTCGAAATCATCTGGAAGCTAGTCAGAACAGAATCGCGGTCAAGTTGCCATCACTTTTCTACCTGTGTGGGTCATGACAAACGACGGATCATACTCGCCGCTGACCACAATGTCAAGAAGGTAAGGAAAGTACTGCATTTTGTCAGCCAGAGCCTTTCAGTAAGCCTTCCGAAGTCCATCCGACACTACCTTTTGTGCCATGAGCTGACCTCCACGGAGTGTGATCGTTTTCTCCATGAGCATACCAATGGGAAACTGGTTGGTGTTGAAGAAAAAGTCGCCGATCAGAGCAATGTTGCCGCACTTTCTGGTTGCCGTGATGATAGAAGTGACTGTGTCGCCTTGATCACCTTCAAGTCCAACCTTGCGCATTAGAGTATGAGTGACGGAAGTCTCGCTGCGGAATCCGCTGGCTTCGATTCCACGATCCAGTCCATGAGGCTCCACAGAAAGGATATAAGCAGCGACATCAGTATGATCGTTGATGTTGACTGGAATTGCTCCGAACGATGCAGCAATCTTGAGACGCTGAGGGTCCTTGTCGATGGCATAGACCTTTCTCGCACCGCGAAACAGTGAAGGCTTCTGGATGGAAAGCCCGATTGCACCGCATCCCCAAACACCAACAACGTCTCCTTTGGTTACCTCCGCGAGCTCGCATCCGTGCCAGGCTGTAGGGGTCACATCAGCAAGAGCAACCAATTTCTTAGCATCCACGTCCATAGGGGCCTTCACGCAGGTCAAGTCCGCGTTGGGCACACGACACCATTCCGCCTGGTCGCCGGGATAGCCACCAGTCAAGTGAGAGTAGCCAAAGATTCCGGACAAACGATGACCCCACATATTCTCCATTTCCTTGCTTGGGTTGGTAGAGTCGCACAACGAGTATTCTTGTCTTTGACAATAGAAGCAGTCTCCGCAAGCGATGACTGGGAGGATGATGACTCGGTCGCCCTTCTTGATCTTGGAGACTTGAGAGCCGACATCTTCCACGATGCCGATTGCTTCGTGGCCCATGATGTCGCCTTTTTGCATGCCCGAGTTCAATTCGCCAGCATACATGTGTAAGTCTGAGCCACAGATTGTGCAATGTGTGACCCGGACAATGGCATCTTTGGGCACAGTGCCCAATTCGATACTCTTGGTTCCGGTCCATCTTGCAGCTCTCATAGTCTCGGAAGGATGAGGCTTGTAGTCGGTGGTTTGAACATTGCTATGTCACAGTCAGGAGCAGGGCCTCAAACTCATATCTCGCGAGACAAACCTAGAATCTACGGATTGCATCGTGGTTGACTTCTGTACTGGTGCACGAAAGAGTTGACTGAGACTTATGATGGTGTCTTAGATTTTTGGAGCGAGACTTGAGAGACATGCAAGGTTAGATATAGCTAACAGAGCTTGAAATGCTGTCGTAATTGTTGCGAAAGAACTCTCAGTAATCGCAATTGCACGCTGAGTTGAATGCTTCTAGTTCAGCTGGTGGTGAGTAATACATCGGTACATGTGACTCAAGGATTGCAGAAGAGCTGACAACTTGGCCGTGATTCCCAGACAGATCGGTCGATTGCCAGTCTTGCAGAGCTGAAGGTTAGACGACAGATGCTATTGATGTTATCCTTTCGCGCCATGGGTGAGCAGAGTTGGGGTCGAAAGATGCAGTCGAATTCCGAGAGGACCGTCTTGTGGCAGCTGCGACGTCGTCATCATGTCGAGTTCTATGTTGTGTAGTGCACATTGCAGAAAACTTCGTCATAGTCTTGGTGACGGTTCCTGTCCTCAGCCATGCGTCTATCAAGCGATACACGAATAGATTGGCATGATCGCTGCTCGTATCTGCAAATAAGCTTATCTATTGCTTCGATGATTTCGAGAGGTCAGGTGTATCATGTGAATGATGTGTCGTAAAGCAAAGGTAATGTCTTGCTATGCATAAGAAAAATGCACGGCTTGGCCCGTGGAAGATCTGCGCTTGCCGCCACGACTTCTGGCAAGAAGGACATCGTTTGGAACTCGGGCGCTGCTCGGAACTTTGCGCTGTCGTTCCCAACAGTTCCGCCGACATCGGTTTCCCAAGCCTTGATCTTTCGCTCCTTTCTCCAGGACTTTGTGCCTCAAGGACACGAAACATGCATCAGTCTCACAAGAACTGACCGACTCATACCGCTGCAATATGCTCGAACTACAACGCAGAGTACAATGTCTCGCGTCTGAGGAGCTCCTTCTCGACCGAGGTCACATCACAAGCTCAACACCACGCGGCAAGTTCGTGTCGCCAAAAGCTTGCTTTATCACCCTGCAATGTAGATCATCGGCCACTGACATTTGTGCTCACCGCAAATCACACGCCCTCTCCTGTCCAATTGCTTGAAGTCGTGCCTGACTAGTAGTATACCACAATTCTCCGTCTCGACTTCCGAAAGCCTCGCGACCTTTGCAACGCTCCAGTCCATGGCCTTGTAGATACCACGAGTAGGTCTTTAACGCCAAGCTCTTTGTGTTTTTCCAAATGAATCAATTTACACCTCTCGATCACACTTTGCAAGCCCTATACTCCTCTTCCATATGAGCCGAAAGGAAAAGGTATAAGGATGCGAGGAGAGACGATCACAATGTCCTGTTATCCATCACCTTGCTTCACCCGGCCAGTCATCAATAGGGCCCACAACAATCATGTCCCTGTCCTTCGCTTCTGTCACACTCGCTTTGGTATCTATCGCACCCGCTTTTGCAGCACCCGCTAGCAACCTCTTGAAGCGCGCCGCTATCCCTTCTTATGCTCTGACCTATGCACCCTACACCTATCTCCAGAGCGGTGAAGGATGGTTTCCTTCCGACATTGCTACTCATGTCAAGCACATGTCTGTTGAAAACGACTTCAAGAATGTATCTACATCTGTCACGCTTCAGACGTTGAACAACTTTGATTCGTCGACATATTTGACAAGCTACGACAATGTCGAGAACAACCCCGCTTGGCTTACCAGCACGTATGGCAAGCCTGACAGCAAAGGATACAGTGCTGCGCCTGCCACCATCATCGCTGTTGAGAAGAATGGCTTTGTCGATGTCTTTTACTTCTACTTCTACAGCTACAACCATGGCAGTCTTGTCCTGGGCAGCAGAGTTGACAACCACGTCGGTGATTGGGAGCATAGCATGGTATCCCTCCCTCTCGAACAGCACTAAGACATACAAGAAGACTGACCAGAAGTGTCTAGATTCGCTTTTCAACCGCGGGAGTGCCCCAGAATGTTTACTATTCTGCTCACAGTAGCGGTACTGCATACACTTACTCCGCGGTCCAAAAGGTCGGCGTCCGCCCCGTGGTTTACTCGGCCGCTGGTAGCCATGCCAACTACGCAACTGCTGGTACTCAGAAGATCTACCCCATTGTTGGCAACATCGTCACCGATACCACCGACGCCGGCTCTTACTGGGATGTCGCACAGAATTACCGCGGCTATTATTACGACACCGCAAGCAACACATTCACTTCTGCTGGCGGAGTGGGTGTCGGCGGAACTGAGCAAACGGCTGAAGGTGTGAACTGGTTGAGCTGGCTCGGCATGTGGGGAGATGAGCAGTACCCTGACTCTGACAAACGTCAAAGCTGCGCTCTTGGTGTAAGTATAATTGACAGACAATCTCATTACGAGGCTTCTTTGCTGACCAGGGACCAGATTGATGATCTCTGCCATTACCAGAGCGGACCCACTGGACCTTTGGACAAGAACCTCGGACGCACAGCTGTTTGCCAGAAGGAAGACAACTGCACCATCAAGACGAAGCTGTGAAGGGCTTCTCGCTTTCGAACTGCTTGAACTCTGCTTGTTATCCTCGTGCTTGACGGACTCATCACTCTATAGTATGTCTAATACACTCAGATTGCTCTCCAGAACATCTCTGTGCTGTTGTTCCACGCTGCTTGAGCGACCTCTTCCACACTCGACCCCTTCAACCCAGCAACGATGAAAGCCACATGACTCATAGCACAACTCTCATTCCTTTCTTTGACCTTATTTCCCATCTGAAACTTGTCCTTCTTCTTACTTGCCGGCAATGTCGGTGCATTGACTAGATACCTTTTAGCGACTTCTGAGCTCGGTTGAATGATTCCCCACGGTGCATCTGTCTCGAGTTGCAACTTGTCGAGTGGGATTGCAGCAACCATCTCCAAGGACTCGCGGTCCTTGAAGCTGAAACCATTGACACTGACGTGGAAGCCCATGGAGACCAATTTCTCCATTTGAGATTTTGAACCGACGAATGAATGGACTAATCCTCCTTTTGGTAGTTTTGAGAGGTATGGTTCCATGGTTGCGACAAAGTCGTCAAAAGCAGCACGACAGTGCAGCAATAGTGGAAGATCCCACTTTTCTTTGATGAAAAGATCCAGTTGGTCTTTGAAGCATCGAAGTTGTGTTTCCTTGCTCGCGTGGTCCAGGTGATCATAGTCCAAACCCAACTCGCCGAATGCGGAGATCATTCCCGGGTCAGAAGTTTGTAAGTCGTTGATACTCTTCGCCATTGCAGATAGGTATTCACTACCATCACTATCGTTCGCATATGGCTCGGCCACATGATAGGGATGTACGCCAACGGTGATACTGCATTGAGATGGTCGTGAACGTGCAATATCAGCGTCGAAAGAAATGTCTGCCGAAGACATGCCTGTGAGCATTACTCTCTCGACTCCGGCATCTTGGGCGCGGCCGAGTACTGATGGGAAGTCTGGTTCGTGGTATTTTTTATTGCGGTAGATTCCCGCGAATTCTTTTGCTGTTGCTGTTACTGCGACCTTGAGGGTCAGTCAACTACCGTGATTTATCCGGATGCAATTGTGAAGAAACAGCAGAATGTTGGGAGTGTCGGAGAATGGAGTAAATCTGGCACTTCTGGATCTGCTTCATCTGGTCATCACTTACATCTGCAAAGACCAATTCGCCAGTTGGCTTCGAGGGTGCGGCCTCGGGAAAGCCTTGAAGGAGACTCTGTGCCATTCTGTATTCAGCTTTCTGATCTGCTTTGCTATCGTGGTCTTCGCAACGCGCAACAAATTGGCTGTCAGTGATGTATTCTTCGAAGCTGGCAGTTGTCAATTGATGGATCAAATCGCAATGGTCGATAGGAATCAAAGGAAGTCCTGCGGTTCCGGTCACGGACAAGTGAAGACGACGCTCGGGCCGAATTCGGCGAGAGCTCCGACAAACATCTCACTGACTTTCGTCTCCAGCTTTCCATCACTGTTCGGCCGAAGGACATGGATATGCTGTAATATAAACATGACATTCGAAGCCCGCGGGCCGCGACGGGGTTCTATATATGGTCCTGATGTCCACCATGATATGAGTAGCCTGCCTTGACAGCTGACTTCGAGCGCAATTCAACATGGTAAACGTTGCAATTGCTGGTGGAAATGGTGGTGTCGGAAGGGCCATCTGTGACGCCCTCCAGAGATCTACCAAGCACAAAGCTTTTGTTTTGACCCGTAAGGTACATGCTCTTGATCTCTAATCATTGTAATGACCTTATGAACTAAATCCGCCGAGGTTTCGGAAGCAACAAGCCGTGTTCGATCAGTGCAGGTCGACTACACTGATGTAGCTGGCTTGACCGCAATACTTGAAGATCTGAGTATTCATACAATCATCTCGACTTTCCATATTTCCGGTCCATCGCTCAGTATTTCCCAGCTGAACCTGATAAAAGCTGCGGAGGCGTCTGGATGCACCAAGCGTTTTGCACCAAGTGCTTTTGCCATACCATATCCTCGAGAGTAAGCAAGCTCCCGATTTGACCCTCGAATTTTCATCTGATCTTAGCAGGTTTGTTTCCGCCTTACCCCCTTTAAAGTACTACTTCGAGGCCATCGACATCCTCAAAGCATCTGAGCTGGAATGGACCGTGTTCCTGAATGGTGTCTTCCTCGATTACTATGGCATGCCGCATATCAAGACTTACCTCGCGCCAAATATCTTCGCGATAGACATGGCAAATCAAGTGGCAGCTATACCTGGAGATGGCAATACGCCAGTCACGTTCACATGGTCTATGGATCTTGCCAAGTTCATCGTCGCGGCACTTGACCTGCCAAGCTGGGAAGAGGAGAGTCGCATTGTCGGCGATGAAGTGACGTTCAATCAGTTCGTCGACATGGCAGAGGAAGTGTGTGGTGAGTCTAGTACTTGCCCTTTCAATCATATTACGACGCTAACAATGCATCAGGAGTCAAGTTTGCAAGATCGTACGACTCGGTAGCGAGGTTGAAGGCCGGTGAAATCACCGAACTGCCTGGTCATCTGGGTCTCTATGCAGACTTCCCAAAGCCGGTGTTCCAACGCTTCATGGCTATCTTCGAGATGTGGACAACTGATGGTACAAGCACGATCAGTGCAAGAGGTGGAAGATTGAGTGCGCAATTCCCAGATATTAAAACGCTGACAGCGCGAGAAATGCTGGATACATATTGGTCCAAGAGATAGAACTTGTAGCAGATCGAAAAGAGTCCGGTGCAAAAGACGCAGCTGAAATTCCCTTGTGTTGACGAACGGGTGCGGATATGCTCGGACAGTTGTGAATCCGGGGTCGACTTATGCAAAACTGTGCAGCTTCATGACGCTTCGGCAAGCTCACGACGCCGAATCTTCTCGCATAACAGACGCGCTTTCCAGATTCGTTGCGCCTCACTGACATAGTTCACTTCACGCCGGTCGGAAAGGGCTTATCGACAGCTGCATCCGCTGCTTCCTTGATGCCTCGCGATGGGCTGGGGCAGGAATCTATCGAAGGATGCACAAATAGACTTTGCGGAACTTGCTGCTACCGTCTGACGGAAGATTGGCAGTTGAGGTCATAAACAGTAGGTTTCACCCTTTGGCTACAGATACCTTGGCTTGTAGCTGTCCATCATGGTCTGTTCCCTCTCTCGTATTCTCTTTCGCCAGTGCGACTCCAGAGACGCTTCACCTGGTCAACAACACCAAGCAGGCTGAGCGCGTCCTATTTGGCTGCGACGACGACCTGCGGCTCGCCCACCCATCCGACTCCAGCGCATTGGCATTGCGACACCGAGCCACGAGCAACTCCTACCTTGACCGTCGACGCAGGTCACGCACACGGCGCCGTCCAGGAATTCACCATGTCTACCCCTCGCGAGACCAGCGATTCCACGACGGAGAAAGAGTCGAACAATGGCAATTCGCCGACATTGCAACAGACCAACACAAGAACGACGACAACACCACCAAGCAAGAAGAAGCGGAAGCTCCCGCCCTTTCTCGACCACTTCAATGCGCGCGATCTCAAGATCCTGTTCCGCTGCTCCGTCGCCTTCTGGGTCGCGTCCCTGCTCATCGTCATTGAGCCCACATTGAGAACCTTCGGCAATGCCACTTTCTTCGGATGCATTGTCGTCATGTTCCTGCCCCCTTCGGGCGTCGTCCTCATCTTCATCATGGGAGGCTTCACCATGATCTTGGGCATGGCGCTAGCTTGGGCTTGGGGTGTCATCGCCATGAAAGCAGCACAAGCGACCAGACCGCAAGCAGAAACACAGGCGAGATTGCAACTGCTTGGACAAGAAGCAGTGAGGAGCGCCAACTCGACTGCTTACCCAGCGGCCAGTGTCCTGGTTTACGACGGATTCATGCTTGATACACGCGTTACCGTCACCTTCTTCTGCATGCTGTGTCTGTTCGTCTACTTCATGGCCAGATTGAGGATCAGGGCTCCCAAACTCGCCCTCACCGCCATCTTCGCGTGGATTGTCACCGATGTCTTCCTGACCATTGGCCCCCTGCTCCCCTCATTCCAAGGCACAATCCCTCAGGTCCTCATCAAGCCAGCCGCCGCCGCACTCGCAATCAGTCTTGCCTGCTCCATGTTCATCTTCCCAGAGTCGACCTCTCACTTGACCCTCTTCAGCATGCACAAGCTTGTCACCGCCATGTCAGGTTCTCTCGACCTCACCAGAGGCTTCCTTGAAAACTACCCGAACACATCGCACATGGAACCAATGCAAGCTCTGAGAGCAGGAGTCCTTGGAGGATGGGCTGCCCTGGAACCTGCCATGGGCTTTCTCTCATTCGATCTCTCTTTCGGCCACTGGAGCGCTCAAGACATCACTTCGCTGAGAGAACCTATCCGCCGCGTCATGGTCGCATCTATGAGTCTGCTTGCTTTCGAAATACTCCAAGGCCGCTCGCAGGAAAGAATGAAGCAGCTCTCGTCGAACGACATCAGGAGTCAAGAGTTGGCGCAGGCAGAAGAGAAGGAAAAGAAGCACATGTACGGCAGACACCAGGTCATGCAGAGTTTGAACCTTCTCGACTCCCTTCGCGAACCTGAAGTCGGTCAATCTGTTTCCGACTCGTATCATGCACTCTCCCAGGCCAGCAACCCCCTTCTTGAAGCCTGTAAAGAAGCCTTCCAAGCCATCGGCCACAGCATACAAGAGAACAACAGCAGAAGATGGTTTGGCAGACTGTCCGCCGAAGACTTCGCTCGCATGCGACAGTCGCACGTCGACGTGCTTGAGCACTTGCGCGAAGAGAGGGCCAGATTTCCAAACGTCGCCAATGAAGCACTTTTTGCGTCGCACCAGCATTTGTTCGATTCTAATGGCAAGTTCCATGGTCACGCCTCACAGAGACACAAATTGGTCGGCATGTTCTTCGGTTTCAATTTCGAAGATCGTCTTCTGGTTCTGGCCTCTGCCTTGATACGGGCGCTCGAGCAAATCACTCTTCTCGAGAAAGAACGGCCTACAGTGCGACTTTGGTTCCCCACCGGCTTGCGTAAATTTGGTGCATGGGCATTCGGTGGCTCTCGAGCACCAGCAGTCGCCGCACCTGACCTAGGTGACTTCCCTCAAGCGGATAAGGAAACAATTGGTGAAGTCCAGCAAAGCTTCAGCAGCAGAGTTCACAAGCCGGTCAGGAAGCGCAACAAGATCTCCGCCATGATACTCGGGTTTGGACACTGGCTTAGTAATGAAGAGGGCATCTTTGCTATGCGCATTCTGATCGCCACACTTGCAGCTGGTATTCCCGCGGTATGCAGGTCCTCATCTGGCTTTTACTACCGCGAGAAGGGTCTCTGGGCACTGATCATGGCCCAGACTGGTACCGCTTCGTTCTCCGCCGAATTCAACTTTGCTTTCGTAACCAGAATCGCCGGCACAGTCGCTGGCGGTGTTTTGGGAATGCTTGGATGGTAAGTTTATTTCATCTGGTTTGCAGCCGTCTTCTCTGACACGATTATAGGTACATTGGAAGCGGCATCGGTATCGGGAATCCGTATGGCCTTGGTGCTGTCCTCGCCGTCTACTCCGTGATTCTCATGTGGTTCCGTCTGTATACTCCGCCGCCATTGATTCCCGCTGTGATGATCGGTGGCGCCACTGTCATTCTAGTCATTGGGTACAGCTACATCGACACCCATCTACCTTCGTACGGAAACCCCGGATGGGGTTATGAGGTCTTCTGGCGCCGCACAGTGCTTGTCATCGTCGGCTTCGCTGTCAGTTTCGTGGTGACCCTTCTTCCTTGGCCTTCTTCGCTCTCAAGGAATATTGCCCGCAAGCTCTCTGGTGTATTGGACAACGAGGCCGATCACTATGCTGCGCTGTTGTCATCGTGGGCTGACCTCGACTCTCACAACCGACACACATCCGCAGTGGAAGCTGTTACTGTGCGGCTAGCTGCGGACCTGGGTGCGCTCAGCGGACCCATTGCAAGTCTGAAATTCGAGCTTTCTTCCAGTGTTTTCGACTCACAAACATGTGGTCGCATCAAGTCGATCGCGGAATTCATCAACTATCAACTTGCTCATCTGCACATTCGTGCCGCCACCCTCTCCCCCGAACTTCGCCGCAGGTTTGCTATTACCTCTGGTATTCTCGATCACCGTGCTATCGCGGATGTCATGGTCGTGCTGGGTATCGTGGCACAGAGCTTGAAGACTGGTGATCCACTGCCCGCACGTCTGCCAACACCGTTGCTCAAGAAGTGTTTGGAGCATGGCCATGGCGCTGATGTCGAGAGCTTGACCATTGATGTTTTGAAGAAAGAGGGCATTCGCGGATACACTGTATGCATGAGCGCTTACCTTGGCTTCTTGTCAGGTGTGGACGAGCTTGTACTTGCATTGAAAGAAGCAGTCGGTGAAGCTCATCATATACCCGACGACCTCAAGTACGAGTGATATCTTCTATAATTTGTAATGGATTGTAATCCTTATCCTGTACTTCCGCAGTTCAATTCTCTCTGGCAACCGTCCTCCGAAGGTCGTGAATCACATAAACACCATTAGCTTCCAATTTATCCCTAAACATCTGCAAGCGATCCCATTCCACTCCATCTCTTTGATCCCACTCCTCAATAAACTCGGGGTTCAACAAAGGCAACTCATCCCATAACCTGATATCTCTATCCCAGATATGCAACACCTGTACACTGATGTTCTTTAGTTCTGCAATAAAATCTATTAATCTCTGCATCGCTTCATGTTCAATCGGTATCTGTTTTACAAAGTTGAAAAGTTCGGACCAGATTGTATAAATAGCGGAGTATGAGTTTGTTCGGCGAAAGTTTGGGTCTGGAAGAAGGGAGAGGTAGAGGAAATTTGTAGCTTGTGCGGTTTTTGCCGCGGAAGTGTGTTTCTGGTATTCGTGTGTAGGTATGATAATAAGATCCGTGAGGATGTTTAACATTGCTGTTTCGCTGGGAGAAGTCTCGTCGCTTTGAGAGTGAAGTGGTATGGGGGGGTTTTCCGCAAGTGGCCGTCAGTGCGGCGTTGGACATTGTGTATTTTGGCCATAGGCGTTGCATGCGATCGGCTGTGTATTCGTTTTCTTCGAATATGGTATCGTCGAGATGGGTCAGGTCTTCCATGGTGATGAGGCCGACTTCAGTCATTCGCAATCGATGCAAGACGGCAATTGTAACGAACGTCAGGTTTGCTCTGCCCGCAATCGTGAATGTTGTTCGGGCGCAATTTGTGGAGGCGCGACAAGACCTGCCGCAACTTCCTTTGCGACACTTTCTGCTCCACGACTGTGCGCAGCAAACTCCAGTTCAGATGATGAATCACTTGCGAGATGGATCTTGTCGACGTGACTGCGAGCTGATCGCGAAGGCTCGAAGAGATTTGCTTCTTGTCCCAGGACCCGGAGTCCTTTGCACAGCATGAGTCGCTCCTTCGCGATCTACCACAATCTACCACGGGATGTGACGATGATTTAACACTGCTATAGAGGATGTCACTGTGAGAGGGGAAAAGCAGTACGAAAGTACGACTCTTGCAGTCCACGTACCTGATCCAAGGCAGTGCTCAATCTACGTCATTCGCGGATCATCTTGCATAACAAGCCGTGTTTCTCTCCAGCGAAGGGAACTCGTCTTTCTGCCAGACATCGCTTTCTCCAGCACCCAGAGCAGGATCCTCCCAGGCATTGAGACATCAAGATGTCGACTGATGAGAAAAACACCCGTGGACCTGCTGGATCTGACGGCGCTCAAAAGCACAAGGAACCTACATCTTCGAACAACAAAACTGCAAAAGATCCGCAAGGAGACGTACCTAGCAAGGAAGAAGTCAACAAAGAGTCTTCAAAGGCAGCAAAAAAGGCTCTCGAGCTTCAGAAACACTCCAAGGAGCTCACACAAGCTGCCGCCGACGCAGGAGATCCAGAAGAACGACAACGATTGCTGGACGAAGCCCTCGCCAAATCAAAAGAAGCCGAGTCATTGGGAAAGACGGCAAAGTTCCTCAGTTCTGGTGGCTTCCAAGGCCTGCTCGCTGGTGGTGGTGTCGGCTCGATCATTGGCGTCGGGTTAGGCACGTTAGTCGGCACCTTGACCGGAGCTCTGGTTGGAGGTGTGGGGACTCTTGTTGTCGGAGGATTGGGAAGCGGTATAGGCTCGGCTGTTGGCGCACTCCATGGACCATGGCTCAAGTCTGAAGAGGCGCTTCAAGATGGTCTTGGCAAGATTACGGGAGCATTGCCGAACTGGACAGCGACGAGCGAGCAGAAAGAGCAACTGGAGAAGATCATGGGGCAGATTGAGAAGCAAGATACACCGACTGACGAAGAACTGAAGGCGATGACGGGTGGCGATACCTAGGAAGCGGTGTTGAGATGTGTCCGCGTGCAATCAGGCAATGAAGTTAAGCGGGTCGCGTGGACGACTTCGCTGTCTCGAGACGATATTAACTCATGCGGTCTCGTAGCTTCCTGGGTCTGAGTCACCACACTCAAAGAAAAGCGATAGAAAATCCGTAGATTCTGTGGTCGCACCGTCGCAGCGATTTTGCAACTTTGCTACCCGCATCACCGATCGTCCTTTGCAACCTTCCCCACCGACCCACTCTCACATACTCGGACGAACAGGCCCGCCCGTCGACATTTGCCATGGCTACCTACTTGCCACAAGAGATCTTAGCTCTTATCGTGGAGCATGTATGCGCCCTCCCGGAGAAGGAGTCGCAAGTCAAGCTCACCGACTACACACTTGTCAACAAATATTGGCAAGCCGCCTTTGAACGGCAGATATGGTCGTCAGTCACTCTACTCAGTCCTTCTGGTATTGAAGTCGTCACTTCTCGAAGTGGCAAGCAGTACAAAAAGCGTGGACTTCGCTTCGCTGATCTCGAAAGGTTGACCAGTGAACCAGAAAATTGGCAACTCGCTCGGCGTGATTTTCTTCGCGATATCCGCTATAGAGTTGCTGTACCGCGATTCCTGGACGACGGAGACGGAGATGAAGACGAAGAAGCAGAGTACATTGATGATTATGTATTCACACGGGAAAATGATCTCGCAGTCACCAAGGGCATGTCTCAGTTGTTCAACCATCTCTCGACCTGGACCAAGCAAAAGAGAAAACTTTCATTGAGCATCGTTTTTCAAGCAGAGAAAGGGGATCTGGACAACGAAGAACGTGAAATTAACGAAGAAATTGACTGCCGTAGCCTCCCTTATCGCGCAGAACTACCCGAGGATTGTCACTTGTCCACCGTACAATTTGTTGTGTCGCTGAGCTTTTCCACGCGTTTTGAAGACAACAACAATGGCATCTCGCTCTCTGCAGCCCTACGAATAGCAGCGTCATGCGGCGGTCAAGCGTTGGAAAGACTGGAGTTGGGCGGAAACTATGGTTTCCGACCTGAGCAGTGTGATATGCAGTGCCAAATGCGAGACTCTGTGTCACAGAATCTAGCTCGACCGCCTGCCAGTCTCCGAGTCTTGGAATTCGACTGGGATTGGCCCCCTGACCCGTCAGGCTACTGTCAAGACGAAACTCCGCCACCCACTAAGACACAAGTGGACGCTTTATCCGCATCATTGCGTAGAACTTTATCGCATCTTCAGAGACTATGTGTGGAAGGCATGGAGGTCTCGACCGAGCTTTTCTTTCCCCTTCAAAGCACCGCACAAATCTTCATTGAGTTGGCAGTATCTCGAAGTTCTGGAGTTACGTGCCATACCTTGGTTCACGCCATCTGGCCATGGGCTGGAATATCACAACACTGAATCTTTCGAGCAAGTTTTTGCAACCAGTTACTTCGATGAGCTCTTTACTTGTATCGGTCACGCTGCGCTAAAGATGCCCAAAATCAAGCAATTGCTTCTGATCTATGAATCAAATTGCGAGGGACTCGGAGAGATTGAGCTACATCTCGGAGTGCAACATGGCCAAGCTCAACCTAAGTTCCACTCGGAGAATGGCTACATCCCATTGAGCGAGGTGTTACGGGCATGGCAGGTACCACAAGACAGACTCGAGGATTGTGGAAATGGCTGGAGTGGATTTGATTACGATACATGGCTGCCAGAATGATTGACCAACTTTGCTTGCAGCGTCAAAGTAAGCACTGGTAACTCATGCTGTGGTCCACGATTCAGAAGTCATAACTTCTTCCTCATACCTGTTCTCCTGTCTCAAAAGCTCATCAAGCACATCTGTCACTGCTTTGCCGCTCATTTCATCCAAGGCTAACAAAGGTCTTCTGGGACCTCTACCGTATCCGTGCAGATACCCAAGCACGTATTCTTCCACAAAGTCAGCATCAGTGCCTCGAATTTGATCACTGTACGCACTTAATCCTCTGACTCCTAATGGCATCACAACCGTATCAACCTTACTCAGTACGTTAAGTACTTCTCGAAGCTCCTTCTGCTGCTCGAGAGATGGGTTCTCCACGCAACAGAGATTCCAAAGTCTGACCGTAGAGGAGGGGGCGATATTGGAGATACCGCTGACAGTGCCATGCCCGCCGAACTCCTTCCAGGCAGGTAGATCATGCATGACTCCGTCCAAGATCAGAAACTCTGGATTAGTCTTCACCAGAGCAGTGACCTGCTCCAGTTTGTCCATCCGTCCAGGACATCTGTCAGACATCAGCTTGTTGGTGAACATCAGAAGCATGCTTATATCTCACGTCAACTTCAACCCGCAGAGATTTGGCGAATTCTCAATGATTCTGATTATTGACTTTGCCGAAAGATCTTGGCCAGCAGAATTAGTTGGGAAATTGTACAGCAGCAGTGGAATCTAATTAGGTCAGTTCAAGCACGAAGTCACGATCTCTGCAGACTTACGGGCGACAGTCTACATATGTCGATGTAGTATTGCTCAATCTGCGACGAATCCTGTTGCAAAGTAGCAGCATAGTATGCTGGTGGGATGATCATTCCTACAGCTCTTTCTCTTTTTCAGCGACCAGTCACCAGAGCTCCAGCTTGTGCACTTACGCTCCAGCACTTGCGGCGTCCCGAGCCAACTGGACAGTCTCGCGTGTACTTGAACCTCCCACACCTGCAACAATTGGTACCGACTCAAAGCCTTGCTTGTCAAGGGCTTGTCGCGTACAGCGTATAAGTGTTGCTCTTTCATCACGACTCAGATGGACTGCTTCGCCTAAAGGTCCTGCGCATACGGGGACTGTCTGATGTTAGATGGTTGTGATCTGCTCTCGTGGAGGCGCCTCAGCCATCACCCTGGGTCTTCGTTCGCCGGCTTGTCTTCTTTGCCATTGGCCTGGCATATATGGGCGGCTTCTACGAATGGCTAGAGCACTCGCATAGGAGATGGGGGAGAATAATTCGTAAGTCCCACATTCATCCTTCTTGTTTGCTCTTACTTACATCCACGCAGGCATCGGGCCTAACCGGCTCTCAACATCTGACGCTGATCTTATTCGCCGACTGGATAGCAAGAAGTTCGGCAGCCCAAGGTCTGGATGGTATGTAACCCTAAACCATTCCACGAACCCAATGTGACGACTCTAACGGATATGGGACGCCACGAACACCGCCGAAAGATACTGTCTCCTGCGTACAACGATTTCGATGTGATGGAAAGCCTGCGTTACAGTGCCGAGAATCACTTGGGAAAGGTTCTAGACGATCACATTGATCGAGCCGACCAAGGCGTTGCAGAAGTTGATCTCGCACAGATCGCTGAGAGATTCTCCATACAAGCCTTCAGTAACATGGCCTTCGGACAGGTTAGACGGCATAGATCCGATGCTGAGAGAAGATTGCTGACAAACCCGCCAGAACCTGGCCGAATCAGATGTTCGAGTTATCAGTCGCACTGTCTCTAAGGGTCAACTTGGATTCATGGTGATGACAATGTTTCCATGGATTCGAATCTGTATCGGAGACCCTTCCGCCTTGCTGAAGCTCGATCAATATGTTGCCTTTGGCAAGACACTCGCCACTGTCAAAAAGACTGCCACCGATCGTCTTGCTGGGACGATGTACGCTCCGTCTATGACGACGACCTCTTTGAAAATTACTCATGCCGACATCATATCTGGTCTCCAGGCTACAGACCTAAACGCTGAGCAGATAGCTGATAATCTCAACGTCCAGATGTGAGTCTTTAACCCATTTCCGATGGCTTCTATGCATAATCTCAGTGGGGCTTACATCTCACCAGGATAGCTAGTTCCGCGGTGACAGCTCCAGCTATTGCGCATCTAGGCGGGAGGTTCCTGTTACAGCCGCAAAGTACACAAAACTGTGTCAAACAAGAGCTCGCTGGTGGATTTGCTTCGTCGCTAAAAAGGAAAGAATATTAATGGTTCTCGGCACTGAGAGATGAGTCTCTACGGCTCTGTCCTCCAGCGCTCCACTCTAGAGAAAAGGTTACGCCGCCCAAAGGCTATCCGGAGTACAAAGTCCCAGGCGGCACGCTTATTGGGTAAGGATTCTCTGCCATGACTTTCACTGCTGTCCTCCGCTGATCTCGAGTCCAGCATATGCTTAGGCGCGGCGATGAGGGATCGTGAAGTGTTCGGCGCCAATCCGGACGAATACGAGCCATCTCGATGGATGACGAGCCAAAGACTGGGTGAAACCCAGCCAGAAAGTCTGGCAAACAGGAATAACGTCCTTGAGCTCAACTCCGGATCTGGTGTTTCCAAGTGTCTCGGACGAAAAGTCGCGCTTCTAGAGCTTGCTATCTTCGTATCGAAGGTAAGTTTGAACCAGACTGCTGCCAGGCTCAAACAGACCGATGTGCACAAATTTCTCCTCCGATGTGCTTACACATTTTTTAGCTGACCGAATATGAGTGGAAACCTACGAAGGGTCCTGGCGAGTTTGGCGTCATCGTCAGAAAAGGTGTTTTGAGAATCGAGAGTATGCCTGTGAAGGTTCAGAGACGCAGCATAGATCTTCCTTGTCCGTAACCTTGATCGAAGGCAGACCACCACAATGGTGGAGCGGTGGAGCTTGAGCTGACGACTTGGAAAATCAATTTTGTCGCGTGATAGGATGTGCCGTTACATCGCATATGCCTCAGGCTTTGGGGCTGTTGTAGTCAGCAGAGTCGTACTTTTCATACCAGATCAACACTACTGCTGTCACTTCGCTACGTTTGATCATTTCCAGATGTGTGTGTACTGCTCGATCACTAGATGGTATCATTATGAAAGGCTATAGATTGCGGATCTCTGGTCTGGTTACATTGATTTGACATGACCTTAACAGCACAAGCTATACGGACCTGACATCTTGCTTTAGACTCGAGCTCAACTACTTCCACAACATGGCTTCGCCAATCTTCGCGAGCAGATGCGTCGTTGAATACGACAATCACAATGCACAAAGCATTGAGCTTTGGTCCTTTGTCCATTGAGACATTGTAATACGATTTCTTTTTCTATCCTTTGCATCCGTTCATGCTTTTTGTGATTCTTTGAGCTCGATTGTCAGCTATTTGTCATCCAGAACATTGCATTGTTGACTCTCAGGTGGTGACTGGAAAACAGCCTCTGAGTCGGTCTATACATAACAGTGCATTCTCCACCTCTAGTCGACAGCAGCATCCAAATTCAGCGTCTCGAGACCCATCTACAAGGAATACTTACACCACTTTGACCAAACACAAAGCTTCAGAACATTGTTCAGGTAAGATGTGCTGGTTCGAGAGGCAATACCCAAACTGCCCTCTGTGTGGTGGAGTAGGTGCTCCTGAGATCTTGAACCTTGGATGTCCCTTCAATCAACCCTTGGGTGAGTGCAACTTCGTCTACGAGACCCCCGCTAACATCACCAGACCTCACCCCAACTGTGTCGAACTTGACCGTATCGCCAACGAGGTCCTTGGTAGGACACCTCCGGTTCAGGCTGGTCCTGCTCATATTGATGCCCGCGACGGTGTTGGTCCTTATGACACCCCATTGCCTTCTCCTGCCCTTCAAACACCCGCAATTCCTGTTTCTGACGGTTCTCTTCCTGCAGCCTGGTCAAGTGACAGCAACAACAATCCTTCTCCTGAAATGATCATTGCTATCATCCGTCGCACTGAACTCCAAAACATGATTCCCGAATTTGCTACCGCTCTGAAAGACCTCGAGACCGCCGTTGGCCCTTCAAACCCGCACTTCACTCAAGTCATCGAATTTGTAACTCAACATATCACGGGCGCCAGTCTCGCAGCAGATATTCACGTCTCTATGATTCAGGAGGCTGAATTCCAGATTGCTAACAACATTGGCGACAGGAACACTGCTCGCTGGAATATTGACTGGATTATTCGTGGCATCACAAACACCTCGCCTGGCTTTGAATCAGCTGTTATATGGCACCGCCGCTACACCGATCTTATCATCCACCTCAGGCGTCTTGCTGGTCGACTGTCGCCACCCAGACCCGCTGCTACTGATGAGATGCCTCCTCCTTTGCCTGTGAGACGTGGTGCTAGTGCTGGTATCGACCCTGCTGATCTTGATGATCACTCTGATTTCTTGCCGCCTCCTGAGTTCTACCTTCCTGAAGATGCTTTCGATTCTGATGATGATGTCGAATTTGATCCTGATGAAGATGAGCAGTTTGGTGGCGATGATGAGGAGGACATGGAGTGGGATGACTCGCATTATCCTTAGATCACTTGACATAAATACATCTTTTCCTCGATGATGTCTTTCATTTTGTTTTGGTGAATGTATGAATTTTGCCAACGTCCACTTGACTTCACCTTTGTCTGCTCGTCCGTAGGATCATCGCCAAGAAAGGCTATTTGCACGTGATTCGCGGCCCAAAAACGGTCTAACGAGGAACTTCACTCCCTCCTTCATATTGCGCATAACTGACAGTAAGACGTCGATCACTGATAGTTCTGTCCGACTCGAATCTGAAGCAGCCGATATGGCTCGAGATATCTTCTCTACCTTACCAGCACCTTTGCCACTCTATATCCTCCTGGAAATCTAGGCAGACGACGAGGATATAATTAGCTTGCACGGTTCAATGATACAACTCATGAGGGTAGGAATTGTACCGTAGAGGTCTTACTGCCACTCATTCTGCCGTAGTAGGAGCAGTCACGTCGCGTCTGTTATCGACCTCAGATTTCGAAGTTAGTCTCTGCCATGCACTTGAACATGCCTTTGGCGTCCAAATTTTCGAGCAATCGAGACCATTCATCTATAATATGATGAGTGACCGGACGCAAATTTCTCAAGCTTATTCACGTACTTTCTCACTGATGATGTGCCATCGCTTTGTCTCCCAATAGTCATGCGCGTCAAGGAGAGCAAGCAAGTCAGGTTCGCATACATTAGTAGATTGACGCCGGCGCATGCGACAAAATCGCATCTGTAACGCCGAGACCGAATATCTCCGGCCAAAGCGCGTCTGGAAGTGGTCGGCAATGGATTTCCAAGGGAGATTCTGAGCTACTCGTAACTCTACGAGCCAGGCATCTTCGAAGTTGTGGGGGTGGACCGGCTCAAGTCCTGCTCCACACACAGGATCTGAAGTGTATACTTCTGCTGCGCCAAGTCTGCTCGCGGACTCGGGGAACTCGACATCCGCTGAATCCATGAGGGTTGAAGATGAGAAAGAATTTTCACCAAATCTAGCCATGTCAAGGCATGCGCTACTTGTGGCGAATGCATTCAGGGGTACGCTGACGGCTGAGGGAATGTGTCCGAAGCCCTGGTCAATCGCAGAGAGCCCTGAAGACGAGAAGGACTGGGAGTCAGATTTGTCGAATAACCAGTCTTGGGATGGCCAGGCTTCTAAATCAGCGGTGTTCTCAAGTGTCGGTTCTGGGAACAAGGTTGGCGGGATAAGACCCGGCTTCGAAAGCTTGGAGACTTCAATGTTTGCGGACGTTGTGGTCTTCGATCATAAGAACTCACGTCTGCCCCATCTAGAAAGAAATTTCGAGAATACATGAGTCGTACAGGTGCAAGGGTTGCTAGAGAGTGACGGTCTGTCGGTGAATAAGTTTGTCGTACGATTGAAGCTGCAGACAAACATTCTCGGCCTGCGTCCATGCAAGCCTAAGTATCGCACATCGACACTCCCTCTCGAAGGATTCAGTGGATCAAGTGACGATCTGGTCATGTGGCAACGCGCCAAGGCCTCAACTCGATCGGTCGTATCCGCTAGCCGTGGCCATCCGGACTTTGCACAGTAAGTGCTCGGTCCGGCTGCAAGCCGTAGGGATCAGTGGAAACCTTATTTCAACTTCGGCCGTAGACTCAACCCGAGGAGAGCAGGCCGAGGCTTTGCTCGACGCACGAATCTTGACGCTACGTTCAACAAAGACAGTGGATCACAAGCGGAACAATATAGAGCTTCCTTGAGTCAAGACTTGATCTTTGCGAATCCAAATGACACATAATGCTACAGAATTGCCTGAGGTCTGTTCAGAAAGAGATGTACTCTAGGAGATACATGCTATCTCAACCAGAGGATTGCTGCATTCCGGGTCATTGTCGTTTCTCCAACATGTCTCGCCTGGCTGGGTCTCTTGAGGAAATGAAGTCAGTCCACTGTCACAGTATCAAGCTGGAAGACGCCTACTTGAAAAGCCGTCAGGGCAGCGACAGATGTTTCCTGGCAATCCTGTGCTGGGTGAAGCGCTACGTCAAGATCAGTATCCCATTCTGTCCGTCCCTAGGGACTGTACATACTAATTGTAACAACCATTGACATCATCTCCAAGGACCATAGTCAGAAGGCCGAGTCCCGATGCTGCGAGCAAAGAAAGGAATAACATGATTCCAGAGGCGTGATCGTAGTATGAGCCGATTTCAGGCAGACTTCAGCCCGCCTCTTAAATGATAATATACTCAGTCGTGGCCAGCGTATCTCGAGATCGAAATTGAATGCAACACCAAACACCCAACACCAAACACCCAACACCCAACACCTAACACCCAACATCCAACATCCAACATCCAACATCCAACATCCAACATCCAACCGAAAATCAAACATCCAACCGAAAACCTAACATCCAACCGAAAACCCAACACAACCGAAAACCCAACATCCAACTGAGAACCCAACATCCAACCGAGAACCCAACATCCAACCCAGATGCAAACGTCCAATCAGGAATTCAATCCGAAAGAAGGTCTATTGTCCGACTAAGAGCTCAACATCATACAGCATTCGATGTAGGATCGGCATCAGACTGTCATACGAAAGATTCGAGAACCAAACGAGCATCCTATGTCCAACTAGAGTTCCAACACCCAACTGAAATTCCAACACCCAACAAAAACACCAAATGTCAATTGAGAATTCAGAGAGTCTAAGCCTCTTCAAAAAGCTAAGTATTCATCTTGCCATGAGTAACAAGCCAGAACTCTCCGGCATATTTTTCTGTGCCACTGGCTGCGCGACTTTCATCCTCGCCTATTTCCCACGATGAAGACCGTTTCCGTTTTCGCAGTCACGCTTTTTGCGTTTTGCCCACCGGGGTCTTGTACGCCAGTCAACCAGCCAGCTTCTGCAGACATCAGCATCACGTCCGAGGGCGACATCCCGTACAATTTGAGATCAAACGGCTTCTCTTACCGCATTGTCGACCGGGTGACCGAGGCAAAGGCGGTCAAAACGCCCATACGAGCTCCAGAAAACTCGGCCCTGGAAAAGCGAGCGGACGCAGTACACTGTTTAGGGGTATGATCGAACTTCATGCATAGTGTAGTGCGCTAGCTGACTGTGATAGCCTGGTAATTCGCACCCTCTGCAGGATGACTGCAGTATACTGATCTCTGAAATCGCTTCGAGTGCCGGCTCACTTTACGCCAATCCTGGGTATTGTCATGAAGCCGAGTATGGAACTTGCAAAGCTTTCTATTGCGACAATACTTGCTCAGGATCCACGATCAGTATCACAAGATGGGCACAGTTGTTACAAAGTGTCAACTCAATGTGCGTAGCCTTCGGACAGAATGGCATTGTTACCGATGGTATCGATGATGCGGGTACGCGTGCCTCATACCAGGCTGGCTTGGAACATTCGGGAAGTGAGCTTCCGGCCTATGCGAACGGAACTTGCTAGACTGTTTCTGTTCTCAATTCTTTAAATAGTCGCTGCTTTGACTTGAATAGAAAACTGGCATGTGCTGATTTGTCTGGGTCCGAATCACAAGTACATAGCTGTATGACAACGATTCTTAATGAGACCATTTGACCCTCGACCCTGAGTTCTACACGTCAGATAATAGTATTTGACCGATAAGCGTATTTAATAGGGCAAGATCGTGCAAGGCGCTTGGCCAAATTATGCTAAGGCCTTGACGTCATCGAGAATCCTGCGGGTTCTGCAGCCATTGCAAACATTAAAACCCGATGCCGCCTTCCTGGACTACCGTCCCATTTGACTGCGAAAAAGGAGTCTTTGGCACCCTTCAACCAACTCTCGCACCGTTGATCTCAAAACGCTCAAGATTTTCAAAGCATAGTAATCATGCAGTCAGGGTCAGCTTCGGCGTCGACCGAGACTTGGGTCCTTAGAGTCATGAGAGCCATTGGTGGAACTCCATCACCTGTTCTGCGCGTCCGCGGCACGCACAAGTCGACATCAAACTCTGACGAACAGGCCGTGGATTTCGATCTGAGTCTCGACAGACCTACCAACATGGTTCTGCAGGACTTGAGGCTGGGAGACAGTTCTTACCATCCGGATGATCTGCACGAGTTACAGAAGCATGTCAAAGTGTTATGTAACGGGTCGGAAAGAAATACAGAAAAGCAAACTATGTACGTTGAATTCCCCAGCGTATGAGCAACGAAGCTCAAAGCTCTTCAAGATCTGACCTTCTCATTGGTAGACTCTTCCGCATCCAGACCAAATGTTGTTTTGTCGACGAGCCAAGCGTTCAATCGAGCGTTACGTCGCTATGTGATGCATTGCGATACGCCGGCACGGTGATGATCACTATGGCTAACAATGATCTGACCGTGGATGTCGCCCTCCCTGAGGCACGGACCGAAGGACTGTATGATGAAATTCATGTCATCGAGGTGAGATGGGGTATACACTGGCCCGTGACCGATACTACTGGAGAGAACGGGGCCCAGGGTCAGTCTGATCTTTGGCGTCGAAGGTTAGGAGACGCAATCATCGATGGAGAGCGAAATTCAATTTCGTTGGAGACGATGAAAAGTCCGAACGGGAAGTCTCTTCTGCGAAATGCCATGGCGCAGCGAAAGCTGGCCGAGCCGGTATCTCAGCGAACGGATGAGAATGGCATCAAGTGGACAGAGCTCAGGACGACTCGGTGGGGTGAGGACGAGGCATGAGTGATTCAAGGGGCCAATGCAAAGGTTGACGGGCGCTTTCCTCGCCCTGACCGAATACTAGGTATTCCGGTACAGTGGCGCAGTGTGATTCTCAAACTCGAGTTCGAAATCTGCCTCACCGAGAGGTATCCAAACAGCTTCGCCGCTCCAGCGAACGTGAATGATCTTCTGGCAGTAGGGAAGTAGTTTTTGGAAAGTCGCTACAGTCTTCGGGGCCTCCTCTTCAAACTTGGCAAGGAATTGATATGGCCCAGCGGTGATCAGAATGACGTTGTTGTCAGCCATGATTTCAGGAGTATCGTTCTGTCGTGATTTTTGGCCGTACAGGTGATGTGTGAGTAAAAGCGTACAGCGGTGGGCCTTGACAACTGGTCGTAACGTGTTCGTCGGCTTTGTCGGCGGACCACCCGATACGATGATGCGGCGATACCGGCTTCAACGCCGTCCGACTCTTCCTTATCGCTCACCCTTATCACTTCTATCGCAATGTAGTCCGCATGAGCTAGGACGCTACAATGGATATTGTACAAGTAGCATGTATTCATGACATATGTCAATTCCTTATCATGTGGGAGCGCCTCGAACCTTACTCTTGAACGACTTCGACACCTGGCAGGACCAAGATGTTCGAATCACTTACACGAGTTTACTTGAACACGGCGGCTCTTGAGCCTGGATCTCTCAGACTTCGTGGCGAGGATGTCGAGATGATTGGTGGTCTTACAGTAGTGCCTGTCTTAGTAGCTGGAGGGTCTGTCTTCGGTGCTGAAGTATTTGGTGTCGACTGGAAGAAACCCATTTCCAATGACGTAGTGGGGCAGGTAAGGAAGAAAATTACAATCAAAGAAGCGAAAGACTGACTAGCATGCAAACAGCTTGTCAACTTACAAGACAGATACGCAGTCTTCATCTTCCGGGAGACCGGGCTCGATAACGCTGGACATATTGCCTTCTCTAAGCAGCTAGGTGACAAACTTGAAGTCAACCCGTTTTTCTACGGTCGTGAGAACGACCGTGTCGGTGAATCTTTGCTTTTCGATGTTGGAAAGTCAGTGTAACTCTGTATTCAGAATGTGCTGCTTGCTGACGAAAAGCAGCATCGAGCTTGATGGATCGCTTGTCAAGTCTAACAGTCGTCGATGGCATCATAGTATGGACAATGCCCTCTGGCACACTGTAAACAAGAAGTACGACGCGCTTTCATGGACAAGTTGCTGACCACCATAGGACTCAACCTATCATCAACAACGCTCAAAGTATTCTCTTCTACTTAGTCATGGTGACGCTGTCACTGGCGGGTGCTATACTCACTTTGCAGATACACGTCGAGCATACTCGGATCTTCCACAAGACCTGAAAGACGAGTTAGAGGATCTCATAGTCGAGCATGAGTAAGAATATGCTTCTTGGCTTCTCATATCGTCCTGTTACTGACCCGTCGAAGTCTTTGGCACTCCCGCAAACTTGCAAGTCCGATCATCTACGGCAGCCCCACAGATCGAGAAAAGGCTTTGAAGCCCCCAGCATATCATCGACTCGTCCAAACAGCCCCAGACGGGCGCAAAACATTGTACCTTGCTGCTCACGCGAAGTGCATCATCGGTCGCTCTTTCGGAGAGAGCCAAGAGCTGATCTGGCGATTGATTGATCACTGCACTCAATCCAAGGTGAGGTCGCATGCTGGCTCTGAATTCCATCACATCGAGCTGACACTAGCTATAGTACGTCTTCAGTATGGAGTGGCTGTCAGGAGGAGATGTGGTTTGGTGGGATAACAGGTATGCCCGTCGCGATTCACATTGAGCATAATTTCTGACTGCTGCAAACAGGCAGTCGATGCATCGTTCAAATCCTTACCTAGAAGGCATGTCAGCAAGAGATGTTAGACGTTCGACCGTCGTTGACGATGGTCCATTTGCATTCGGTGTCACGTCTCAGGGCAATGGGGAATTGAATAGCCTTGCAAAGTAGATCCAAATTTAGCCCCTAAAATGTTTGACCTTTGGCTGCTACAGGGTCCTGATCGTTGTAGTGCACTGCCGTAAAAAGTTCAAGAGCTGTTTTGGCAAATATTCTGTGTTCATCTCAATTCCTGTTTCGACACCTCTAACGACGTACCCTTAGGTGCTTCATATTCAGTAAGACACTGCAGCCTCCAAAGCAGGAAGCCACCCCCGTGAGCATAATCAGCGGTCCATAGCTCGATTGTACTCCGAAATCACCCTTGACAAGCTGGACATATCTCTCGGTACCGGCCTGCAACAACGGCACACCGATCAAGCCACCAACAATGTACCCGACTCCTCTTGCACCATTTAACACGCCATACACCATGCCTGAGTCGATGGCTTCATTCGATCGTCTTGCTTCGAGCTCCAGATCGTTGATGAGTCCACCCCACGTTGCACTGTATCCACCGGCGAAGAACCCAAACGTGATCGAGAAGAGTATCAGCGTCGTCAGGCTGCCTTGAGTATTCAGTCCCCACAAGAGAATGGCGCTCAATCCTGAGCTCATTGCCGAGATGCAGGCTACTGTTGTCGCAGAAAAGGTGGAATGTTTGTTGTCGCTGAGGTAGCCGAAGAAGGAGGAAGACGCAATACCCGGAATGTTGAACAGCGTAAGCAAGATTATTGCAGAAGTATGCGAGAGCAGAGCCACTTCGCTAGCGTATGTGTTGAGGTAAGTTTGTGGTATTCCGTAGGCAGCGGACTGCAGTATGATGGCAATACTGTATATGTAGATCGTGCCGTGTCGCAAAAAATGCCAGGGTATCTTGCGCGCTCGGGGTGGCCCTGCGTCCCCTCCTTCATTCGCCCCCTCAGTAAGATCGCTCACTACAGCAAGCAAAGCTGAGGGATGAGTCGGAATAAGGAAAATTGTGAACAGACTCGTGCCCGCAGTGATAAGGGCCCAGATCCTCACCGTTGAACTGAATTTGTATCGACCCAAAAGGCTGGAGAACAGGAACGGGCACACGGAGCCAACAATGTTTTTGCAAGACAGAGTGACTCCATAAGCCAAGGCGCGATGATCTGTCTTGTACCATTCGCCAAGCGACAAAGTCATTGGACTGAAGACAAGGGCAGATCCGAAGGAAGCAAGAACACCTTGTGTCGCAACCAGATGCCAGACTTGGGTGCTAAAGCTCGACAGCAAGAAGCTCAAGCAAGCAAGGATAGTACCACTCAGCATGGCAGTCTGGCGAAACTTCGCCCATCGCTTGGTAAACAGTGCAAAGAGCAGAGGCATCGACAGATACATGACTCCGTTTGAGGTCATGCCGATGATTCCAGTCAAGTCGTAGTTTCCACTTAGGGTCTGGTGTGTGAGATAGTATTCTTGGAAGATACCATAGCTCATCGCGAAGCCTGCAACGAAACAGCCTTAGTATTCGTTGAACCTGAAGGAAGGCAGTGTAAAAGTACTGGTTGTCAAGGTCGCAGGCTCGAAGGAATACTCACCCCAGATCGGTAGCTGTAACAGGGCGGACCCAAAGAGTACAAGAGCCTTCTTCTTTCTGCTCGAAGTCACTTCTCCTGGAGCTCTAAGGTCAGTGTCCTGGACACTAGCATAGTCACTTCTGTCATCCCGGGTTCTTAATTCAGCCCGTAGCTCTATTGCTTCTCTAGGGATGTTTGACGTGGTCATCTTCGCTGCGATAGACCGTCGGACGTTTCGTCTACCTATGTATACGTCGTGTTTCGTTCAATGTTTGATCTGTCAATACTTGATGAGCGATATGGTGACAAAGGTTGCTGTACAACGTTGGCCGACAGCCGAGGATGTGTCTGTCATGGGGTGGGGGAGCACGTGGCACAGGGTCCTCGAGCCAGCCAGCGGCAGTGTTGAACTCTGCGAACCACATGAGGAAGAGTTGGTCAAGCATTGTATTGTCGCTTGTAAGCCGAGTGGAGAAAAAATCCAGATATCCATACGAAAGTCTCATGATCACAAACGTAGCCAGTGGCCTGGATTCAAAACGACCACTTCGGCCTCCAAGTTTGAGAAGAAGGCCCGCTCTGGCCGTCGGAGTATCGACCCCGATCTTGAGAGTCAGCATCACGAGTCTCAAGCTCTAGCTACCTATTCTCGGTCACGAAAAACGTAACAAGGTGCCGATGTCGTCGGTGTCGTGCTATGACAGCCTGTACCGTGATTCAGGACGGCGAGACTAGACTTGAAAGAAGAGAGGCGCCAGCTCTCAGCTGCAAGACCCGCAAAGGAACCGTATGGAGGTGCTCATCTTCCATGCGATGGTCGAAGCACGATTGGTAGGTCAATGATTCCTGCAGATTGTGTGATCAACAGGAAGGAGCAAAAGTCAGAGAAATGCAAGCACGTTTTGACAAGCACTGCTACTAAGGGCGTAGATGGCAGCATAGATACTGCTGCAGAGACTCGAGGACAGAGCAGTGTATGACAGAGATCTATGCAGGGGGCAGCACGTTTCCGATTCATGCTGTTGGCGATCACGCCGTCGAGTCGAGACCGACGACCATGGACTTCCAATGACGGAGAGCAATTGGACACCATTGCTATCTTTTCTAAGCCTTCCTGCAATGAGTAAACGCCATCAATCTCGATCAATCACGTACACGCGCATACAGAAGATCCTAGAAATATCTTCGAGTGTGAACTTGAGCGGCATCACGCACTAGGGGCATCGCTCGCCAATGTAGCTTGAGGAGTGAGGGGGAGCAGATTGATAGGCCACGTCCGACTGCTGAGTATGAAAACCTGAAATAAGATTAGAAGCAATCCCAACCCTTCTACCCTTCTATCCTCCCATCATCACAATCAGCTCGTCTCCCAAGCCATTCAATCCCAATCCTTCACACTATCTTCCTCCACTTCTTCTCAGATCTATCAAGACGAGATTCTCCACAGCCTTTGCTTATCTCCATTGCCTTCACTGCCATGGCTGCTCCCATGTCAGAGAACCTCTTCCCCGGCACAGACGCTGCTGCAGCTCCTGGACTTTCCCAAGACCTCTCTCTAGAGGTTGTTGCTCCTCTTACATCCCTCGGTCTCGGCGGCCTTGCCTCATCATTCGGAGACATCATCAGCACTGCTGGGATCGATGTCAAGAAGCGCCAGAGTCTGGTCCAGGACCTCTTACCAGAGCTCGTCGACCTGCTCAATCGCCTCGGCCTGACTGGTCTCTCGCATCCTGTCGGTAATATCGTCGATACTCTCGGTAAGGACGTCAAGAAGCGTCGAGAACCTGGCCTTTTCGAAGATCTATCTCCTGGACTCGTCGATTTGCTCGACCGCCTGGGCCTAGTTGGTCTCTCCCCACCAGTTGGAGACATTGCTGACACCCCTGGCAAAGATGTGAAGAAACGTCAGGCACCTGATCTTCTCGAGGACTTGTGTCCCGAACTCGTTGCTCTACTGACTTCCCTTGGTCTCGGTGGTCTTGCTCATCCGGTTGATGACGTTATCACCACCGTCGGCCAAGATGTCAAGAAGCGTCAAGCTCCGGGCCTTCTCGAGGACCTATCTCCTGAGCTCGTTGCTCTTCTGACTTCTCTCGGACTTGGTGGTCCTGCACCTCCCGTTCGAGGGATTGTCACCACTGCTGGTCAGGATGTCTAGATTCAAACGCATGGACTAAGCTTTGCGAGAAGAACAGGATGGTCAGCAATTCATGACGGCCCTGTCAGATTCATAAAAACGTAGCATGGAGCCAGGCTCAGATAGAGGATGATTGATGGAAAGAGTTGTGCGACAGGAGGGTGCAGAGTTGGGAAACGAATTGGTTTTGCGGTGTATGCATCTGTATCTGTAGAAAGATAACGGTCGACTGATTCTCTTGTAAGAATATTGTTGCTGATCTTATTGAGCTCTTGTGAGGCCTGACTGGCTTGCGTGAACCGTGGAAGCCGGGACCGAAGCTCACAGAACACCCGTCTGAGTTCGTATCTCGTCTTCCTCTTGAGCATTCTTCGGGCTGGATGGATAAGCGCATTGGGCACGACCGTGCAGCTTGTGGTTCGCATTCGCATTATCTGAAGCGATGGAGGGCGTGGAACCGGAGGGCGTTGACTTTGGAGCGTTGGGGCCGACCACTTTGTATTGTACATCACAAGGACGCTCACGTCTTCCTTTCACGGCGGATGTACTCAACGCGCAGACTCTTGTAGCAGTGAGTGTAATCATAACATTCATTGAGCTTTACTAATCATGCTTCTTGATGAACGATACAACACCCTCGACGAAACTGGCGGGGTTCTCCTCAGCAGTCCAGTGTCCACTCCTAGCCACAATGACCTCGGCGGCTTGTGTATAGAACTCCTTTGTCTGGTCCATGGCGACTTCTCTCAGCAGACTCATCTCGCCGCTCAGCGCAGCCGAAGGAATGTTCAGCTGTCCATCTCTTTTCAACATGGCTTGGTTGTCTTTGGCGTCCTGGGGGAAAGCGCGGTACAAGTCAAAGCCAGCTCTCATGGCGCCCGGTTGACAGAAGCTGGCGCCGTAATGGTCGACATCTCTTGGACCGATGCCGGCCGGGTTGAAGCAGAGGCGGTCGTAGAAGTGTTTGATGTAGATCTTCTCTTTCCCTTGAGTGAGCATCTCGGGCAGGTCGAGTTGTTGTTGGAAGGTGAAGTGCCACATGCCAGGCGAGTTCTTGAAGCCGGATTCGTAGGGCGTCGAGCCAGGGAGGGGACATTCGCCCCACATGACGGAGCGGGTGTGGTCTGGGTGGCTTGCGGCGTATGCGTGGGCGATCATGCCGCCGATGTCTTGACCGACGACGTGGATCTTGGATGTGATGGCTGCGCAGGGTGTCAGTCAGTCGGTGCGCGTGGAGAGAGCCCGAGAGAGGGGTTGAGAAGGACAGAGAAGAGGGGAAGGGACGGGCGGCGCTTGCGACACGTACCAAGATGGTCATGGACGACCTTGTAGAGATCGTCGGCGACGGTGACCTTGTCGTAGCCAGATCGTGGATGCGAAGAGTCGCCGGCGCCGCGGTAGTCTGGCGCAATCACTCTGTAGCCAGCGTTCGAGATGGGGGTGATGACATGTCGCCATTGGTAGGAGGTGTTTGGGTAGCCGTGGATCAGCAGAACGGTGCCTCTCTCTTGCTTTCCCTCGGGAGGGCAGTCGATGTAATGAATCCTGACTTCCCTGGCCTCATCGACAAAGGCAAAGCCGTGCTGCCATCGCTCGTCGTCAATGTGCGTCGGATTGAGAGAAGGCATGTTGTACGTCTTTCGGGATGAAGGCGGAAGGTGGTGGCATCATGTCGGTGTGCTCCTGTCGATGGGCGCAACATATACAAAACTTGTCGCAATGACACCATCGCTTTTTCGGCATCCCGATCATCTGCGGGGTCCGTGTCCGTCGGATCGAACATGCGGGGTTGATTTCAAAAGGCGGGGACGCCGGTCCGTCCATCACTTGCATGCTTGCATGGCCCCGGACTGGAATGTGGCGCATCTCGTTGTTCGATTAGGAGATTTGTAGCGCTTTGTCCCTGGGGTATCTGCAAGCTTCCTCCGACGAATCTCCTTTTCTCCGTCTTTTCGCCATGCACTTTCCCACCCGACATACCAGATTACCGTCTTACGGCATGCCAGGTCTGGCAATCGCTTGAAGTTTGTCTGGAGAAACCCCCCCTGTCACCTGATACATACTCACTCATCACAATCAAGCCCGCTTGGTCCACCGTGCGATGGTGCTATTCATGGTTCCATAACCCTGCAGCAATATTGACGAGAAACCTTGTCCTACAGCTCAGCACGAGAAGGACGCCCACGCGACTATCGTTGTCGACGTTCCTCGCGGACTGTTATTGGGGCCTACCGTCCTAAGTACCGAGATAAATTCAAAAGATCAAACCAACAAGGAGTCAACATGAACAGTATTGCGACAAAGTGGAAATCGTTTACTTCCAGTATTCAGAACCGCTACACTTTACTTGTTCCAATGCTCCGTGACAATCTCCCTGAGGTCTTCCACAATACCATCAGGACATTCAAGACATGCAAAATGCCCACCGTCGTTTCTTTCGCGATAGAAAACCAAATTGCCCGTTCTCTCGACTGCCCTTTGAGAGCTGGGCTCCGTGTCCCAGTAGAAGCTCGTGTATCCGAATGGTGCTTTGATTCTATTCTCTGGCTTCATGGCAAAAGCTGCAAAGTTCTCGTGTCTGATGTTCTCGTAATATGGTAGACTCGAGGTCATGATGCAATTGCTGAAGTAGTAGATCGAGACCGTGGTTAGGATATGCTTCTTCCACTCCAAAGACTTCTGTTTTTCCGGGTCAGCGGCTTCGTTGTACTTTTCCCCAAGCCAGACCATGATGCCGACTGGGTTGTCTTGTAGCATCCAGCCGATTGTATGAGGTCGTGTACGCATCATGATGGCGTATCCCATGTGGTTCTCCAGCCAGTCATCGACTCTACCTTGCACTTCCTTCTCGCGAGCTGTTAAGTTAACATTCTCCGGCAGAGGTGCGGGTGCGAAGTTGAAGTGCACGACTTTGCAAGAGTCGGAGTAGTTTGCACCAAGTTCGCGTCCGATCCAGTGACCCCAGTCGCCGGTCTGAACACAGAATTTCTCGTAGCCGAGACGTTGCATCAATGTGTGAAAGAGTCGAGCAGTTTGTTGTAATGTCCAGCCCTTAGGTGGCCCGCTCGACCATCCGAAACCAGGAAGGCTTGGTACGACGCAGTGAAACGAGGGTGATGTAGAGTTGGAGCTCAACTTGTTGATCACTTGGCTGAACTCGTAAAAGGACCCCGGCCAGCCATGCACAAGCAAAAGAGGGATGGCATCAGAATTCTCTGATCGATGATGAATGAAGTGAATTGTAAAGTCTTCCACGTCGGTCAAGAAGTGATTCCATTGGTTGATCTCCTTCTCTTGCTCGCGCCAGTCGTACTTGTCTGTCCAGATTTGATACAACTCCGTTGCCCACTCGGTGGTGAAGCCATAATCTGTACCTGCTCTAGGTACGATGTCTTGTGTAGGAACTCGTGTGTCTTTAATCTTGCGATAGTAGCGCTCCACTTCATCATCTGGAATGTCGACCTTGAAGGGACGGATTTTTGAAGACATCTTTAACAGGTGAAAGATAGAAGTAGGTTTGAGGAAGTCGATGGTCATCCGAAAGATGAGATGATGAGTGACCTTCAGGGTGCCGCCGTCACAGCGACAGACCGTCCCTGACCCCGCCTTCTACAAGTCTATACCCCGCATCGAACGCTGTCGTCGCCGGCAATGATGTGTCTCGGCGATCGCCGCGCTTGACTATCCCGCGCCTGCAGTTCGCAACAGCTGCTGCGCTTCAAATCACCAAAGTCGTCCGCCCGCACAAGACAATCAAACAAGGTTGATCGATCACACACCGTCCGCGCCCGTCTCTGCTCCAAGTCCCGCCGAATCGGCGCCATGTTTTTCGGTTCCAGGATAAGCTTTGTGAAAGCATGCGCCATGGCTTGAGGTACAGAGCTTTGTGGCGACTGATCAACAGCTTTGAGGAGCAGCTTCGGGCAGAACTCGCTGTATCAGCTACAACCACAACTCTACGCGACATCTGGCCTCTCTCTGCGCGGAATCTGGCTCCTGAACTTCCCCAGAACACCCCAGATCCCCGCATCACTACACGTGCAATGTGGGTGAACGATAACCTTACGCCCATCGCTCAGAGCGGACGTTCCGATACGTCGTGACTTGCGACCATCCCGGAAGAAGCATGTTCATGCTGGACTTTGGGCGAGACCGGATCGACGACACAAAGAAAGATGATTATATATACGACATCCGCCCCAGGGAGATCCATTGTTTCATCTCGATTCATCTTGATTCATCTCGATACATCTTCATCTACACTTCTATCTTGACAAGTCATGGCGGGCTCTCTCGACAAGATTCAGGGCAAGACGCTCTACAGAATCATGAGTGCGGCTTGTGGTTCTGCCTTCATGCTTTATGGCTGGGATGCTGGAGTTCTCGGTGGCATCCAAGAGACGCCCCAGTTTCGTGCGGCCATCGGCAACCCTCAAGGAGCTTTTGTGAGTGATCTTCCTCGCAGAACACCATGACTCACTGTCTGACTTTTGTTCTCTCTGACAGATCATCCCTGTCATCGCTTCTGTCTACAACCTCGCGGCAGGAGTCATGTCGCTCTGTGTCAGTTTCTTCGGCATGCAGATTGGTAGAAAGGGCACAATTCTACTTGGATGTCTCCTCATCAATATCGGCGCACTTCTTCAGGCTTCTACCTACTCTGTCGGCCAGATGATCGTTGGTCGTATCGTCACTGGGGCTGGTATTGGTTGTATCGCCAGTGCTGTTCCTACTTATATGGTAAGTAGTTGTGTCGTTCATCGGTTCACGCAATGACTTACCTGCCAAATAGGCCGAGATGTCCCTCGAGGCCAGCGAGCGTGGACCCGAAGTTTCGTACCAACTCGCTCTTCTTATCACCGGTGTCGCTCTTGCATACTGGATCGATCTCGGATTCGTGCAAGGTCTCGACAGACACCCATGGCTTTGGCGCATTCCTTTGGCACTGCAGGCCTGCTTCGCAAACTTTTCCGCCATTCTCCTCTTCATGCTGCCAGATACTCCTCGTTGGTACTACGCTCGAGGCCGTGAAGCGCAAGGTGACAAAGTCTTGGCTCGTCTGCACATGTTGCCAGTTGGTCATCAATCAGTACAAGCAGTCAAGGCTGAGATCATGGCTTCGCTTGAAGAGGAGGATGAGACCGGAAAGATCAGCATCGTTACATTGTTCTGGGACAACACTGAGCTGCAATTCGGTCGTCGTCTGCGTACATCCTTCTTGATCAATTGGGTATGTTCATGTCCTTGCTATTCTCTCGTTCGAGACCGTGTATTGACAAGCTCAGGCACAACAATTCCTCGGTATCAACATGTTGGTCTACTTCTCTACGCAGATCTTCACAAACCTCAACTACTCGCCGCTTCTGTCTGGTATACTCGCGGGTGTTTTGAATACATGCTTTGCTGTCGCATCGTATCCTCCCATCTGGTACATTGAAAAAGTTGGGCGTCGCGCTATGATGATCTGGTGAGTCTCAACTGGAATGCTATCTCGCAGGCACTTCCACATGCCCTGTTGCTTGTCACCTCTACGAATACCGTCGCTGACCCTTTTGAAACCAGGTCCGCCCTTGGCTGTGGCGTCTGCATGCTTATCTACATCGTTCTTACGACACTGCCAGCGAACAAGTCTTCTGCTGCCACCAACTGGGCCGCTGTCGCAATCATCATCCTGTACGAAGTCGTCTTTGCCTTTGGTTGGCTCGGCACTTGCTGGGTCTACGGACCAGAGATTGCGCCACTAAAGTACCGACACGTTGCCGGCAGTCTTGGAGCTGCAGGTGAATGGTTCTCGACTTTCGTCATGGTCTTTGGAGGTGGTACCGGCATCAATGCTGTCGGCCCCAAGATCTTCATCTGGCCACTGTTGTGCTGCTTCCTGGCTGCTGCATACGTTTACTTCCTGTGTCCTGAGAGTAAGTCATGGTCCGCCGTCTTCGCTCTCCCGTGCGACACCTTGCTAACCGTTCTTGACAGCGACTGGAAAGACCCTTGAGGAGATTGATGCGCTGTTCGCAAGATCGCCCGAGGTTCGCGAGCGACTAGAGAGGGAGATTGCTCAACGCAGAGCTAGAGTCATGCCGTATGGCAAGGAATTCCCCAGGCCCTCTACCGAGATGGAAAAGATGGGAGTCTCGACTGTCGAGAAGATCTAATGGTTCCGCAACCGTAAGTACCGAGATATAACGAAGACGTAAGATAGTGTAGTACACTAAGGTAGGACCTTATAAAGTACGCAACAGACTAAAATCATGAGTTTAGTCTTACTTATTTTTTGCTTTACTATGCCCCGGCGAAGGAGAGGTTTAGCTAGCCCATGCGGGAACGTCGAGACTTTAATTATTATTACTACTAGAACTGTCGTTACTTTAGGCACTACTATCGTTGCTATCGCTACTAGAACTATTACGTAATACTTCTCTACTATAGCTTTACTAATAACGTCTATACTATTAGATGACGTTTCTACTATTATGCTTATTATAACTTTATATAATCCTTAAGATGTAGTAGATAAATCTCTTCTAATAGGTAGTATACTAAAGCTAAGAATTAGGGTTTTATAGTCTTATAAGCGGTCTAATATTAACCTTAGACATTTTTACACTTCTTAGCTATCTATAGGTTTCCTAATTAAGTGTTAATAGACTAGTAACGCATTTCTTAACTAGTAAGTTAATAAGTCTTAAAATATGCTATAGTTCTTATTCGTCTTTATCTAGGAGCTAACTACTATATAAGAGATATTTAAAGTTACTTCTAGTAAGATGCTATAGGTATCTAGTACACTTTAACTAAAGTAAGTAATCTATCTTTATAATGTTCCTATTAATAACCTTAAGCTCTCTATTATACTATATTCTTACTATATTCTATTTATCTAATACTTAAGAAGTATTAAGATTACGCTATTCTCCTATTCTAAGAGTCTCTTCTATAGCGTTACCTAAGACATCTATACCTTCTATAGAGTTATCTCCCTAAGTGTCATAGTTAGCTATCTAGTTACACCTAACCATGACCCCTAGCCGCTAGGGTAACCCTAACCTTAGCCGGCCGCTTGCTAAGCGGCCGTGCGGAGTTGCTAAGACTACTTACTACCTTCTATAACTCCTCCCTATTACCTCTTTATCTCCTTGTCTACGTCTCGTTATATAGCTTAGACCCGTATCTACGTACTGTTACCTATTCCTAACTTCGCCCCTTAACATTACGTAGACCTTATATACCTACGTAGCGCGCCTATCGCGCTAACTACCCTATAATGACCTCGCGCCTAACGCCTCCTATCCTCCTAGATAACCTCGAGGTTTTTATTTAATATGTCTACGACTATCCTAACCTATAGTATAAGTTCCTAACTAACGTATATTACTTAGCCGACTCCTAGGAATCCGAAAACATATCGCTACATTAGGAGAATGCCTCTCTTACCTACGAACTTAGCTAAACCTACTAGGAACTTAAACAGACCTACTATGAAAAAGAGTCTAGCTAGACTATATAGGCCTACTAGTCCTCTAAACTTAAGAAGGTTCGCGAAGAGCTTAAATGCTCTTCTATAAACGAGATCTACGCTATTACTCGAATAGAAAATGCTCTTAAAAATGAAGCCTAGGCCTACTACTTAGAGGCTAAAGCTATTAAAGCTGCCCTGCCTACGGTTAATACCCCCGCCACCTTAGATCCTATAACTCCTAATATTAAGGATAACGTAGTACTTTATAGTCGAACGCCTACGCTTACTTCTCCTACTCCCGAGTCTTCGATTAGCTGTTCCGAAAAGATACCTAACCCTAAAAAGTTTTAGGGAGACCGCTCCTAATTCGACGTCTTTGCCTCTAAGATTAGAGAAAAAATGAGCGTTAACTACGATCGCTTCCCTACTACCTAGTCTTATCTTGCCTACCTATCTAGCCGTCTTGAAGGCCGCGCCTACTTGCACATTTAACCTTACATCTATAATAGTATTTATACCCTTAAGGATTACGAAGAAGGACTATAAGTTCTCGAAAGAGCTTTCGGAGACTAGAACCGCGCCTATAATGCCTAGAATAACCTTCTTGCCCTTCGTTAAAAGAACTAGGAGTTTAGACAGTTCTTTGCCGAATTCTACCGCCTTACCCTTAAATCTAGAATGCATAATAACGCTCTACCTATAATCCTCGAAGCTACCTTATCTAAGGAACTTAAGTAATAACTTATGATAGTTTTAGGCGACATTCCTAATAGGGACTTCTACGCCTATACTAAGTATTTGTAAGAACTCGAGAACCGCCGCCGATACTTTATAACTATCGAAGCCCCTACTCCTCGACCCTCGGCCCTAGCTCCCTATAACTAGATTCCTCGTAACCTT